GGAAGAGCCTGCTGCGGAAGAGCCTGCTGCGGAAGAGCCTGCTGCGGAAGAGCCTGCTGCGGAAGAGCCTGCTGCGGAAGAGCCTGCTGCGGAAGGATCTGCTACTGAAGAGCCTGCCGCTACTGAGGCTCTAGCTGAAGAACCTGCTCCTGCCGATGCTCCTGTTGAAGAACCGCCCGCTGCTGATGCTCCTGCCGAAGAACTAGCTGCCACGGAAGAACCGGCCGCCGCGGAAGAACCTGCTCCCGCCGCTGAAGCTCCAGCTGAAGAGCCTCCCGCCGCTGACGCTCCTGCTGAAGAACCGGCCGCGACTGAAGAGCCTCCTGCCGCTGATGCTCCCGCTGCTGAAGAACCTGCTGCCGCGGAAGAACCTGCTGCCGCTGCTGATGCTCCTGCCGAAGAACCGGCCGCTGCGGAAGAACCTGCTCAAGCTGCTGAAGAACCAGCTGCGGCGGAAGAACCGGCCGCGACTGAAGAACCAGCTGCCACTGATGCCGCGGAAGAACCTGTTCTCGCCGCTGATGCTCCTGCTGAAGAACTTGCCGCCGCTGAAGAACCGGCTGCCGCGGAAGAACCCGCCGTGACTGAAGAACCGGCTGCCGCGGAAGAACCTGCTGCGACTGAAGAGCCTGCTGCGACTGAAGAGCCTGTTCCTGCTGAAGAACCTGCTCCTGCCGAAGAGACTCCCGCTGCTGAAGAACCTGCTCCTGCCGAAGAGACTCCCGCTGCTGAAGAGACTCCCGCCGCTGATGCTCCTGCTGAAGAGCCTGCTCCAGCTGAAGAACCTGCTCCAGCTGAAGAACCTGCTCCTGCTGAAGAACCTGCCGCCGCTGAAGAACCGGCCGCAAGTGATGAGCCTGCTGCTGCGGAAGAACCTGCTCCAGCTGAAGAGACTCCCGCTGCTGAAGAGACTCCCGCCGCTGATGCTCCTGCTGAAGAACCTCCTGCCGCTGAGGAACCTGCCACTGAAGAACCAGCTACTGAAGCAACCGCCGAAAAGGCCGAGGAGGCTGCAGCACCAGCAGAAGCTCCGGAAGCTAGCGCCGCCGAAGACACTGCGCCTGCAGTGGATGACACTCCAGGAGAACCGGCTCCTGAAGATGTAAAGGCTCCAGTTGAGGAGGCAGTCGCAGCGGCGGCCGTCGCCGCAATGACCGCCATGGCGTCAAAGGAAAAAAGAAGACATCATCATGATGACCGGTGGGATTACAATTCTAAGGTTCCCTTGAACGGTCACACAGCAAAACTCGAGAGAAACAAGAAGGAGGCAGGGTTGTTTGAAAACGCCATTGCTAGGGAAATTAAGAAGGCTAAAAGGAAAGAGCACATCCGTCACGAATCAGCAGAGTACAAAGAAAAGGAGAAGGAAAGAGCGGAAGCCAGACGAGCCCAACGCGAAGCGGAAAGAAGACGACAAGAAGAGCAAGAAGCGGCAGAAAGAAGACGACAAGAAGAGGAAGAAGCGGCAGAGAGAGAGAAAGAGCGGAAAAGACGTCGAGAAGAGAGGGAGAGACGACGACTTGCTGAAGAACAATATGCTCAAGCTGAGGCGGAAAGAGAGCGGAGAAGGCGACGGGAGGCCGAGGAAAAAGCAGAAAGGAGAAGAGGTAAAGAGAGAGAAAGGGAAAGGGAAAGGGAAGCGACTGCAGAGACTTCACGGGCAGGAGATACCGCCAGTGGTGAATCGAGAAAGACCAGGCGACCTAGCTTTGCCGCCTCGAGCAGCGGAGGCAGTTCCTCTCCCGGTTTCCTTCCTGGCCTGTTGAGGAAGATCAGCGCGGGCGAGAGTGACACCAAACCACTGCTCTTCGTGCGACTGAACGACGATGAGCCACCACGACGAAGTGGATCACGTGAACATCGCGAACACAGACAGCACCGAGCTCGAGATCATGGCGAAGCTGAAGCTGAAGCCGAGGCTGAAAGCAGTTCTTCCAAGCACGCGGGATCGAGAAGTCGGCCACAGCCGTCGAGGACTTCGAGCTCGAGGAGCCACAAGCAGTACTATGACGACCGCCGGGCGGCCAAACCGAGCTTTTTGGGGAATGCCATGAACATCCTGGCCGAGCACACCAGCCTTCGGGACTTTTGGCGACCAGAACGGATTGAAGCATGACAAGAACTTTTGTATACTACCAATGGTGAATTGACTAGGAGAACTTAACCGACTACAGTTTGCGTGTGGCTGGAAGATGAATATGGGGGTTGTGGTTGTGGTTGAGGGTTATGGGTTATGGGTTGTAGGTTATGGGCTATGGGTTATACGAGCGATAAGAATTGTTGAACAGGGCAAGGTAGTTGATTGTAGGATTAGGGACTGTATACATGTGAGAATAAGCTGCTACCTAGTATACCATGGGTTGTGGGTTTAGGATGTAGGATGGAGGTTTAGGATTAGGATGGACGATGTAGGCTGTTATTTATTCATAATCCATATTCACCGTGTAATAAAGTATGCTGTGCTATACTATCCTGTCCTTGTTATACTTAGGCACTAAGTCAGGCATCCACAGCCTTGTTCTTTAACCAGAAGGCTGGTATATATACACCTAGGTAGGCACTAACTTAGGCATTCCCAGCCTGCCCTTTAACCAGAAGGCTGGTTTACATAGGCATATCATACTATACTATATAGCATGCGCTCCCCCTACGACCCTTCGATAGAGAACATGGAACATTTCAACCTTTGACAGTATTGAAGTATGCTGTGCTATGCTATCCTGTCCTTGTCAAACCTAGGCACTAAGTTAGGCATTCCCACCCTTGCCCTTCAGCTAGAAGGCACCAGGTAGATCCTAAGCAATACCTATCTAGTCTGGGCTCCCCCTATAGCCTAAGTCCTTTGATAGAGAAAGAGACTGGGAACATTTCAACCTTTGACTGTCCTCTCTAGTCCTATCTACTGTACCATAGCGGCATGGCTCCCCCTTGCCCATGACATTGGAAAGGAATAAGAACAGAACCAGCCCTAGGTAGTGTACTGTGTGTGTATGTATATAGATACCAATCAGACTACAAGCCCAAGTCTCCTAGGACCTCGATTTCGAAGACAGCCGCAGCGCTCCCCTTACTATTGATATTAGAAGGGAATAAGAACATTACCGATAACAAGTAGTGTACTGTGTGTACTGTGTATGTCCCAAACCCGACTCCAAGCCCAAGTCCAAGACGTCCGTTGAGGAAACAATGCCAACCCCGACCAGAGGGCACGAAGACGCTGGCGCAAGCCGAGGGCCCTGGGCACCAAGTAGTGTACTGTACTGTGTAGTATAGTGTATATACCAAATCAGACTCTAAGCCCACCCTAAGTAGTGTAGTATATTGTATACTGTCTATACCAACCCCGACTCCAAGCCCAAGTAAGTCTTCTAAGACTTCCGCTTAGCCAACTTCGCCAAAGCACCCAGTCGCTGACGCAAACCCAGCCCCCGCTTCGGCACCCTCGCCAGCCAATACAGGCCCAAAGCAGCAGCGATATTGAACAAAATATACGCGAACATGATGCCGAAATTGCGCCATCGGTCCGCATAGTCGGCCGAGATGGAGGCCAGAAAGACGTTGGTCGACGCCACCGGGCAGAATTGGCAGTCGGCCGTGGCGTCCGGGTTGTACAGCGAGCCGCCGGCCATTTGCATGTAGGGGCCTAGATAGTCGGCGCAGGTTTGGTTGGGGGCTGGTTGGACCGTCGACACTTCGAGCGGTGAACAGTGGACGGCGTTGTTGGCGAGGCCGGTGGAGAGGAAGCCGCCGATTAGGTACGTTAATGGGGATACGCGATACATGAAGATCCAGAATCCTGGCATGGCGGCGGGTGTGGCGAGGACACTGGGGTAGTGTTAGTTAGTTTGGGTTCATTTCGTCTGAGGTGTGAGGGAGGAGTGTGTGGTTAGGGAATAGGTCTCTTTGAAGGACCGGAGGACGAAAGGACGAGGACACAGGACAAACACTCACCCACAAAATATCAAACACAAAGCAAACAACACCAAGGCGATAATGGCCCCAATCTCAGCCGTCGGCAACCCCGCAATGATCAAGTCTGCAAACGTGGCCGTGAACAGCGTAAAACACCAGCTCAGCAGGAACATGAGCCCCCCCCGCTCCGACACCTGGTGGGCAGGCTCGGCGTTCCGCTGCATACCGACCAGATAGTAGAAAGGGAAGAAGATCAGGGGCGCGGCCAGCGTGTTCCAGGCCAGTTCGACCACGATGTTGGCCGCCATGAAGACGGGCCAGGCGTATGTTTTGGACGGTCGCTCGCGTACCTCGTACAGGTCGCGCTGGACCACGAAGTTCGGCATGGTTTGGTAGACCAAAAAGGCGAGGATGACCATGATCATGAAGATGGCGAACATTTGGTCTTGGAGGCCTTGGAGGGTGACTTTGGCGTGGTAGAAGGAAGCGCCGATGAAGATGCTCTAGCACCAAGGTTAGGACATGAAGAACAGTAGTATCAGGATAGAATAGAGAAATATAACTAAGATGGAAGAGAAGTAGTAACGAGGATAGAACACAACAATAAAACCAGGATAGAACAGAGAAATAGCCCAGGCTGAGTGGGATAGAACAGAACACCACCAACCAGGCTGAGTGGGATATCATGGGATGGGATAGGATGGATGGGATATCATATGATACCATCGCATAGGATATCATAAAGATGGATGTCACTCACCGTCGCAAGACACAACAGAAGCTTCGCATAGATATACGACGGCGTACGCCAGTACTGCTGAAACACGCGGTGCGTGCATAGACGCATCTGCGTCCACAAGGGGGCGGCGTACTCTGTTATCGTGGTGTTTGTCGTCGTCGTCGTTGCTGATGTTTGCTGCTGTTGTTGGCTAGCATTCGCTTCCAACTCCAACAACGCCGTTCGAACCTGTGCATATTCGCGACTAGATCGCCACGTGTCAGGCCAATCTCGCACAGCAGTCGCACCCGGCGCGGCGCCGATGACCTCCAGCATCCATTCGGCCGGGTTTTCGCGCGGCTCGCACGGCCGGGCGCCATACTGCTCAAAGTAGCCAGTGAGGGTCTGAGACTCGGGCCCAATGTCGCCAAAGTAGACGGTGCGGCCGCCGCGGGCTAATAGCAAGATACGGTCGAATTGCTGGAAGAGCATGGCTGACGGTTGGTGGATGGTGCAGAGAATGGCCTGGCCGTTGTCCGAGAGTTTTCTTAGGAGCGCGGCGATCGACCATGCCGTTTGGCTGTCGAGGCCGGAGGTGGGCTCGTCGAGGAAGAGGAGGAGGTCGGGTTTTGCGGTCAGTTCGACGCCGATGGTGAGGCGTTTTCGTTGTTCGACGTTGAGGCCTGGGGAGGGAGTTAGTCATGGTAGATAAGGGTAGAAGGGGGTGATAGAGAAGTATAGGAGGGAGGGGGTGATAGTAGACAAGAATGATGGGACAAGAAGGATGGGACAAGAAAGATGGGACAAGAAGGATGGGACAAGACAAGACGGCATGGGAGTAGACAAGACAGACAAAATAAGCATAGGGATAGAAGGCAGTAGACAAGACAAACAAGCATGGGATAGGGCACAGGAATAAGGGGTCCCCAGGGAAAGGGGGAAGGGCGAAAGACAAAAGGCATAGGATAGGGCACAGGAATAAGGGTCACCAGGGGACAGGGCAGGGAAAGGAAAGGGACAGGGAAAGGAGAGGAAAGGCGAAAGAGAGAAAAGAACACACCTTCTCCAGGAACGCCCACAATCGCTTCGGCATACTTCTCCATCTCCAACAACTTAATAATCTCCTCGACATAGGCGTACTTCTCCTCGGTACTGACCGTCCTCGGCTGGCGCAGCATGGCACAGAAGCGCAACGACTCGCGCACCGTGGCGGTGGCCAGGTGCAGATCCTGCTGCTGCACGTAGCCCGTCTTTCGTTGGAACGATCGGTCTCGTGGCCAGCCGTCGACGAGCATGTGGCCGCTGACTACGCCCATGGTGACTCGGCTGGCGAGGACGTCGAGAAGGGTGGTTTTGCCGGCACCGGAAGCGCCCTGATAAGTGTGAGATTGTAGACTTACAGTATGGTCATCGATAGTGTAGACAGTCTGGGTATCAATAGATGTGAAGGGGTGGGAAGGGATGGGATAGGATGGGATGCCCAATATTCAATAGATTGGTGGGTTAGGATACAGGATATTCAATATATCAGATGGGATGGGATATAGGAAGGGTTAGGGTTAGGGTTAGGGTTCCGCTGAAATTTTGTTGGATGGGATCGGAAGGGGTGGAATCATACCATCAACGCCGTCAATGTCCCCGGCTTGACCCAACCATCGACATCATGCAACAGCTGTCGCGGCTGGCCCTTGATCATGACCTCGTAACACACATCTCTCCAATGGAAGATGGACGTCTGTCGCGGAATGACGGTCTGGAGTGGTTCGTCTTTGGGCTCGTCGGCCGGTTCGAGGGTTTTCTCGCCCCCAGCCAGGCTGGTGTCGGTGTCGGCGGATTCCTCGTCTCGTGGTCGTGCCGAGGATTTACCTTTGATCAGCGATTTGGGCGCGTGGCCACGGCGGAAGACTAGGACTTCCCCTTTCGACCGTTCGCTGTGGATGAACTCGGCTGCCATTAGGTAGGTGGCGGTGAAGAAGCAGATGAAGCCGATCAGGATGCCGAGATTTCTGGGGAGAGTTAGTCATGGAGGATGATGATGTACTTTCGTAGGAAAGAATAGAAGTCATGGGAGGAGGATGTTGGGTTAGTCATGGGAAGAAGATGATGTATTTTTCGTAGAAAAGAATACAAGTCATGGGAGGGGGATAATGTATTAGGAAGTCATGGGAAGGAGACGATGTATTTTTCGTAGAAAAGAAGAATAAAGTCATGGGAGGAGGATGTTGGGTTAGTCATGGAGGATGATGTATTCTCGTTTTCGCAGGACAAAATAATAGAACAATGGACTAACCTCCAGAGATGACCATGACTGTAGCCAAAAACGGCATCGATGTAGAAACCTCCGTCCACATAGTCAGCCCCAGGCAGGGCACCACTGGCCGAACAGGCGCGTCCCAGCCCAGTGACGTTCTGGTAAGCCGGGCCCATGGGCACGAACTGGGCACACGGAAATCGGCGGCCGTGGAACTCATTGACCATCATGGACTCGTAGCCGTAGGCGATGGGGTCTAAGTAGTTGATCCAGCGGAGCCAATCCTGCATCTCCGAGGTCGGCACGATATATCCCGTGTAGATGACCAGGGCCAGCACCAGAAAAGCACTGGGGGTGAGGGCCTGGTGGATGGTGCGGGTGGTCTGGCCGATGGTGCGGAAGATCATCGACATGGCCATGGTGCAGGTGAAGCCGAACAGCAAGAATTTGAAGAACGGCCCCGGTTCGCGGCGCAGGTTGGCCAGGAAATACAGCGGTAGGTTGAAGGCGAAGGTCGACAGGATCTTGCTGGGCATTTCCGTGACAATGGACGAAATGGCCTCGGAGAAGGGGTGGTACAGCGCATACCGCGACTGTTTCTCGACGATGGGCCGCTGCTCGTACAGGGAGAAGACTTCCAGCGCGCTGTTCAGCGCGTTGAACAGAATGGCAAAGTAGATCAACGTGCCGCGGCTGGTGATGCTGCCCGTGTCGCCGGGGAGGTTGTAGAAGACGCTGCCCAGCACCAGCGAGATAAGCAGATTCCCGAACACGGTGACCAGGAAGAAGGCTTTGTTGCCGAGCAGGCGTTGGAAGCCGCGCGTGATGCAGAGCCGGATCTGCATGGGCACGGATATGGTGTAGGGAGATGAACTGGGCGTCAACGCCGCCTGTTCGGCCTTCTTCGACTCCTTGAATTCCTCCAGCGACGGCCCGTGGAGCGGGAATTCCTCGTTGAAGGCCGCAATGTCCTGGAGAAGCTGCGCCCTCTCGCGGCTCGACTGCCAGACGCGGGCAAAGTCGTCGGGCGTCCGGGGCACCTTGTTCTCGAACCCGGGCCGGACGATGCGTTCGGCCGGGTTGGTCAGCGAGGTGAGGAAGTCGGCGGTGGTCTGTCGGTCGGGACACTGGAAGCCCAGGTCGACAAAGTACTGCTTGGCGGCCTCGGTGCGGCCAAAGTAGATCTGACGGCCCTCGTAGAGCAGCACGACCTTGTCGAACACCTCGTACGCATCCTGCGAGGCCTGGTAGATGGCGACGATGGCGGTCGAACCGGCCAGCTCGGTGGACAGCCGGAGGGTCTTGACAAACTCCAGGGCGGTGGCCGAGTCCAGGCCGCGCGTGCTGTTGTCCCAGCACTGGAGTGGACTCTGCACCAAGGCGACCTCGGCGATGCTGACGCGCTTGCGCTCGCCGCCGCTGACCCCGCGCACGTAGTCGTTGCCTACGCGGGTGTTGACGGTGTGGCTGAGGCCAAACACGGCCATGACCACGTCGCGCAGGATGTGGGCGTGGCGGTCGCGCGACACGCCCGGCAGCCTGTTGCGCGGGGTTTTGGCCAGGGCGTCGAAGAGCAGGGTCTGGCCGACCGTCAGATAGGGGAAGTGCACGTCGGTTTCGGCCTGGTACACCACTTCGCCCCGGTAGCGGGTGTGCATGATGTCCCAGGGCACGCCTTGGTAGTTGATGTCCGAGCCGGCGTCGAGATACAGGCCATGCACCTGCCCGGCGATGGTTTTGAGGAAGGTCGAAGCACCACTGTGATGGGTCAGTCAGCGTCGGTGTCCATGTACTGGCAGTCATGGTGTGGCATAGCCATCGCATATGACCACTTCGGTCAGGACGGGGACCAGGAGAGGATCAGAAGGACAGAAAGAGACCTACCTCCCCGGGCGGCCCAGCACCACCAGCATCTCGCCATTCCGGACCAGCCCCTCAAAGTCCTTCAGGATCTGCACCTTTTGCTTCCGGTGGTTAATCGCTTCGACCAGCATACTGGGGATCTCCAGCAGCACATTGGCCACGTCTTTCTGGTAGTCGGTCGAGGCCGACCAGCCCGACACGTTGAGCTGTTGGAACGACACGCCGGCGGTGCGCTGCGGGTAACGGCGTGGATCGCTCTTGAGGGTGTGGAAGAAGGTCTTGGCCCACAGCTTCTTGTCGAACTGCGGCGAGGTCGGATTGAGCCACGGCTGGTCGAGGTCGAGGAAGGGATTGCAGTCGAGCATCACCTCGGTCGCTGTGCGGACCAGCTGGGCAAACCGCGGTTCCTGGGGCTCGCCGTCCGGTTGCTGTTGGGGTTGCGAGTGGTCACTCTCGCCCAGCGTCTCGGTCGACACCATGAATGCATCGTCGTTTTTCTCTGTTACCAAGGGTTCTGGGCTCTGGTGCTGGTGCTGGTCACGGCCGCCTTCACCCTCGCCATTACCCTCTGACGGCCAGCGAGCATCGTGATCGTGCTTCGACATGGCTGTGGTGATTTCCAGCGGCGTATGGATGTGTGTGTAGAATCCTGCCTCGACCCTGGGGGCGCCATGTTGCTGATATATCATCCACACGCCCATCCACCGGAGCGCTCGGGCAGCATGGCGGATATGACACCCTCCTGGCCTGGCAATCTCCGACCCATAATCAGAATCCAGTATGAATTATTGGATCAAGATTCAGGTTTGGGAACTGGGAACGAGTCGACGTGGCCACCAGGGGCATGGTTCGGTCGCGGCTTGCACATGTATTGAGTATATTTTCTCGATGTTTGGGGCCTGTTGATCTTCCTCGGAGCCGAAGAGTGGGAACCAGCTCGGTCGGGGCCACGGCTGAGACCCCTGAGGAGCCTGACGGAGCCTCACAGACCCTGATGGACCCCGGCTCCTGGGGCTGAGCATCCCGGTGATCCGTCCTCGTCCATCCCTGTCTCAGCACCTGGCACTTGGTCCGAGCGTCTTCGGCTCCGAGCATGATGACGGAGACGGAGACGGTGGCGGCAACGTCCCTGTCAGGCCCGAGGACTGAGGTCTTTACGTCTTTCTTTTCATCCAGTCCTGACAATTCAAAACCGACCGAGCCGAACGTCCAAGTCAGGTCCAAGTCTGTCTCAGTCTCAGTCCAGCAGGCTGCAGTCCAGTCAGTCCAGTCCACACGGTTACTCTGCTTGCTGCAGTCTACGGAGGACAGTCTGCGCCATGCCAGACCCAAACCAGCCCCTCAGCAGCACCGGCACCAGCACCAACAGTCCCAAGGTGCTCAAGTCCTGCGACGCCTGCAAGGCTCGCAAAGTGCGATGCTCCGGTCAGCGCCACGCCGTCTTGTTCCCGTTCCTGATCGCATTCCACTTCCACCATGCCCTCCCCTCTGCCCCATCACGCCTAATCTAGGCTCCTCTCTTCCCTACAGTAACTAATCAATCACTCCTTCAGGCCAGCCATCGGCACCTCATGGGTCCTGCGCCAACTGCAGCGTGAGTGGAATGCATCATGCCCACCTCTCTCAACCCTTCGCCCCCATCTGTATCTAATGAACCAACGCTGATTCTGATTCTGATTCTCTCTGCTCAGCGTCGAAACACACCGTGCCATTTCAGCGTGGCTCGTCCCCCTCGTCGGCACAAGGTCGAGAGTCCCAGTGTCAAGGAGTGTAGGGCCGTCCCCGTCCCGTCCTTTACCTCGACAGAGGATTGACCCTTCCACAGCAGAGTCCAGATCGCACTCGCCCAATCTACTGGAACGTCCGCGTCATAACCATGAGGTATGTTTCTGTTTTGCTCTGCACGACGCCGCATAACCCTAACCCTAACCCTAACCCTAGTCTTTCCCATATCTCACATCCCATCCTATATCCCATCCAATCTATCAAATATCCCTCCCCATCCCATCCCTGATGTTAACCTGGGCCAAAACAGGACTCGATACCCAGCGCGCCCTGGAAAGGGTTTACCGCCACCACCACCGCAACCTCAGGCCCTGAAGTGCTGCCCCTGCTGTATGTCGACCGGCTCCTCATGCAGAACCCGGACTCTGGCAGTCCGCAGGGCAAGGCATTTCCCTTCAAGGTGAGTAAGAGTGCCAACCGACCGTTACAGTGGCGTCGACGTCATGACCAGATTGACTAAGAGTGTGTGTGCGACTTGCAGGGCAATGGCATTTTCGGTTCGTCTCATCTCGTCTCGTCGCTCTTTCCCCATTAACCTTAACCTCAACCTCAACCTTAATCTCAACCTCAATCTCTGCCTCGACCTCTGCCTAATCTCATTGGCACTCCCCGTCTATCTCAACCTCAATCTCAACCTTAATCTCAGTGGCACTAACCCACTGTAGGAGGGAATTACAGCTTGAGCTTCTTCTCCGACAGCCGCATGCAGGCCTTGTCGACCCGGCTCCAGAACACAAAGGTCAACGACCTCGTCAAGCGCGTCGCCGATGTCATCAGCCATCGCCTGCGTTCCAGCCCGCATTCGGTCAACGGCTCCATCCTGGCGAGATCGCACGACCAGGAAATCTTGGTCGACCGGGACACCGCTGCGGTCTATGTCAAAGGTAGGTTGGGTGTAGATTTGGGCTCTGTTTGGTTCCATCATATCCCACTGACATGTCACCCAGCCTACTTTGACAGAGTACACCCGCTGACATATCATAGCCTACTTTGACAGAGTACACCCCTTCTACCCCTTTCTCGACCAGTCCGACTTCGAATCCGCCCTGGTCGACCCCGACCTCCCCCGACGCCTATCAACCAACAAAGCCTTCTCAGCCCTCTACCACTCCGTACTCGCGCTCGGCAGCCAGTACTGCGGCTACGGCAGCTTCGAGCCGGGCAAGTCGCGGTCATGGCAGCTGTTCTCCGTCGCCTTGGCCCTGTTCCCGGACCTGCTGACCCTGCCGGACTCGCTGTTGACGCTGCAGGCTCTGACATCCATGGCCATCTTCGCCCTCTCGGTGTCGTGCATCCAGATCGAGCATCTGATCATTTCCGAGGGGGCGCGACGCGCTCAAAAAGTCTCGTTCGGCCAACCTCGAGACGGGGGTCTTCCTGACTCGTACGGTCGGGTGTTCTGGGTGTTGTATACGATTGAGAAAACATCTAGTTTCTATTATGGTCGTAGTTCGGTATGTTCCCTTCCGTCTCCCCACCAATTTCCCTGATATGTTCTCTGCCCCCCACCCCCCTCCATTCCCAGAAAGTACAGACAGACGGTATGTACCATGTCATTCATCATAGTGATTGGCGCTGGTCGCATTTCCCGAGGAAAGAGGCAGGCAGCAGCCAGACAGTATACCAGGTCAATGCCTGTCATATCAATGTCTCAATATCAAAGCCTCAATATCAATGTCATCAATACCTATGTACTGATCGCTGCCCTATCCCTTACTAATATCTTGGATGTCTCAATATCAATGTCTCAATACCAATACCTGTCAACACCTACTAATATCTTGTCAGATCTTCAACGACTCTGACATCGGTCATCCCGTCCCTGCCATCTCCGAAGCCTTCTTCGGCGACTACAACTGGTTCCTCGCCTCGGCGCGTCATGCCCGCCTCCTCTCGCGAGCCTACACGTCCTTGTTTTCTATCGGCGTCACCGGCAATTCGCGCGAATACTTCAGCGCCACTATCGACCAACTCCACGCCGAGCTGGAACAGTGGCGGTTGTCGATTCCCGCGGCATTGCGGCCCGGAACTGCGTTTTGGTTGCCTGAACGGTCGTCGACTATGTCGTTATCTGAGCCTGTATCTGGCCACACTCACACCCACACCCACACCCCGTTGACGTTGATGACCCCCGTCGCTCTCTGGACCCATTATCTCTACCACAGCGTGCTGCTGGCCCTGGCTCGCGCCACCCTGCATCTGGACGGTCGCCCGTCCCCCGGCGAGGCTGAAGCTGGAGCGTCAGATCCGAATCGTCTGCTGAAGAGCAAGCAGGCCATTATGAATGCGTCGCGGTCTATTCTGGAATTGACGCGCTTTATTGACGTCGAGCCTTATACGCCAGTGTGGTAAGTGCTGCTAGTTATTCCCATTGCATTCCCTTTAGTTGTTGAATTGTGTTGTGTTGGTGTTGGTATTGGTGTCGGTGTCTGTGTGGGATTCCATTCCCTTTTGAGTTGAGTTGTGTTTATGTTTGTGTCGGTGTCGGTGTCTGTCTGTGTCTGTCTATGTCTGCCTGTGTTGGTGTCTGTGTCTGTCTGTGTCGGTGTTCACCCTCCACCACCAACCCATCCAACTCCACCATGCCCCCGTCCCGTCACCAGCCTGCTACCGTCACCACCACCAAACCCACCTCCAACCCACCTCCAACCCACCTCCAACACCACCATGCCCCCGTCCCATCACCGCATACTACCATCACCGCATACTACCGTCCCATCGCCAACACTACCGTTATAACTGACTGATTTTCCAGGGTTCTCGTCGGTATTCCCGTCGCCGCTCTCTTCATCTTATTCGACCTGATCATCCATAACCCCAAGCATCCCGAGACCGGCAGTAACCTGGCCCTCCTCCACGTCGCCAGTGGCCACTTCAGCCGCATCGAATATGCCAGCTGCGGCGGCCTGCCGGGCTCCATGATCTCCGAGTTTGCCTTCATTGCCAACGAATACGTCAAGACCGTGCAGTTGAGTTCTGCTAGCGAGCACCCTCCGGAGGTACTCAAGTGGCCGACACTGGATATAAACGGTAATGGCCAGTATCAGTATCAGCGCCACCAGCAACAACACCAACAACATCAACAGCAACACCAGCACCAGAACCAACAGCACCAACAACACCAACCGCAACATCAACAACATCAGCACCAACAGCACCAACACCAACAACAACATCAGCAACAACACCACCACCACCAACAACAACAGCACTTGGATTATTTCGCCCCTTTGGCTACGGCTTCAGCTTCCCAATCCTACCTTCCAACCAACACCAACACCAACAGCATGGTGTCTTCATTTTCTCGGCCCCAGCCCCAGTCCCAGCCGCTATTCGGTTCACAGGTCGACGACACAGTCCCGAATCCCACGTCCACATCCAATCAAGTCTCAAAAGATACCCCGACCCCGATCAACCACGTCGTCGATACCCAAGCACAGACCCCCATCAACGTCGTCGATAATATGTTCTACCCTATCGATGATCCCTACTACATGCAGAACGACCCGGGCTCCGGCTCGCTCATGGGCACCAACATCATCGACCTGTTCGGCTCGGTTGTCCCGGGCCTCGACTTCAATCTGGGGCCGTGGGGGGGTTGGGGAGGAGGTCAGCGCGACCAGATGACCAGTACGAGTGTGAGTGGGAATGTGAGTGCGAATGTGGATGCGGACCAAAATGTGAATGCGAAGACGTCTCTTTTGTAATTGAGATAAGTAGTGCTCTGGTCGTGTCTGTCTGTCTGGTCTGTCTGGTCTGTCTGGTCTGTCTGGTCGTAAATGATACCCTATCTCAGATGCTCTGTCGATGTTTGTGTTTGTGCTAGTGCTGATGCTGGTGCTGGTGTCATGAAACACCAGTCCCGACTTAAGTACATATGTACCATATCAAGTCACATCAAGTCACATCACATCACGTCATGTCTGTCGGTGTCGGTGTCAGCGGTATATTAGACCTTAGAATGGGATGGCATGGCATGGCACGGCATGGGATGGCCGATCGAACTATAAGTTTCTCTACAGACTACAATAACTAATCATGTATAATCTAGGGATGGGGGAGAGGGAGAGGGGGGGATAGAGAGAGAGGGATATCTAAGATCGAAGATGTACAATATGAAATATGAAATAATAAACCTAACATCTAGACAGTTGATTAATAAAACCTCAACCAGTATTTACAATCATATGTCAACCGACTACTATACCTAGCCCTACTACGCCCCTACTATACCTACGACTATAAGACCTACTCCTGCCCCTACTATGTATACCGGCTACTACACCTACCCCTACTACAGCTACCCCTACTACAGCTACCCCTACTACACCTACCCCTACTACACCTACCCCTACTACACCTACCCCTACTACACCTACCCCTACTACACCTACCCCTACTACACCTACGACTACACCACTGTACGACTCACGACTGCACAACTCACAACTCACAACTACAGTGGACAGACACGGCGAAAAGTAAAACATCACGACAGTAGACGACATATGAAGACACACAAACCAAAAACGACTACGATGACAAACATGGAAAAGCTTCAAGAGACACAATCAAGAGAGCCTTGTTGGTATAGACTAGATTCCATTCTGTCGAACATGGACCCACTCTACATTACCAGTACCAGGACCAGGACCACCGTCATCTCAGCACTGCTACGTCAGCAATCCATCAATCTTGGCCGGATCCTCTTGAATTTCAATCCATTTCCATCCATCATTCATGGCCGGATTTCCTCTTGAATTTCAATCCATTTCCATTTCCATGACCATACCCATGTCCATGGCCGTTCTGTTTCGGCTGACTGCCGTAACTTCTTCTCCCATTCTGCTTCTTATCCCGGTGCATGCTCGCTCCCAATTGGATATCCACCCTGGGCGGAGTGGAAAAGCCAAAACTTTTGGCCACTTTGACCAAGTCGAGCTTGTTCACATCGAAGACGGAGCGTAGACTATGCGACGCATAGGCCTGTAAGTAGGATCGGTAACCGTCTTTGGCGGACTACAACACAAAATGACGTGTAAAAGGTTAGCAAAATGACGTGTAAAGGCTCAGCAAGGCCATCCAAATGGTAAGGGAAACCCAATGCAAGGAAATCCAATGTAAGAAAATCCAATGCCGGACAGGATGAAAGATTGTGATTGAATCCCAGACATGGAAAGATTGTGATTGCTCTGGCACTCACCTTGTTGAGATAATAGTTCTGCGAAATCAATTTTTCCAGTTGACTCTGGATGTTCAGCAGTTTCTTGGCCGGGAAATCAAATTCAACCACAGGCACCCTCGCCTCCTTTAAATGACTGAGGAAGCCGACTTCGTTGGGCTGCAGAAACATCAAACTCCGACCTTTACCGTTAGCCCCTCGCGCCGTTCGGCCCACCCGGTGGATGTAGTCTCTCGGGTCGTCGGGCGGGTCAAACTGAACAATCCAGTCGACAGCAGGAATGTCGAGGCCTCGGGCGGCGACGTCGGTGCAGACCAGAATGCCAGTTTTGGCATTACAAAACTCAAAAAACGTGTTGGTGCGCTTCTGCTGCTTGAGGTTGCCGTGCAGCTCGAGCACCGGCAGGTCGATGTAGTTGAGTAGTTCCGAGTGATACTTGACACAGTTGCACGACGACATGAACACAATCACTTTCTTCTTCAGATTTCGCTTCAGGAAACTGAACAACAACAAAAATCGCTTGTCGCTGTCGCAGATCACATAGCCTTGCTCGAGGCCCTCGACCGTGCTGTGTTCCTTTTGGTGATCGACGTTGATGTACAACGGTCCCGGCCGGAGTGAAATGCGCGCCAGATCCTCCACTTTGGTGGTCTGCGTGGCCGAGAACAGCATCGTCTGCCGGTTCTCCTTGGGTAGGATCTTGACGATCTGCCGCATCTCGTCTTCGAAGCCAACTTCCAAGATCCGGTCGGCTTCGTCGATCACGAGCGCCTTCAGGTTCTTGTATACGAACCCCTTGGTGTTCTGGAGGTGGTCCAGCAGTCGGCCTGGCGTCGCGATCAGCAGGTTCACGCCCTTGGTCAGCTTGTCGGCCTCGGCGCTGCGGTTGGCGCCACCGATCACGATCCCGAACGTCTGGGTGTGGAATTGCATCAGGTCCCTGGCCACGCCGAATATCTGCAGTGCCAATTCCCTTGTCGGCGAGACTACAATCACCCCGGTCCCGTTGCGTGGCTTGAAGCGTAGCGCACGCAGCATCTCCACAGCCGGGATGAGGAACGCCAGTGTCTTTCCGGACCCGGTTTTGGCAGCGCCCAAGACGTCTCGCCCGGCCATGAGCGGTGGGATTCCACGTCGTTGGATCTCGGTCATGTTTTCAAATTTCATTTCCTTGATGGCGTTCATTGTTCTCTCCGAGAGTGCTAGTTCGGAGAACTTCTGCGGCGTGACGTTTGTGCCTGGTAGAGATGGCACTGTGTCGGTTGGGAGGTCTGTTGGGTTGATGGTGGTAGTCTCAATGGTTCCATTGGCTTCATTCCCAGTCTCTTCTAAATCGGATCCGGCTTCGTCGGCCGAGTTGTGCTCGTCGTCGAGAGCGGACTCATTATCCTGGTCCTCGTCCTCGCTGGAACTCTGCCTCTCCGCAGCATTGGAGGTCGGTTCAGACACATCTTCTACTCCAGAGTTGCCTTCTTCGTCACTTGTATGAGATGTTTTCCGCCTCTTCTGCTTCTTTGCTCCAGGCTGTGTCGTCGAGGCAGGGACTGGGACTGGGACTTTTTCGGTTGAGGCTGAAAGGGCGGGCTGAGCTTCCGCTACGGCAGCCGAGGACTTGCCATGCTTTCTCTTGCGTTTGTTCGACTTGTCGAGAGTAGACTCCATGGTGTTTTCAAGGTCCGGAGATTGAAGACGCAAGTGGTGTGATTGTGTGATTGTGGGAATGTAGGGAACCAGAAAAACACAGAAAAACACCGCGGCTGGCTTGGGAAACTTGCAATGCAGCCCGACGAAAAAAGTTAAAAAGTTCTGTTATCGATAACCAGTTTCTAGCCCTATGAGGACTAGTTTGGTTTTAGAGTAACCAACGTGGTTACGGAAACTATGCCGAGCCCCAACATCAACTGACACCTGCGCTTGTATCTTGTATCCATCGGTCTAGGAGCTACTTGTCTTCGTCTTTCTTTCCTAATTATAGGTTAGCCGAATCGTCTTTCTTTCGAGTTCATCGATTCCGTGGTTCTCTGCCTCTCGCACCTCTGGATCAGGGAAGATATGGCGCCGACTGATGAAGACATTGCTCGGTTCCGCTCTACGTTTCATCCCATCCCCAAGCGCGCGCTCCCCGACCGTTCGAGCAAAAGACAATCAGACGCTGCAGGCTTGTTTCAGAGCTCCGCCGTATCCCCGTTGCCGATAGAAATTGAAACTCCCTAACATGGCAATATTTGGTTTCGTCCATCTTCTCGAACCTGGCATTCTAAAACAGTTCGTTGCTGGCAGGCCAAACTCTTAGGCTTAGGCGACACTTGCCCCGAGGGATCAGGGACATCCTGGCTCATCTACTGCTCATCATCTCGACAAAGAATGGCAACAGAGGCTTCAGGCCGTCGGTAGTGACCTTGATCGGCAATGTCCATGATTCCCAACCGAATATCCAGAACTGCCTATAACATTTTCAGAAAACTCATGGTAATTTACCACGAGTTTTCTGAGGATGTATAGCGCGGGAGGCATGAGAAATCCCATGTAACACGCCACCAGGAATTAGAACCCTACGTGACTGATATCTGAGATATCAACCAGGCTTCAGTCTCCAATGATCAGATCCGTGCGAGTCCACTTGGCCCCAACTTCGAATTATACAGCAGATGTGACAAGCCCCGAACCCGCCGAGGAGTTTGGCGTGGTGGCTAATACTAGGATCAGTGTCATTCAGAACATGTTTACCTATGCAGGATCTGGCAGATGGGATACGCGCAAACCAGCAGATGGAAGATGGAAGACGGAAGACGGATGACGGTCCTATCAAGAGGACATCACCATCTCTCACGAGCAAAAAGGCCCATGGTTGGCTGACAGATGCAACCAGGATCCGGACACCCCCCGTGATGGTGTTGTGATTGGACTGTGAATCAGGGCTTTTGATAACGCTGGATCAGACCCAGCTTGACAAACGTGATTGTGATTGTGCTTATGCTCGGAACCTCTCCAGCAGACTCGGTCCAACTTGCCCCAGCAATCAGCACCACCGAGCATCTGCAAAGTACTTGTGAAGGGGGGCTTCCCGGAAGTGAATGAGTTGTAGGTGTTGTGTGTTGTGTGTCATGTCTTTGTTGTGGTGCCATCCAGCCTGCGCGCGCAGTTCATTGCTTCACTGCCTTGAGATCGACGCGTCTGGAAACACTGTAGTTAGACATATTCACTCACTGCATCAACATACAAAGCTTGTCCAACACCTCGTTTTACATTTTAACCCATTCCATCGTCAACAATTTGCAAAGTCTATGCTTCTCATGTCCAAACATCAGCCTGTTTGAACCCATCACTGTCGTTGCCTCAACGCACCTGCCGTCCAGTCGTCCTCAGCCTTGCAGTTCTGCCGGCACAATCATCCAGGGTCTTTAAAAGAGTTAGGCGCGAGCAGTCGTCATGAGTGGGTTCGTGCAGATGCCCCCTCCCGTCCAAGGTAAGTTTCATCTGAATGCGTTTGAGCAGCACTCGCTCTCTTTTTAGAAGGAAGACTAACGGCAGACAGATCGACCCGCTGGCAACAATCAAGGACGTCCAGGCCCATCATGGCAACGAGGCGGAACAACCACGGCCAAGGGGGATCGATGCACTCAGTGTATCGTGGGTCGTAAGGGCTGTGATGGAACGAAGCCGGTCTGCGTAAACTGTCGGAGGAGACCCGAACGCTGTCGATATCCTGAAGGACGCCCCTCCAGAACCCAAGTTTTGAGGATGCTGGAAGAAGAGCGCCAGCAAAACAACAGACAACAAGAAATAGCCGAGGCCGGGGATGATCATGGCGCTGTCATTCTACAGAATGATTTGACCAGAGGCATTGATGCTGGCGCCCTACTGGTCGTCAACACACAGCAGGAACAAGATGTCTTTGTGCAGGGCCAAAGAAGACTCACTCAAGGACAAAGAGAATGGGAGTCTCAGTATCAAGTGCTGTTGCCCAATTTTCGCCAAGCGCAGGGAGGGTTTGTGTCACTTGTCCAGCCTTTTCAGCAAGCACCAGCCCACCAGCCTGTGTCAAGGCCGACTTGGACGCAGGGCGCCGCAGTCCCAGTCCCGCAGCCACCCCGACGAACCCGTTTCACTGAGACAGAGCGCCTGGAACAAGTCCGAGAGAGAGTGCTTCAAAGCACAAGAGCATACCTGCGAAGAGAAAGAGAAGCTCGGCTACGGCAGGAGAGTGCCCAACAGGCAAGAGACATTGTCATGGAAGATTAGGACAGTTATGTTGAGGGGAGAGGGGAGAGCAGGGTTTCAAGAGTTAATGGTTAGCTCGATTCCACAGTGGCAAGATAGATGTGCCCGTCACATTGTGAAAATTGAATCATTGTGTATGTGATCTAACAGGAGACTCAGCCGGACTGATACACGTAATAAGCTTATTGCTAAAAGAAGGACCGGTTCTAGTTCAACCAGCAGTGAAGCCGTGAAAAGCCGCCCACTAAACAGTATCGTCGGTGGTGTAGATGTGCTTGTTAACGTTGTGAGAATAGAATCACTTTGTACAGAGTAAGAGTAGCACGGAGTACATATATGTTTGCCAGCACCGTCAAGGAAAATGGTTGTTCCATCTCCGAGACACCTTACGGGATGGATACAGTATCATCACTCACTAAGTACCTAGACTATCAAAGTGGGTACCGCCTTTATCTATCCGTATACTACTATTATTCTCACTCCTCACTCCTTTAGCTAGATACGAGAGACGAGAGACATCAAGCAACGGTTCTTCAAAGCAAAAGGTCAGCAAAGCAGTAGAATGCGAGAGTGTGACCAGATTAAGATTAATCGGGCTTCTCTTATATCTGATCTACCACCCATCCACTATCTACTGTCTTTAAACCCCTGCAAGCTCTGATTCCCAGAACACGGACGTTCAAATCCACCATGGCCGAATCATCATCACCATCACCAGATGTTGAAGAGCCAGTGCAGCTACCCACCGCAGAGCTTGTGAGAGTTGACGAGCACATATCTCTTCTCCCCCCGCTCTCGCGGCGAGGATATGGGCCCGGGCTGATCATCATCCTGCCGGAAGAGACACCGGCTTACGCGCAGGGCGGCGTGGTCTGCGAAGACGGCGTGCCGCCTCCTCTGCTCAAATGGGCCGAGGAAGGCTTTGCCACGGTGGAGATCCGCGAAGCCGCATTCACACGCTCTGGATCAGTGCAAAGCGTGCTCGGTCGCGCAGTGGCCGCTCTGGGAGCGTGTGAGCGGTGCCGCGAGGAGGGAGGGATCGGGGTGATTGGTAAGAAATCCTTGTTCTTTTGATTTTTGATTCCTTTTCTTCCTCATTCTGCTCTATACAGCAATCCTCTCTTACGATGTATCAAACATGGCTTTCTAGAACTGACTGGTTTCTTGTACCTTTGGTCCAAAGTCTTCGACTCTTCGATCTGGAGCAAATATCTGAACAGAGCCGTGCTCGACCCCAAAGTAAAAGCCGTCGTGGTCTACGGATCACGGGACACAGCCTCCGCCTCCACCTCGGCGATTGAGACATCAGTTCCTTGTCTGCAGCATCTCGCTGGAGCGGGCCAAGGCGAAGCAACAGACAAGGAACCGACGCCCGGCCGGACGGATGATCATGGGTCCAAAATCTACACCTATCCGACAGCGAAGTCGGGGCGATTCGCCCTCCCACGCCTGCAGGAATTCGATGGTGTGAACGAGTCGATTTCGCATACTCGAAACCTCGGCTTCCTCAAGAAGTACATCCGCGGCGCCGACTTCGACATAGAGGCAGTCTGGGAAGAGCACACCTACTTCGAATTCGCGGCGCGCTCGGTTCCCAAGACCATGGGCACCATGGTGCAGGAGCCCTATGTCAATCACATACCTACGGTAAGGGGGACCAAATCTATGCCGTGCCAAACTGGTCATATCTGTGCCGTGCCAAATTGGGTTATGCTTGTGTCGTGCCAAATTGGTCGATACCTGTGTCGTGCCAAATTGTTTTACACCTGCAGCAAATGTAGAAGCGGGCTGACCGTGATGTCGATATCAATTCTGATTAGATGACCGGTGGCATCGGACGAGAGCGACTGACCAATTTCTACCGATACCATTTCATCTTCAACAACCCCGACGACACCGAACTGGTCACGGTGAGTCGGACAATTGGCATTGATCGCATCTGCGATGAGTTCATTTTCAAGTTCACCCATGATAGGGAGATTGACTGGCTGTGAGTGCATACAGAATACAAGAAAACCCCCCCAAACCCAGAAACCCAGAAACCCAAAAGCAAAAACCCAAAAAAGGAAAAGAAAAAGAAACACAACGCCGTGCTTCTCAGAAGACGTGCATGAATGACCCCATCAATATTGGTGACTTCTCAGAAGCCGTGCATGACCCAATCAATATGTCGACCAGGTCAATCAGTCCTGTCTTGTCTTTCGCTGACTTTTCCTGCTATCCCAACATCTTGTCTTTCGCTGACTTTTCCAACAGGATCCCCGGAATCCCTCCTACAGGACGAAAGGTCGAGGTGCCCTTCACGTCGGTGGTCTGCGTGCGTGGCGACCGCTTATACCATGAGCATATTGCCTGGGACCAGGCGTCGGTGCTCGTCCAGTTGGGCCTGATGCCCGAGTATCTCCCGTTTCCGTATCCCCTTCCGGATGGAACCAGACCGGGGGCCGGGAAGAGATTCGAATACCGCGTCCCGACGGCTGGGATCGAGACGTCGCTCAAAATGCTCGATAGGAATGGTGTGTCTTCGAACAGCATGTTGGGATTCAAGATTCGAGAGGTCGACTTGTAAGAAGTGCATGGGCATGTGGATTGATGAGTGGCACGTTTGGGATTCAAGATTCGAGTTGAACATTCGAGTGGCACGTTTGGGGCATGTGGGTGGATGAGTGGCACGTTTGGGACTCAACATTCGAGAGGTCGACGTTTGGGCATGTGGATGGATGAGTGGCATGTTTCGTTATGCCTTGCTTGCCTTGCTTGCCTTGCTCTGCCTTGGCCCCATCGGCCGGATTTCGGATTTGGATATCATAGCTGTGTCGGTGCACACGCCTGGCTCATCGGCCTATCCAGCAATATACCTACCTACCTCTCTGTGCGTTGAGATGCCCACGGAAGGAATCTTCTACTCTTCTCTTCCAGGTGTGCTGAGATATCTACGGAAGGAATATTCCACTCTTCACTCAGACCCCCACCCCACAGGCCAATATATCATCCCGAGATCCGAGACTTTAGTTAGGTCAATGCTTTGTCTCACAGCCTTGCCAAGTCACTACTATTCCTACGTACTACATTGTTTACTAAACACTGGCACTGGCATCATCCCGTTCAAAATCGAGATTCAATTGTATTCGCCAAGTCTCAAGACTCTCTTTTTTGCCGTCTTGGGGCCGAGGCACCACGGGTCGATACTGTAGAACACTGATATGATACGTAATACGGTCCTTGGATGGTTAGGTATTTATAAGGTCGTATCGTGAGATGAAAATGAATTGACGTGTACACTACCGATACCATCTTCTGCACAACAGATATTCACAGATACCATCTTCTGCAGAACAGATATTTACAATGACGACGACGACGACAACGGCACTGGACATCCCTATTGTCGACGTATGGGCCAACCCTGTCGGAGGAGTAAGTCCACGTACATGCACGCCTCTCTCTGCCCAGTGTTCAATTCCCTTCAATTCGATGAGTTGTCGACTATGACCCCCACTAAACAACCGAGCTGAGTTCTTCTGACAAGTCCGTCTTAATCAATGGGGTCGGGGGGAGTCTCCTACCCATCTCCATCCACACTTCTCTGGACTGACCGTTGACATTGACATTGACTTCACGTTGACGTATTTATACAGAAGCCGATTCCCGAGATCGAACGCCTCTTCCAGCAAAGCCATGTCGACCCAGCCCTCATGGCGAGCCGGCCGACGCCACGCGAGCTGATTGCCATGATGGACGCGGGCGGCGTGACTCAGATCTGCCTGGCATCATGGCGACGACCAGACCAAATCATCTTCTCCAACGAAGAAGTCGCCGAGTTCACGCGGGCGTATCCGAGCCGCATCTTCGGACTGGCATCGGTAGATTTGCTCGACCCTGTCCACGCCGTCAAGGAGCTCGAGCACTACGTCGTCAAAGAAGGCTTCAAGGGGTTACGCGTCGTGCCCTGGTTGTGGAATCGGCCGCCCACCGACGCCCACTATTGGCCATTGTACATCAAGTGTATTGAGCTCGACGTCCCGTTCTGCACCCAAGTAGGACATACCGGCCCGCTGTGCCCGAGCGAGACAGGCCGACCGATTCCGTACATCGACTCCATTGCGCTGAAGTTTCCCCAGTTGAAGATCGTGTGTGGTCATATTGGGTACCCATGGACGGCAGAGATGGTCGCGGTGGCCTGGAAACATGAGAACGTGTATATCGACACGTCGGCCTACTTGCCGAAATACTATCCTGAGGAACTCATCACCTTCGCCAACACGACAGGACGCAAGAAAGTCATGTTTGGCACAAACTTCCCTCAGCTGACGTGGAAAGCTTGCGTCGAAAGTCTAGGCCGTCATTTGGTCCATCCGAAACGGGACTCTGCAAATGGTCTCAGGCCTGAGGTCGTTGCAGATTTCATGGGAGGCAATGCAAAGCGTGTTTTTAAGTTGGATCAGTCAGAACGTCAAATTCCCAAGGCGTCATTGTGATTTCGTCAAAGGATTCCAGCTTAATTCCAGAGTAACGCAGATACAAGGGACAGCTCCTTTGCTCCTTTGCTCCTTGCTCCCGTGTATCAGATATGTCCAAGTCCTGTGCCACATCAACGTCCAAACCAAACGCCTGATACTAAGAACAATTCATGAACCCATATACCTCAAAACTCCATGCCATCAGTTCCAGTAACCCCACTTTCATCCCTCTCCCGTTTCACTCGGACAAGCTCGCTCTTGAGCAATGATTTGATGAAGCCATCAAAAAGTTCGACATACGGTTTCAGACTCGTCTTTTCCCAGTCGTTCAGTTTTCTCATGGTCACACCGTCCTCGACGAATCCATTTGCCGGGTCATCCCCATCTCCTGCTCCGCTAAATTGGTCTACTTCCCTGAGAAGTTCATTGACTTTGGGTACTGAAAGTGGATCGAATGAATCTGCTCGGTCCATGTCGCCGGCTGCTGTGATGGGCACGCAGACTCGACCAGTGCCAGGATGCACCACAAACGGACTTTTCAACAAATGAATTTTCTTCTTTCCGACTTCCACATCCAATCTCGGATAGGTATACTCGAGCACAATGTCTTGCTTGGCTTGCAATAGTGCTTTTCGATCCAAAGTCTTGCTGGCCCCAGTCTCCGCCATCGCATCAATGTCGGCCCATTTCTTGTGACTGGGTCGATCGGGGCTGCTGGCCCACTTCTTCGCCAGCGCCTCACCGAGGGCCTTGTCTGGGAGCAGCTGCAGAAGCCGATCTTGTCCGGATTGTGATAAGAACGGCTCCTGGTCAACTAGGACCTGAGCAAAGTAAGGCTTCAAAATCTCGAGACTGCGTGTAATGTGAGGGTGAAGCGGTCGTTTGAGGTTGACCCTCTTTCCACCTTGCACACCTCCTTTCAGGACCTCGAAATATCCCGTTATTGCCTTCCGTTTGTCGTCGTCTAGCTCTCTGGCCTTCTTGTCGCTGATCCACGCGTGCACACCACGACGTCCCGAGTAAATCCAGATGATGTGCTCGAAGCCAAAGTCTTCCCGTAGTGCGACATCAACAACTTTGATGGCCATTGTTGCAAACGTCCAGCACTTTGAACAGATATTTGCCTTTTCACAGCATGTCCGTATATCGTCATAATCGGTCAAATCAATATCGAACACTATTTCTTTACTCAACGGCCGGAACATGGAGCTTTTTCTTAGTGTCTTCCGGTCTCGCGGATTCGTGGTATAGACAGGGCCAATCTCGAAACGGGATGGATTGTGGCGCAGAATATCTTTGCGGAGCATGTCTGCCGTAGGATATGACTGGTATCGGAGATAGGCATCGTTCGGTAGTGTGAGGGCAAATTCGCGGTTGCTGAAGTCTGGGCCAGGTTTGGGAGAGTGGTTGAGCCATTGGAAGAGAGACCGGAAGGGGAACAGTCGAGAATAGAATTGACGCATCAGGTTGGGATCTGAGTAAGACTCATGTTGAGCGCTTGAGGAAATGTCTGGGCCCGATGAGCTCGGGGCCGTCTGTGGTGGCGAGGAGGGGATGTTGGCCGCACTTGATGCCTCGAGCTCATTTGCTAAGGCCTCATCATCATCGTCATCGTCGTCGAAGAGGTCCCCAAGTGCTACACCCTCTTGATTCCCACCACTGGATCCAGAAGCCTGCTCTGGGGAGGGTATAGCGGTGTTCACTGGCGGAGGCGCATCTGGCAATATCACATCGTCATCTTTCGGAGGTGAAGACTCACGAGGCGACGACGACTCCGGCATTTTGATGCCCATGCTGTCAAAGGAACAGTGTCGAAGGAGGTTTGTGGTGTCGGGCGCTGTTGCTTTGGCTCTGAGAAGGCTCGCAAGAACACGCAGATGAAGGCGTGCCAATTCGTACACGCGTTGACGCGTCGGGCAGCAGGACGCGAGTGAGCAGTCGCGCCTCCACTCACATAATTAATGCCCCTAAGCCACTTTGGGCTTTATGTTAAACCACATGCAGGAGGTATCTATCTACATCGTAGTCTACGGAGTATACCTTACCTGTGACAAGAGACTACTATGGATATCCTTCCCTCGTGGAGGATGTAGAATGTGTCATGGCGCACTTTGGCATCCTCTGGCCAATGGCCTAGTGTTTAAGTAAGTCACCACGTTTGCCTTGGGGCGACCTGGATGACCACGAGAGGTTGAGGACCATGAGGCAAATCCACAATGCTCGACAAATGTTCAGACATACACGACAAGGCGAAATGAACGAAAACACCATTTCCAAATGGGTATAAATTCTTTAATTGGTATTCCTGCCACATGGTCGTTCCTAGATTCGTACCCAGATGTCCTCGGCCTCCCAAAAATATCATCAAGTGGCCGCATCGCCGGTCATCGAAACTTTGAAACCTAAAAATCTCCCACATCAAAGTAAATTCTCCTTCACCTCATTGGCGTCTGAAAATGGCCCCGAATCATGCTGAACAAGCGCGGGCCGAACTGTCGGGCTGGTGACACCGATATGTTGCGGGTCTCGAGCTCGATTGATGGCGTCCTCTATCAGGGCGTTGACATTTGTGGAGTTGGTTGTCTGGCCTTTTGTTGCTCCGCTGAAGGAATTTGGTTTGAGAGTGTCAGCTGATAGAATAGCGCTGACGGACGAGGATCTGGTTGAAGCCTGGCCGGCAAAAGTTGGCCTGGGGGTCGTTATTGGCAAGAGCGCGGATTCGCCATTGTCTGTATCAGGTGTGGTAGCAGACGATGAGAGGACAACCTCCTTTTCGTCGGAATAGACAGGAACAACGTTCTTGTCCGACGATTTGGGTGTGTTGCTTTTCCTGTTTGCCTCCTTCACCAGATTCGCCAGCGTAGGGACCCTTGTTCCCGAGTTAACCTTTTTCACCTCGATCGGACGGGCCGTGACGTTTCGCGCCACAATCGAACTGTTGCTAGTGCCTAATTTGGGTATTTGGGGAATTTGTGGAGTCCTCGAGCTGGAATTCGAAGAGGCACCAGGAGTGCTGTGTCCCGATTTAACACTCACGACGTTGGCTTGAGCTCTGAAGGCTTGTTGAGCCGGTATGGGAGGGACAATGGCATCACTACGGTAGATCGTTGTGGCCACGCTTTCACGAGCCAGACTGGGTGCCAAACTTATCCGAGGGTCCATCGAAGATGTGTCCGACCAAGTGGAATCCCGGAGATCCCCCGGCATGAAGAAATGCTGCTCCAACTGAGGAGTTGAATTGGTCGAACTCGGGGATATACCACCCGGTAGTGCAGGTACAGGCGGCACTTGAAACCCTGGAGACTCTGGTGGAGACCGAACTGTAACTCCGGGGATATAAGCAATCTGAATAACATTCGAGGCTCGTGTAAGAACGGTCGAAGCAATCGAGTGGGCGGATCTGGTAGAGCGGCGGTCTGGATGGCGCAAGGTAGATTGATCTCGTTTTTCAGGGGGGGACCAAGTCTCAACGCGCCTCTTCTTCCGGATGCAAAACCACCAGATCAGAAAAGAAAAGGCAGCTAGTGCCACCACGCCTCCGATGACGCCTCCGACAATACCTCCGATAGGTTTTGATTTCTTCGGTGCATCTGCGCTCTGGCCTGGTAGTGAACCGATTTTCACACACGTTGTCGAGGCGCATGCATCACAAGACGAGACCTTCAGGGAGCATGTCTCATCAGCAGCGCAAGAAGGGCAGCTTGGAGGATCCGGAGGGCACTGCAAACAACGTCGGAATAGAGGACGATATGAGGTAGGATCATCAACTGCGACAGGTGTTAGAAAAAACCGGGATAGGGGTTCGGGGATTGGTATACAGTGTATCGAAGCCATCACAACGCTGTGATATTTCAAGATCTGATATGAACCTTCAGACAGACTCTAGACCCTCACGGTGAAGAGCACCCAGGAAGGCCGTGTGCCCAAGCCTTGAAATGGGCTCCTCCGTTCGAACACGGTCGGGAACGACTCGGATTGTCTTGGTAGCTACTTCAACAATATTCCCTCGTCGTACTCATGCTCTTGAAGACCCTCTCTTTGATTGATCGGAGTTTTGGTACGTGGCTGAATGATCGTGGTCGCTCTTCGCCGTCTGATTGACCTGGAATGAAAGGGGGATTGTCGGGCGAATTGGTAGGTGGAGCGCAGTAGCCAAGGTGACCAAAAACAGACGAAAGAATGTGGGATGAGACAATTGCTCTGGGTAGGATGCCAGCACCAAGAATAAGCCAAAAAAAAAGAAGAGAATGGTTTAATTCAAAGATTGAACAGAAGTTGGTACGTGAATTGGAATGACTGAGGTCAATTGACACAAGAGGAAGGGAGGTGGAAGGTGAGGGACGGACGGTAAGGTGGTGGGCGAGAGAAAGCAGATCTCTTTGTTCTCGACCTGGACCGAGTGGGCTAGAAACAGCACTCAACAGGGGCGGCCCAGTAGTAACGGCCGCAGTGAGCATTGGGCACAGGGTTAGCAGCAGTTGACAGCGTTGGTGCCGACGACTCACGATGCACAGAGCGGTGCCAGAGCACCCACCACCCTCGCACTGACTGCGCTTTGCACAAGAGGATCTGAGGGAGATGAAGGGGCTTGGACCCAAGCAGCGCGAGGAGCCCGAGGCGTGGATCCGGGGCTGTTGTTGGTGGACAGGCGCAACGCGCGGCAGCCTAGAGAAGCCTAAGGGCTTAGGGGCTCTTCTATGCCTTGTAGGGGAAAGTGTCGCGTTCATTCAAACAGCGTCCTTGCAGGGGCTGCTTGGGCCTCAAATCTCCTGACCACTCCTCCAGGATGAGGTCTTCCCAATCAGTGGCCATCATCGAGTTGAACAGGCGATACTCCGTATTGCTTCCAGTATCAGCGCCGTCGGAGTTCTACTCAGTATACGGAGTATTGTTGCGTCGCATTGGAGATGCTCGTCAAAACATCTGCTATCAGCGATCGTTGGGAAGCACGATCTGGGCAAGCCTGACTGACGGGGCGTGTTGACAGGTCACTTCTAGGTAGTGATTGACTCAGCCGTCTCACAGTCTCAGTGTCATCAGGGCGTCAACTCGAAGTCTGATAGTGCAACATCAGGTGCATGCTCGACATGTGCACTTGAGGCGGTAGCAATGTTCTACTCCAGTAGTCCACATCTCTTGTAAAGTAACCCACTACTCCGTATTTTGCGAAGCCTGTACGCAAATGCCAGAGGCATTCCATTGTATCCGTACGCATATATCACACTTGAACACCATTACTGACTTTAGTCTAGTGGTGTCTCCTGCCAGCTTTCTTAGGTGCGCATGTACTGTCGTGGTCCAAGCTGTACGGAGTACTTCCTCCTAGATCATAATAATAATAATATGCCCAGTCTGCAGCATGGTGAAGTCTCCGTACAAAGCAAGAAATAGTTCTCGGTGCCCGAACTCGGTACTCGGTACTAACCTGGCTACTGCATGAGGGAAGGGGAGGTCAGACAATGCAATACTCTGATAGTCTGTTCTCGCCAAGGCTGAGGAGGCCAGCCTCTTACACTGCACAGCCCTCTTCTAAAAATATGAACTGGTGGTGCTACTGGTGGCTGTGGGTGTGGCGCCCGCCTACTAGAAGAGAGTTAACAGTTAACGTTAACAACACAGAAGCACACAAGAACGAGTGGCACGAGTAGCACGGGCTTAAGGCTTACAACTGCAAAGGTTATTAGTCTACATAGAGTTATGCACCTGAAGACTCAGGCGGCGTGTGAAGCACCCCTCCACCTCTCATACCGGCAGTTGATTCTCTCCGCGGCTTCGCTTCACTAACTGCGGAGGGTCAACGGCAGTCCCTAAGTGCTGAGACGCTTCCTTCCGCGGCGCCACTAGGCAGTGAGCGGGTCGATCGAGAACTAGGGAGAAGGGACTCGGGAGAACCCATCAGCACATGGAACCATGACGCGTCTATGCTTGTGGCAGCAGAAAAAGATGTTGATGTAGGTTGAATACTCCTTGGTCTGTAGAAAGGTATGTCTTGGAGGAAGATTCGTTTGCCCACTCTGCACGAAGTCTTGAATAGAAGCCCGTTGTGGAACAGTGTAATACTGGTAACTGGCTGCGGGGCCAAGGGGCCGCCGAAAATCCTTAAGCCTGAGCCGCCAGCCACCAGATCCGCAGTAAGCGAGGCAGAGCAAACTCCAACTTGAAGGGTCAAGCCTGGATCTGGAGTCTTGGTTTACCCAGTGCTCCGTACACGACGCCGACGAATGATTACTCGTCTTTGGTCTCCGGCCATGGGTGTCAAGCATGTCAGTGAGGCGGTGTACCAGTGACTGGCGGAGACGGCCAGCTAGCCCTGTCGTCAGCGTTCCTCAGCTGGGCTGCGCAGGCTCAGGGGAGGCGTCGCTGTGAACCAAGACCCTGGCATGACATGCAGTGTAAGACTGCGTGCATCCAGCTGGCAAGGGAAACCTGAAACGCCTCAGTCGCTCATATTCCTTGTCTGTTCACAGTGAATCCTCATCCTACAGTCCATACCTTTCATCTCGTTGTGAATTCTTTGTCCTTGTTCCCATCTAATTTTCACTCTTCCGCATTCGTCTCTCTCTCTCACCCTGATTCTCACCCTTTGCTCAATCACCTGTGTTTCTTGCGGATGAGAAGCATTGCATAGACTAATCCCAGCCCTGGCGGCTGTCATCTTTCAACCAGTCCACCGCTCGCTACCTCACCACTGGCTTTAGGTGGTCGTACCAACCAAGCCCCATAACCTCAACAAGCTTGTTGACCGCAAGCCAAAAGTTGCGCCCAGAGACATGGCAAACCAATATCCTGGCCACCAACTGGATGATATTCCTCCTACAAACGTATGTGAAGAGCAGCATCGTAAATCTGAAGCGAGCATGACACTAACATCATGTAGGTTTACAGACCTCCCAGACGCCGTTCAGATGATGAAGCGGAACACTCCTTACTCCATCAAACCTCCGCATATCAACCCCAGTATGACGATCCTCACTCTCGGCCTCTAACCCCTGGACAAGAGTCGGTTTACACCTTGAATGAGTCGTATGTGGGAGGAGATCCTTCGAAAGTGCCCGTTACCACTTACAATCCACAATATACCCAGCCCTACGGCTCAGGTTACGACTCTGGTAATCTGCAACCAGGCTTCCCGAGTTCAGGACCGCCCGATCCCATTGAGCGAGCCAACTCAACCGAAGCTTGGAAAGAGCGGCAGGCGCCTGGATTTGGAACGATCAAGCGCTATGCTACCAGAAAGGTCAAACTTGTCCAAGGCAGCGTGCTGAGTATCGACTACCCCGTTCCCAGTGCCATTCAAAACGCCATCCAGCCCAAGTATCGAAATGACCTGGAAGGAGGCAGTGAGGAGTTCACACACATGCGGTACACGGCAGCCACTTGCGACCCCGACGATTTCACCTTGAAGAATGGGTACAATTTGCGCCCGGCCATGTACAATCGACACACTGAGCTGCTGATTGCCATTACCTACTACAACGAGGACAAAGTCTTGACAGCTCGCACTCTTCACGGTGTCATGCAGAATATTCGTGATATCGTCAACTTGAAGAAGTCCGAGTTCTGGAACAAGGGTGGCCCGGCGTGGCAGAAGATCGTCGTCTGTCTCGTGTTTGACGGCATCGACCCCTGTGACAAGAACACTTTGGATCTGCTGGCCACTGTGGGCGTCTATCAAGACGGAGTCATGAAGAAGGACGTGGATGGCAAGGAAACTGTGGCTCATATCTTCGAATACACGACACAACTGTCGGTCACCGCGAATCAACAACTCATTCGACCCAACGACAACGATGCGACATCCCTCCCGCCTGTGCAGATGATCTTCTGTCTGAAACAGAAGAACAGCAAGAAAATCAACTCTCACAGATGGCTCTTCAATGGGTTTGGCCGCATACTCAACCCCGAAGTTTGCATCTTGCTCGATGCAGGAACCAAACCTGGTCCCAAGTCCCTGCTGGCGCTCTGGCAGGCTTTTTTCAACGACAAAGATCTGGGAGGTGCTTGTGGTGAGATCCATGCCATGTTGGGGCCGGGCGGTGTCTTCGGGAGAAAACTTCTGAACCCCCTGGTGGCGGCTCAAAACTTCGAGTACAAGATCAGCAACATCCTGGACAAACCGCTGGAGAGCTCATTTGGATATGTGAGTGTCTTGCCCGGCGCATTCTCAGCATATCGTTTCAGAGCCATCATGGGTCGCCCTCTTGAGCAGTATTTCCACGGTGACCACACTCTATCCAAGAGACTGGGAAAGAAGGGTATCGAAGGCATGAACATTTTCAAAAAGAACATGTTTTTGGCCGAAGATCGTATCTTGTGCTTCGAATTGGTCGCCAAAGCTGGGTCGAAATGGCATCTCACCTACGTGAAAGCCTCCAAAGCCGAGACTGATGTGCCAGAAGGCGCCCCCGAATTTATCGGCCAGCGACGCCGCTGGCTCAATGGCTCCTTTGCCGCCTCCATCTATTCGCTGATGCATTTCTCCCGCATGTACAAATCCGGACATAACATCATCCGGATGTTCTTCTTCCACATCCAGATGATTTACAACATTGTCTCCGTCACTCTATCCTGGTTTTCGCTCGCTTCGTTCTGGCTGACTACCAAGGTCATGATGGATCTGGTAGGCCAGCCAAGCACCAGCAACAACAATTCGGCCTTTCCATTCGGTAACACAGCGACTCCAATCATCAACACGATCCTTCAGTATTTGTACATGGCTTTTCTACTGTTGCAGTTCATTCTGGCGCTGGGAAATCGGCCCAAGGGTTCGAAAGTGGCATACATCATCTCATTCTGCCTCTTCGGGCTCATTCAGCTTTACGTCATTGTGTTGTCAATGTATTTGGTGGTCCGGGCCTTCACCAGCAAAGACGGGACTGACATCGTTACTAACGAGGGAGCGAATGAGTTTGTCAAGTCTTTTTTCTCCTCAACTGGACCAGGGATCGTCATCATTGCTCTCGCCGCCACGTTCGGGCTGTATTTTGTCGCCTCGTTCCTGTACATGGATCCCTGGCACATGTTCACTTCGTTTGCTCAATACCTGATCATCATGCCGTCTTTCATCAACATCCTGATGATTTACGCTTTCAGCAACTGGCACGATGTCTCGTGGGGAACCAAGGGCTCGGACAAGGTGGATGTCCTTCCTTCTGCCCAGACCACGAAGGATGAAAAGGGCAAGACAGCAGTGGTGGAAGAAGTTGACAAGCCGCAAGCAGACATTGACAGTCAGTTCGAAGCCACTGTTCGGCGTGCCCTGGCCCCATACAAACCACCGGTGGAAAAGGAAGAGAAGACTTTGGAGGACTCTTACAAGAACTTCCGAACCCGACTGGTTGCGACTTGGATTTTCTCGAATGCGTTGCTTGCTGTTGCAATAACAAGCGACAGCCTCGATAAGTTCGGCTTCACAGTGAGACTCTCATCAATCTCCATGCATGGAATATCATTTGCTAACCTACGTAACAGTCTCGAGCTACTTCAAGAACCAGCCACTTTTTCCAAGCACTCCTGTGGACAACTGCGGCATTGTCTCTAATTCGATTTTGTGGGTGCTGTTGGTTCCTAGGAAGGACTGGTTTGTTGTGCTGTTTCAACCGAAGATAGTTGGGTCTGACCTGGAAATTTTTGCATAAAAAAGCAAGCGTGGGCCTGGCAGGCAGAGCATATGGAGCAATCGGGATAGGACTCAGGACCTGGGGAGGGCCATCAAAAATGGAGCGCATTGTCCGTCAGTGTATCTGGCAAGATAGTCTGGAACAAAATGTCATGATCATGGAGGGAAATAACACGCCATGCACCGTGAATGTAAAATCAGGCCTCGGCCAGATTGTGAGATTGTGTTGCAATCCAAGAGCCCCGATGCCGCCACGTCATGTGAGCATGGGCGCTGGCGGTGCGGTGTTCTCCAACGCCCGTTGTCAGGTCCCGTCCGCTTCAGAGGACCTCTTCAGGCTTCACTCCTAGACTGCCATCCATAACACCTTGTTTGCGCCGCACTTCCTTTGTGCTCCCTAAGACTCGTTTCTTTGTCACTACCTACGCAGTCACCTAATAGCCGTCACCTATAGTATTCCGTTTGCGAACCTCATTGTCCCGAGTTTCTGATCCGGTCACGCCGAGCCCTACTTGCGCCATTCACTTCCTCTTGAACGACTTTCACTGCCTCCCGTGTCCCTACGACATCGCAGCCCTTTGGACTTTATTATTGTGTCGCGTTGGTCTAAACACCAAGAAGCAAGTCTCCGAGTGAATTACACTTCTGCGCCTGCGTGGCGTACTTTAACCGTCAAGATGATGAAAATATGGTCCATGGTATGAGAGTCGACGGTATTGTCAACATCTGCTGATAGCCATACCCAGAAACAACAGCAACAGAAGGATGAACAAGCGCAAGGGCCCGCCCAAAAAAAGAAGAAGGTTACGGCAGCGCAACTACGGGTGCAGAAAGGTTGGTGAAATGCGCCGTCACCCAGGACGTGAACATTACTAAATGGCCTCAGATCTGAGCGAGTTGTCTCTGGGATCAACCATGAAGACCACTTTCCCGAATCCAGACGACATCCTAAACTTCACGCTTACTATCGAACCCGACGAAGGCATGTATAAGGGCGGGAGCTTCGTCTTTACTTTCTCCATCAACCAGAACTTTCCGCACGATCCGCCCAAGGTCAAGTGCACGCAGAAGATCTATCATCCCAATATCGACCTAGAAGGCAATGTCTGCTTGAACATCCTGAGGGAAGATTGGAAACCGGTGTTGAATCTAAATGCGGTCATTGTAGGCATGCAGGTGAGCAAGGCCACACCCCTGTCGTGTTTTCGCTTGCTGACTGAATGTTCAAGTTCCTCTTCCTCGAGCCCAACGCATCCGACCCTCTCAACAAGGAGGCCGCCGAGGATCTTAGAAACAACAGAGAGGGGTTCAGGAGGAACGCGAGAACAGCCATGAGCGGGGGGACAGTGAAAGGTGTAAGCTACGACCGAGTCCTTCGATGATGGTCCTGGTATTTTCTTTAGAATGCGACAAAGATGAATGAACGAACGACATGGTTGTACATTGTGGGTTTCGAAGCATTGTGGTCTCGGAGCCGGCAAGCTTAGAGGGTGAATCTGTGGCATAAGCCGACTTCTCTTGAGCGACGCTCTCTCTGGCTCTCTCTCTCTCTTTCTTTCTCTTGATCGATGTAGACAAAGAAGTCAAATGCACGTGTGTTATTTCAATCGAATAACCCAATGGATCAAAAGTCAGGCCTGTATAGCGAGCGTTGTACATATGAAGCCTGCGCTGCGCTGGGTCAAGACAGTCCAGACTCCAGACTCGAACCCTGCCACCGGGGAGACTAGCGAGCCTCCGAAGCGGGCTTAGGAGGCCTTAGCCCCCTTCTCGGAGCCAAGCACCATGCCCGCGGCGAATTCTGTAGCAACCAGCCCACTAGCAGTAACTGGACCGTATATCTAGGGACTTCAGTGCTGCCGAATCGCCCAAAAATTTCCCCAGACTCATTTTCGACTCACAATTCTTCACCGTCTCTCCTCTCACTCCCACTCTCACAACAGTCGGACATCATGGCCTCCAAGACCTTCGTGAGGACGCTGCGCACTGCTTCCAAGCAGAAAATCAGTGCTCCGTCCATCCCCAAGCGCTCGTTCGTTTCTGCTACCGCAACTAGACCAGTCGTTGCAGCCCAGCGTACTGCCCTTGCAGCTGCCAGTCAGCAGCAAACGAGAGGGATCAAGACAGTTGACTTTGCTGGTACCACGGAGACTGTCTACGGTACGTATCGGGAGAATCCTTTGCTCCGACGACTTTACTGACATGTGTGTGCTTAGAACGAGAGGACTGGCCGCGCGAGAAGCTTCTTGTATAGCTCACAACCTACACCTACCTTGACAATTCAACGTGGCTGACGGCGAACTAGGATTACTTCAAGAATGACACTCTCGCCCTCATTGGCTACGGCTCCCAGGGTCACGGTCAAGGTCTCAACCTCCGTGACAACGGCCTGAACGTCATCATCGGTGTCCGGAAGAACGGCGCATCGTGGAAAGAAGCAGAACAAGATGGGTGGATTCCGGGAAAGAACCTCTTTGAGGTCGACGAGGCCATCTCTCGAGGCTCCATCATCATGAATCTGCTCAGTGATGCCGCGCAGAGTGAGACCTGGCCCGCGATCAAGCCTCAATTGACCAAGGGAAAGGTGGGCTCAGTCACTACAAGTCAATTAGTAACGCCATGGCTAATATGTCTCAGACCCTGTATTTCTCTCACGGTTTCTCCCCCGTGTTCAAGGAGTTGACCAAGGTCGATGTCCCCAAGGACATCGATGTCATCCTTGTCGCCCCCAAGGGATCCGGCCGAACGGTCCGATCTCTGTTCCGTGAAGGCCGCGGTATCAATTCATCGGTCGCCATCTACCAGGATGTCACCGGCAAAGCTGAAGAGAAGGCTGTCGCCCTGGGTGTCGCCATTGGCAGCGGTTACCTGTACAAGACCACTTTCGAGAAGGAGGTGTACTCTGACCTGTACGGCGAGCGAGGTTGCTTGATGGGTGGTATCCACGGCATGTTCCTCGCTCAATACGAGGTTCTGCGAGAGCGTGGCCACTCTCCCTCTGAGGCATTCAACGAGACTGTCGAAGAGGCCACCCAGTCACTTTACCCTCTCATCGGTGCCAATGGCATGGACTGGATGTACGCCGCCTGCTCCACCACCGCTCGCCGTGGTGCCATCGACTGGTCCGGCAAGTTCAAGGACACGTTGAAACCCGTGTTCAATGAGCTGTATGACAGCGTCAAGACCGGCAAGGAGACCAAGCGCAGCTTGGAATACAACAGCCAGCCCGATTACCGGGAGAAGTACGAGAAGGAGCTGGAAGAGATCCGAAACTTGGAGATCTGGCGTGCCGGCAAGGCTGTTCGGTAAGTCGAGAGCTTCTTCTGGTTTCTGCACCGATCCGATACTAACGAGCGATGCAGCTCTTTGCGACCAGAGAACCAGTAACTCGGTGGCCCCAATCCACAACATTTGTGACTTGATAGTACCACGAGGCGTTTTGCAAAAGTTGAGGCTGGACTAAACTGGATGGAGGACTCTATCTAGTCGGTATTAAGGTTGGGAAAGAAATGGAGAGTAGATGGGATTCTGCAGCAAATACTGCCATTGCCATTGCTTCTGCCACTGTCTTTGAGCTTCATCGATCCATGTCCATGTAAATTGTAAATCCCTACGGTATCTAATCTCAGCCTGCGCAACCCACGCAATGCGTAGCCGATCTCGGAGATGTGCACCGACTACTGTACATATTACAGGCACATTTCTGAAGATGTTTTTGTGGATTCCAGCTCCATATCACTTCTTTAGTACGGAGCGGAGTAGTTGGTGGTGAGTAGGCTTGGTCTGTCTTCAGTATCGACAGTGTGCCAAACGTCTCCAGCTTGAGAGTTGCCCATTTCCTCTTCTGTGCCTGCCACCCGTCGATTTCTCCAGAAGTGCTCCAGACAGAGACGCCGACTTACACGTTGACTGCCCTGGACTGCAGAGAGAGCGAGGGAGAGAAAGAGACAGACCTTGATCCGATCACGCCATTCCATTTCACGCCGTGACCTGACCTGACCTTACGTGTTATCTGACTTGACAATTACATATACATATCCATATACATATATTATTACTCCGTACGGTGTACACTGTCCTGGACAGAGTACGTACTGTGCAAGCACAGTGACCAAGCGACCATTTGGTTGATCCTTGGAGCCAATCCGGATCTCACGTCCAGTATCGACCATCGAGCAACGACCATCGACCAACAACCATCGAAATGGCCGATCCGTCCACCTGCCCGCCGTTGATCCCATCATCCATCCGCGCTGCATACTCCAAGATCCAACCGTACATCCACAAGACACCCCTCCTCACCAGCCACAGCCTCGACGCCATAGCCTCGTCGCCGGACCCGACAGTGTTCCTGTCCGACAACCCGCCCAGTTTCAGTTTCGCCGGCGTAGGCGGTACTGTTTCTTCCCAGTCCAATGCCGAGGAGGTGTTTGTTTCATCTCAATCCAATGCCGAGGAGGTGTTCGAGTCGACGCCAAAGTTCCATCTGTTTTTCAAATGCGAGAATTTCCAGAAGATCGGCGCCTTCAAGGCCAGAGGCGCCTTTCATGCCGTCACGAGACTTATTGAGGAAATGGGACTCGAGGAGGTCCGGAGGCGAGGTGTGGTTACCCACAGTAGTGGTAAGTTACTCAAGAGTGTAGTTATCAAGAGAAAAGAATCTCCTTCTCTTCCTCCCTCCCTTGTCCTTTCTCTCCCTCTCCCTCCTACCAAGTCCTCCAACCTCTCCGAGGATTCCTTTGTTGGTTTCACCTCTGTACAAACTCAGATGGTCGGACATCTGCAGATTACATACCCTGGTGTTGAAGTTGAATTACATATCCTGGTGTTGAGGTAGAATCGGACGGTCAGATTTGTGATTTGTACGCTGGATGTGTTGACCTAGGCTGCTATGCGAGGCTGCATTCAGGATCAGGGTTATGCCTGGATGGTTGCTCCAAATCCACGCTCGGGATCTGGACGTGTTCTGTGTCGATTGGTATTGCTATTCTTGTTCAGCCTCACTTCAGCACACTGCTCCACACCCTCCAGCTTCCGTTCTCTGCTCTACCACAATCTACCCATACTGACATGCACATCCTTTCTTTTCGCGCATCGGTAGGCAACCACGCACAAGCACTAGCTCTAGCGGCCTGGACATTCTCGATCCCGAGTTACATCGTGATGCCGAAGATCAGCACGCCGTCCAAGATTGCAGGGACCAGACTGTACACGCCGAACGTGCTCTTCAGCGGGTCAACGTCGCAAGAGCGCGAGGCGGTGGTGGCGCAGGTGGTGGCCGACAAAGGCGCCATCCTCGTGCCGCCGTACGATCACCCGGACATTGTGCTGGGTCAAGGCACGATCGGGCTCGAGATGGAGCAGCAGTTGGAGGAACACCGGCAGAGCCAGAGCCAGAGCCAGAGCCAGAACTCGAACCAGGATCAGAACACCCAGAGCCAGAGCCAGAATCAAAACACCCAGAACCAGAACCCGAAGCAGAATCAGAACCAGAACCCAGGGCCGACGCTGCAGCCACCTTCAACCACGACTACAAAGGCCGGATTCGACGCCGTCATCACACCCCTCGGCGGCGGCGGTCTCCTCGGCGGCACGGCCACCTGGTTCTCCGACAAGCCCGGCACGCTGGTGTTTGGAGCCGAGCCGTCGTTCGAAGGCGCCGACGACGGCCGGCGCGGACTACTGGCCGGCGCGCGCATCGAGCACGTCAAGTCGCTCACGATCGCCGACGGACTGCGCACGCCGCTGGGCCTGATCAACTTCGACATCCTGCGCGACCGCAACCGCCTCGAGGGCATCTACGCCGTGACCGAGGACCAGATCCGAGCGGCCATGCGGCTGGTGCTGGAGCGCGTCAAGGTCGTCATCGAGCCTAGCGCCTGTGTCGGCCTCGCCGTCGTGCTGTTCAACGCCGAATTCCGCGCCCTCGCCGCCCAGAGACAGCTCGGCCTCGAGAATCCCGTCTGGGACGTCGGCATCGTCTTCAGTGGAGGCAATACCACCGTCAAGGCTATTGCTAAGTTGTTCGCTGACGATTCCGATTCCATCTGATTTTGGATCCGACCAACCCAACCGAACAAACCCAACAAACCCAATCCAACCCAGTTCCGGATGCCGGAAGCCGTCTGAGACCCCCACCACCGACAAAACTGCCTCAGTCGCAGAGAGGTAGCAAGCTCCCCAGGTGCAGATGGCAGATGGGAAGAAGACCAGCATTTGCGCGATTCCACCCTTCATTGAACGTGTGCAGTGGCATATAGAGCAGGCAAGGCATACATACAGTAGGTATAGGTATATCATCTAGTATCGAGTATCTAGGATCTTTCGACCCCTTCACCACTCACTCAGCCTCGAGTCCTCCCCCGAGCCAGCCTTGGACTGAGGCCAGCACTGCTCTGCTAGCATGTCATCAATAGAAACGAAACTGTTTGCACGATACTCTATGATGGACTGGACTGGACTGGACTGGATTGGTCTGGTCTGGTCTGGTAGAAAGAGAAAGAGAAATAGAAATCTCGACTGCCAGACTGGTCTGGTCTAGCCTGGGTGCTGTACAAGAGCATAGAATTAGAAATTAAACATAGGAATAGAAATCCCAACACAACACCTTATGTGTACGTGTATGTAGCACACATCAGCGAGACAGCATTCCTTTCCGTTACTGTATGTTCAGCAACGACCGCAGCGACGATCCAGGGCGATGCTCTACCTTATCAGAGTGACGCGTAGTTGGGTTGGTACCTACCTACCTACCTACCTACGCAGGTGTAGATCTGTAAAGGTGCTTAAGTATCTGGAAATATCCCGTATCCATATCCATACCTATATCTAGACTGAATACGGGGTATGAATACCTACCTATGGGGCCATAAGAGCCGCTCCACCACCCCTTTATACATAAAAGGTAGTAGGTAGGCAACTTCCATTCATCCCGGGACTCCATCTATACGTACCAGGTAAGGTCTCCGTGCTGCGTACAGAATCTCGTTAGAAAGAATATGCAAAAAAAAACCCCCGAAATCCAAAAAATGAGAGGAGTGGGGTTCGAACCCACGCTTCCTTACGGAAAGCAGAGAATTTCAAGTATTTATGAAGTGACTTAAATCTGCCGCCTTAAACCACTATTGAGAGAACTGTTAGGGCGTGGTTCCGGAACAAAAGATGAGCAGGAGGAGCTAATTACCTCGGCCATCCTCCCTGGATGAAATTAGGATGATTTTTCGACTGTTGGGTTTATAAGGTGGTAGGTTTTGGTGGCCTATTGTGGCTTAGGGGGATTAACTCTAACCCTAACCCTACCCCTAGGTACACGCTTGAATGCGGTCGGAGAATTCTACTGTACTGTACACTACCTGTACCTAGGTATCTACACATATTGAAGATAACACCTTCGGTACCTCAAACATACATCCCTCTTCGTCGTCGGTTAGATATTTACAGAGTGTCATGTCCGATGTAGAGGCTAGGGTTTAGAGGAAAAATGTCTGAATGTGGTCTACATTATAGTATACGGAGTACAGGCAGGCTGGTCATGTATCCGTGGTGGTAGCTTGTTCTGCGACGTCTCATTATCTACAAATAATCGTTGCTTCTCCAATGTCCCGACTCTTCAACCGGTCTAGTAGTTCCCTCTCGCTGATTTCCAGGTCGGTGCAGATTTCATCGAAACAGTGCGTCCCATCCAGATACTCCATAATCTTCGAGTTCAAATGAGGCCTGTCGTACCGTTTGCCACCGACCTGATCCTTGGTCTGCTTGGTTTGACTTTGCGACGTCTCCTCGCTGTAAGGGCGTCCGCCGGGCATGCTCCGTGTCAGATAGTGCACATGTTCTGAACCAGCGTCCGTGTGTTGCCCATGCATCGATTGCCCCTTCTGCGTTCGGATGGCATAACGGTGGATCCGATACAAGAATCCCTTGATGACTCCGAAAGTCACAAATCGCCGCATGTCGATGTTGGCTAGCATGTTCGCATTCTGAGCATACCATTCTCTCACCGTCAGGCCTTGTCTCAGACAGGCAAAGAGTTGAACAATCCCTACACCGTCCACGGGTTCGCCTTTGCCCGTCAGCGGCCAGATCTCCTCGTCTGCCAATGTGACTGAGGTCAATCCACTGGTCCGGCGTTCGACCGTGCCATCAATCACGGCTTCCTCCTGAGCCCCCGGCGCAAATGCCGTGTTCACATACCTCGCACACTCCTTCTGCATCTCGGTGTCCTTTGCAATCAGGTTGTCGAATTCGGCGGTGGGCGCGTAGATGGCGTTGAAGCTGAAGATGTCGAGCAGCAATACGCATCCATAATACAGTAAATGCTTGATGCATTTCTTCGTGAGCTTGATGTCGGCATCAGCCAGAGTGGCGATCCTCTTGACGCTGTTCACACCATTGATGTACCGGATGATCCGCAGCATTGTCAAATCCCAGTTCTCGTCCACCATGGTCTCGATTCTGACTGTAAATAACGGGACATGCCACGGCTTCACACTGGCTGGATTGGGGAGCGTCGGAAACAACTTGATATTCAACGTGTTGAGCTCGTCGATCGGGATCATGCATTCACAATAGTCATTCAGGTCTTCCATCAGCATCTCGCACAGACTGTATATTTTGCCAGAGTTGGGCGCCGCAGTGTCATCGCTCAGGAAATAGGACTGTTCTTCCAGACTGCGCATCAAATGCGCCAACTTCTTAACCACAGATTTGTAAGAAGGCACATCGATTGTGGAGGGATCGCTCAACACGAGAGCAAAGTTGAAGATGAACTCGTTTCGAGGATAGTGAGAGGAGGTCAGGCATAACGGATAGGACAGGACTAAAGTAGGAGGCGTGTTTGGTGTCAGAGGTGGCGGAGATAGAGAGATCAGGTTCCCGCACAGCGACTGGCGAGGGATAACGAAGCGCGATATGGTAGAAAATGAGAGTAGGGAGGTTGAGGTGCCGGACGAAGGGCCATTCGGCGGTGGAACGTCTGCCGTTGTCAAGACCGATCCCTCCGGCACTTGATGGACTATCTTGGGGCCTGGAACCGTGTCAGAACGTGGCATTGGAGGAGTGAGCATCAGTCAAGCACCTTCATGGGGATCGAACTTGCTGTAGAATATGGCTTTGATAGACATATTCTGCCGTGGTGACGGTGATGTTCAAGTTGTAGTCAAGGAGGTCAAGCCAGTCTCGTGACGGATGGAGGTCAGTGAGAGGACGCCATGTCCTCTTTCCGTCAGGATTACATCGTCCCACTAAGCCACATACATGGAGAGCAGACTGGCGCCGGCGTTGGGCGAAGTCAACCAGTTCAACTTGAAGATGAAGTTGAAGTTAACGGCATAGAATGCGGGATGTGAATGTTGCAGGCTGCCGCTTTAGATCTGGTCACGTGAGTGACCCTTACAGAGTACTCCGTATTCATCAACTACCTAACATCGACCTCTACTTATTACCAATTTACACAATACTCGACAAGATCTAAAGGCGACACCGACATCTACGTACATGTACGGGCCAACTGACGATCCAGCCTCTCAGCGCCGGCATGTATTCTAAGGCTTCGTACAAGAGTGTGACAGTATAAACAGCGTTAACGAGACCCTATCAGAACTCGAGATCACTGCGAGAGCTGCAGGGCCCTGAACCCTGAACCCTGAACCCTGAACCCTGATTCAGCCTCATCTCTTTGCTGCCTAATTTCACTGAATAGTGATGTCGTGCCACCATGTAACCCCCTCAAAATATCACAAACTTCACTTCTCGCATTATACTGACATCGATTCTGTCTAACCAGAGCGCAGTTGACAAGTGACCTGCAGCTGTGCCGCGTGGTCGACCACCACACCTGGCCAGCATCTAGCCAAAGTGACTCTGATTCAACCCCAGCCTGACTACCCGGCGGACTTCTTTTCGTGGGTTGCAACAAGCCTGGGGAGTTTGAAGGCTGTTCCGCTGGTATCAGACGTTGAACGTAAAGCTCCTGATCTTGGACCGGCAACCCGTGTGCATGATCGTTTCAATGCCACCTTCAAAGCTTCCTCCTGCTTCTATGTGGGCCTGCTGTCAATGCCACGACACGGCCCTCATCGTCATAGCACCTCACTGTCCGGGGTGTCATCACAAAAGATGTGTGGCATGCAGAAAATTTTCAGTAAAGCCTCGTGTTCACAGTGCCAAACAAGAGATCGCTTCCAAGCCCGCCGATATTGTTCCCGACGTTGGCCATACCCCAGATCCATATCCGGAATACGCACGGCCGGTACGGCGGGCCATTAGCAACTTTCCCGTGCCGCTAGAAAAACAAGACAGAAGTGAACAAGAGACGTTTGGGAAATCTTTCAAGTCTGGTGGTGGGCGGGAATATCCCCTCTTGCCGGGAGCAAAACAGGACGAAGTCGTAAAGCCGGACGGGAATGAACGTGTGGAACCCACTGGTCCAAAAGGTCATGCACAAGAAACGCCTAGGCGGCCCTTTAAGTTTAAGGGGTTTGATGGAGGCGATAAAATCAAGTCGGGTTTCGCGATCGGAGAGGACGAGTTCATTGCTCATGACTTTGCCATCGACGATACTAGGCGGGATGTCTCTGTTGTGCCATCACATATTCTGGACGATTCGGAGTCAGTCGATCAAAAACGTCATATGAAAAAGGAGCCTCATGGGATTCCCCTTAAGAGTTTTCATGGAGGCGAGGAAAGCAAGTCTAGTGGCGGGCGGGATGTCCCTGTTGTCGAAGTCGGAAGGAAGGACGGAATCGCACATGGGGAGTCTGCTGATCTCCAAGGTCATGCACAAAAAGAACCTCGCTCGCCCCTTAGGAGCCACCATACAGGTAAAGAAATCAAGTTGGACAGCGGGCTGATCTCCCCCGACGCTCATGCGCAGGCTATGTTTGATTCAATCCTGGAGTCGGAATTCTGGCATGCCGCAGGGACGTTTCAGCAACTCAAATATTGGCTTCTGAGCCCGCCGTTGCGCCCGGGAATGATACGCCTAAAGTTTGTCTGCGCCTGCGGAGCGATTGTATGGGACGACTATCCAGAGTCCATGAGCAGCAGGACGCAACGTCTGGAGCGAGACTTGAACCGTTTCTTCAGGCAGACAGCGAATGGAAGTCATACCACCGGCGACGGCACACTTATACGGACCCTTCAGGAAGTCAGCTCTTTCTGTACTCGAGCTTTCAGGGACCTCCGATTTCTCCTGTCTTCCCAGAAACATTCTCCTACGGCCAGGTCACCAGATGCCGAAGCGTCAAGTCGGCCTGGTGCGCCACAAGCAACAGACGAAACTTCATTTTATCTCACCTGTGTGTTGAACACCGCACGCATCCCCGCGCTCATTCACACCCAGTCGGCGGCGATCTATTCCGACCTCGAGTATTTCGACGCCCTTCGAACGCTGGCCAAGTCTTCTCGGGCGTCACTTGTCAGCATCTTCAACCCCCGGAAGGTGGTGGCTATAGCCTATGTCAAGTTTGAGCTCCTCTTCGACAACGAACACGTGGAGATCCGCAAAGCCCCAGATTTTCCCCTGGATCCGGAGCATTATCAGCCGTGCAAGGCGGAATTTGAAAGGGACGATTTCTGTCCCTGGGGCCCGAACACCCTGCTTCACTTTTTCGAACGGCGGCACCGGTGTTCGCATCATCCGAACATCCTCGCCCGTATACCCCGGAAACTAAAGGAGAAGCTGGCCGTTTCTGACCATAGCCAACCCGGCATCGGCTGGGGTATGCAGTTGGTCTGTGACGTGGACAGATTCCGAGTCGGGATTATGGGAGTGGTAGGTTTAGTGGTGAGTTCCGTGATGGGTATTCTCTGGGCAAAGCTTCACGGTAACGATGTCCAAGGAGGTACGGGGCTGGCACAGTGTCTGATGATGTTCGTTCCATTCTTTGTCGCGTTGCGTGGGTTTGGGAATTTCGTCGAGCAGAGGTATTGACTTTGCCTACGGAGTACTCTCATCTCTGTCAAACCGAGGCATTCCCAGCCTTGCTCTATTGACCAGAAGGCTGGTTTAGTAATACTATACTATAAAGCATGCGTCTCCCCTGCGATCCTTTGATGGAGAACAGGGAACATTTGAACCTTTGGCAATCTCTAGGGTCAGGGTACAGGGCAACCCTCATGCCTTTAAGTCCCCTTGATAGAGAAGAAGGAACCTGCCCCTTGTCCAATGTTGAAACAATCCATGTTGTCCTGTCTATCAAAGGGGTATGGGGATGTCAAAGGTTGAAATGTTCCATGTTCTCTATCAGAGGGTCGCAGGGGGAGCGCATGCTATATAGTGTATAGGATGCCACGACCAGACTTCTGGTTAAGAGCGAGGCTGTGTAAAGTATGCCTAGACCAGCCTTCTGCTTAAAGGGCAAGGCTGGGAATGCCCAAGTTAGTGCCAAATAACTCAGTTGGACACCCCCCAATCCCTAATAAGTTGGACACCCCCTTTCTACTCTACTACTTGAAGATATTCCACCGCCACCGAGTCTCTTACTAATTGCTATTCCACCACCACCGAGTCTTTTACTGATTGACTCCACTGAGTCTTTCACTAATTAGTATTACAGCAGTCCCTAGATACCTACCTAGCTCTATTGGGTGATGTAGGGATGATTCCAAGGCGTGGATACAGGATACAGTATCCATACTAGTAGATCTCCTCTCCTCTCCTCTCCTCTCCTCTCCTCTCCTCTCCTCCCCTCTCCGACCCTCTCCTCTCCGACCAAGGCTTAGGGCCTTCCTGGAGTACCTTAGGTACTTGCCTGGGACCGAAATAGCATTTCGGTCTTGAGCAAAGCTGAGGGTTGATGCGGTTTTGGTTGGGTTCTCTACCATGAACAATTCTTAAAGCTGGAGACTTCCTCAACACCATTGAAGCAGTAGTCGAACATACCACTATTGATTCGGGCACCTACTCCACTCGTCAAGATACACCTTGCTGTAGATCCAAACGCCGTTTGAGTGCTTCTATCTGCTCATCATACTGCTTCTTCTGCATTGCCAACTGCTCATCATACTGCTTCTTCTGCATCGCCATCAGCTCTTCCATCAGCACCTTGCGCTGTGCCGCCGACTGCTCCCGTAGGAGAGCCAGCTCGTCATCTAGTTGCGCCTTTGCAGGATGGGTTCCAAAGATCTCACTTGTTGAGATTGGGGAGTACCCGAATCTAATCCCTGAGACTGCTGTTCGTCGACACTCGTGCCAGATTCAGATGATGGCGCTGGAGGAGGATCGTTCATCTGTGCCAGGGCGTCTTTGATTCTCCTCAATTGCTCTGGAGGAGGATCGTTCATCTGTGCCAGGACGTTTTTGATTCTCCCCAAATGCTCTGGATAGAACTTCGCGTAGATTTCTCGTACGAAATCATGTGTCTCCTTCCAGGCGCTAGACGCTGCGGAAGAGGCTAGCGCAACTGAACGGACGAGGTATCGATAGAACATAACTTTGTCTCCTTCAACAGTGGCATAGTGTCCATGTATAACAGCAAATTGATCGTTGTGGGAGATCGAGAAGACCAAGATCTGGCCGCTCAATTTCAATGCTTGATCGTCTCCTAACACCCGGTGGAGCTGAATGATGGCATTGACGGCCATACTACTGCTTCGTACACATCGCCGATCCGCTTTGGTGATCGGAACATCCTCGCTCACAACCTCACAGATGAGAAATGGAAAGTACATGACATCCGTAAACAAGATTGGTCTTTCTGGACATAAACAGCTCTCCAACTTCGCGATTTCCTCGTTCGTAAAAGCGGCCTCGGCTATGCCGACGGCAAAATCCGGTCTAGGCCTCGGGCCAACCAGGGGTTCAGCCTCCGTGAAATAAGCGGAGACTTCTTCCACAACATGTTCAAGTTCCTTGTGACCGCAGAAGAAGAGATGTTCTGGCGAAGGCACCAGGAGCGGCGTGAGGTCCCGTTTGACACGATACTTATTGCGGGTGCTCAAGCTTTCCAAGACGAACCCAAACTGGGACAGGGGGAATTGTGTGTACACCGGATCATCATATCGAACCTCGAGCATCTTCCTGCATAGTTCCTTGCTGGTCTCGGACACAAAGCGTTTACCTTCTTTGCCGCTCATGATGATGCCGTGCCGAACGAGTTCCTTCGTCTCGAAAGACTTTGTGTCCGACTTTGGAACTTTGGCAGTACGTGTCTGGGATGTGTAGCTGGACGGGGCACGGCGCTTCTTGGACATAATACTCTTCGTGGGCATGTCTGCGAAATTTCTCGGCCAACGCCCGGTGCTGGCCCAGTGTTTAATCGGGTTGCAGTTTCCTTTCTCAGGATCGCAGTCGCAACTGGCCGATCTGGGGCGTATTTTGTCCGAGGAAACGATGGGCTCACGGTCTCTTTGCTTGGTCAGATGGCCTTCTTCAACATGGTGTTTTTTTGTCGCTGTCGATTTTGGTGGAGAGTCCCCTGGAGTGAGCTGCTCCTGCTCTTGCTGTTGGTTTTGCTGTTGGTTTTGCTGTTGGTTTTGCTGTTGGTTTTGCTGTTGGTTTTGCTGTTGATTTTGCTGTTGGTTTTGCTGTTGATTTTGCTGTTGATTTTGCTGTTTGTCTTGCTGTTTGTCTTGTTCTTGGTCTTGGCCTTGTTGGTCTTGTTCCTGCCCTTTCTCTTGTTCTTGTTCTTGCCCTTGTTCTTGGTCAGGTTCTTGCCCCTGTTCTTGCCCTTGTTCTTGCTCTTGTTCTTGCTCTTGCCCTGGGTCTTGTACGGGAGCGGGATGGGAATCTAGCTTCTTAGGATCTTCACATTGTAGGCGTGACTATCACCGTGTCAGCTGCGGCGACCGTCAAGGCCATATCGTGTTCCCATACCTGCCCTCCACGAGAGCTGCTGGTTGATGGAGATGGCTCCATGTCAGCGAGGCTGGCAGAGGCTTTGCAATTCTTCTGCTGCTGAAGGCGTGCACTTCGGCGAAGAGGAGTAGTGGTGAGTGCCATTCTCATCCCACCCCAAACCAGACGATGAGGTCGAGCTTATGGTGTTGATCTGGCGCGAAGACTTAAGATACAGGAATCAGAGAAAATTGAGTCAATATGCGGCCAGCCGCGTCTCTACTCCATACCCCCCGCACGGGCACCATTCCCGCATTCCTGTGGTCACTGGCGAGAATGCCACGGATGGCAACCAATGGCACAGACAATCAACATCTCATTTGGGACACGGGGGCAACGGTTTAAATTGGATAGGCGCAACATGTGTGTTGGTCGATTTGAATATGAAGTTTGATTGCAAGTGAACGACCGCCCAGATCATCAATCATCGTACATCAGAGACAGAAGGTTGGAGGTATGCGGTATGTGGTATGTGGTATGCAGCACGTGGTAGGCAGCACGTGGTAGGCAGCACAGGGGTGTGAAGTTCATTCCTGGTTTCACCAGCAAGGAAGGCTGCATAAGAGATTGAGGAGTATCCGTACGGAGTAGATGGAGGTTGAGACACGCTTCTAAACCTGGGCCGCTAAGAGCCTCTAGCTGGACCAGTAGGGAGAATTCCATAGATAGGGAATAGGAGGTAGTACGTAGTACGTAGTTGGTACAAAGTACGGAGTAGTTGGTACAGAGAGGTATCCCTGTCGCGTACATATGCTTTTCTGGGGCAGCGGGAGGCACGTGATTGGGGTCTCGTGGATCCAGGAAAACGGGTGAGAGCATACTCCGTACAGTCAATCAACACCATTCTTACTTTGCAGGTCTTGAATATGTAGGCGGCGATGATACCGCATACGTGCCGTATGGCGATGATATACAGAGAACAGAGTACAGAGTACATGGCATATGCAGTACAGAGACGGGATCGGGATCGGGATCGGGGACGGAATCGGGGACGGAATCCGCCTCCGACGGCATCGATCCAGATCCACCGTGCGGAAGATTCAAAGAAAGACTAAAGCCAGCCTCAAGGGCCTCCTAAGCCCCAACGACATGCCATCTTCCAATGGTAAAGCGATGGCCGGTCCCACACACACCACAGCAGGATCGAGGATCGACGACGGCCTTACGAGACACGGAGCAGTCGGAGCAGTGATACATGGATAAAATGAGGGACAGGCGCAGCCATCAGGGCCAGGGCTAGGGCCAGGGCCAGCACTCTCTGTACGTGAGACGGAGACGGAGATGGAGATGGAGATGGAAGCCAAACAAGAACAAGAACAGCCACAAACACAACCACAACCGCAGCCACCGCTACCACAGCTCTCGGCCAGCGACCCTGCCGTCGAGGCTGCCTCGCAGATGGACAATGACCATCCATCCGTGTCTCTTTCGCGCGAAAAGACCGACGATGCCACCCAGAACCGGAAATTTACCTGGAAATCGTGGTTGCTGTTCGCAGCAGTCGCCCTATCTCTTTTCCTCACGGCCCTGACCGGCTCAATCATTGCAACGGTGCGTTCGGCCACGGCTTCGGCTTCGCAGAATTCCACTTCTATACCCCTTGAGTTATGGCATGGCATGGGGGCTTACAGTATACTGAATACCTTACTGACCATTTATCCCATTACAGGCCATACCTGTAATCACCACTGATTTCAACTCGCTCGACGACATTGGCTGGTACGGGTCTGCTTCTTTGGTCGCATCGTACGTACATACTACCTCCTACCTCCTACCTCAACTTTTTCTGGCCACCACGATCCGAACCGACTGACTGACTGACTCTGATCAGGTGTTGTCTGCAGCCTTTTGTTGGCAAACTATACACACACTTCCCAATCAAGGCAAGATAGGATGGAAGAGAGATACTAAGCCGGCAAGACCAGCCACTGACAAAACAGTAGTTTATATGCATAGTCTTCATGGCCATCTTCACTCTGGGATCCCTGGTCTGTGGCCTCGCTTCGTCTTCGGCCATGCTCATAGGTGGGAGAGCGGTGCAGGGCGCGGGGAGCGCTGGCTTACTCAATGGCGCCTTTGCCATCATCGCTGCGGCGGTCCCCGAGGATATGAAACCAAGTGAGGCTCCCACTTCCCACTTTCCGCTTCCCTCTGGAATGATGAACGGTCCTCAGTCCTCGTCTGACACCTTCTTCTTCAAACAGTCTTCACTGGAGTGGGCATGGCCCTGTCCACCGCCGGTCAGATCGTCGGGCCGACGATAGGGGGTGCTCTGACAGAAAAGGTTTCGTGGCGTTGGTGTAAGTGACAGTGACAGTGCCCATACCGACCGCCAGTCGGAACACGACGCCACCATGATCCTGTACCCCCAACTGACTGCTCTATGTGCTGTGCTAGGTTTCTACATCAACCTGCCCTTTTTTGGCGTCATCCTCCTGGTTCTATCGCTTCTCCCCATCCCGGAGCAGACGGAAAAAAAGCCCTTCCGGTCGACTTGGCGGACCACGGTTAAAGAAGAACTCGACCTGGCCGGGTTTGCGCTCTTTGCTGCGGCCTGTGTCATGTTTCTATTGGCTATCATCTGGGGCGGCAACATATTTGCATGGAAGTCGTCGACCATCATCGGCCTGTTCTGTGGCGGTGGCGCCACAGCCATCATCTTTGCATTCTGGGAGAGCCACAAGGGTGAAAAGGCAATGATTCCCCCCAGGATCATTCGCACGCAGCTCGTAATCTCCGGTTGTGTGGTCAATTTCCTGGTCATGGCTTCGAACTTGACCCTGTCCTATTACCTCCCCCTTTGGTTTCAGGTCGTCAAGGGGGATACGCCGTTAATGAGCGGCGTGAGCATCTTGCCCACTGCCATAGCTCAAAGCTGCGGTGCGGTGGCGGCCGGCAAGTTCGGTGAGTTGGCATTAATCTTGCATCACGGCTCTTCCATTTCCATGCCATTTCCATGCCATTTCTTTCGAACAAATCATCCGACATCTGTTTCTAACAAGTCTGAACAATAAACAGTCCAGGTCATGAGATATTGTGCGCCTTGGGCCATGTTTGGGTCCCTGATCTCGTCCGTCGGCTCAGGTTTGATGACGACGTTTACTCCTTCGACCGGGACAGGAGCGTGGATCGGGTACCAGATCCTCGTTGGCGTGGGCCGGGCCTCGGTCTTCCAGATGGTAAGCTAAGTTGAACCACTGTTCATTCTGTTGTGTCGGCCTTCTTGAAACTGAAAACTGACCGCCCTTGCGTTCCATACACAGCCGCTCACAGCAATCATGGGGTTCCTGCCCCCCAAAGAACAATCCATGGCTATTTCCCAAGTCTTCTTCTTCCAGTACCTTGGAGGCACAATCTTCCTCGCTGTCGCAGAGACCGTGTTAACAAGCAGTCTGCGCTCGTCACTGCCTCGAGATGCCCCGGGCGTCAGTGCCGACGCCATCATCCATGCAGGTGCCTCGGCCGTGAGGTCCGTGGTATCCAAGGCTGAGCTGGCCGGCGTGCTGAAGGCTTACAACCACGCGATAATCTGCACTTTTGTGGGTCCATTTATTTTCATTCTCGTTCCTTCGATTCATGATCCACGATTCCACCACCCCACCATCCCACCGTAACTAAACTAACTCAACGCCTTGCCACTCGCAGTACCTAGCAGTCGCAGCCACTTCTGCAGCATTCTTCGGCTGTCTAGGGCTAGGCTGGAAGAAACTTCCGCAAAAAGAAAAAGGGGCTGCGAATGCGAAGAAATCAGATTTGGAAAGCCGAGAGGATGAAAGAACGGAAAGTAATACAGTGGCTGCCTAGCGTTCCGTCTCGTCTCGTCTCCTTTTCAGGGAGAAGGGACCATGTTCGAGGAGAACTATCGTACATATCACATATCAAAATCTAGATTCGCCATCACAGTCTAGTTCCAGTAAATGCTGCAGGTAAACCAGGTAATCCGAATGGACTCAACTAGTCGTTGTCGTTGAAACTCACCCCTCCCATCGATTCTATTCATTCTTAGATAGCATGCGTCTGGTATAGATAGAGTACATCTACCGTGCCGGGCATGCTGGAACTAATGAGAGTGAGTACGACGGTCGACGGACTATGACGATGACAGTGTATTGTATATTCCAGTGAGTGGTGACTGGGGGTTATCATGTATGTAGTATGTAGGAATAGCAGCTCCTTACGGCTTGGAAAACATGATGAAAGAAAGGAACCCCCGATCATCCTGTCGCCATTGCTTCCAGTAGAGCTCCGGATTTTTTGATGACTACCTAACCTATATCGAAGTGGTTGTTGAATAAGCCGTCTGAATCCGAATTCTGGCAACCTCTGAGCCTCAACCTCAGCCTCAGCATGATACTGTAGCCTTCTGGAAAGATTGGGTAGGAGTGGATTGTTCGGTTCGTGATTGTCTCTTCCTCCTTGACTGTATTCGCGAGTCGCGAGCCTCAGCTGGATGTTCTCTTCTCACCTGCCGCACTACTGCATCAAGCCATTCCATTACTTCGAATCCTAACCTTCAGCTTCAGTCCCGGCCCCGGATAGAAATTTGAAAAGCCTCCAAACCTCCTTCAAATCTCCTTCCACTGTTTCCGTGACATCTTCATCGACAAAGGCCGAATTGAAGCCTCCTCCAAAGTCGATCAACCACACGTCTTTCTGGTTATCAATCGCGACATTATCAGGCTTCACATCCCCCGAGACGATGCCATGCCTGTGAGCGAGTACAGCTCCTCCTCTGCGCCGTAGTCCTCGAGAGTGTGCTCGATCAGATGTAGGAACTTGTCTTTCTCCCGCCATTCTGCGAGATCATCTGCTCGAACAAAGACGCGGAAGAGCTTTCCACTGGAGCGAATGGCAAACGAAGCCTCGTTCATGTCACAGTCAAGTCAAAGTGCGTGACGTCCCAGCCTGGCACATCTACATCTTCCATAACCGCTTGGTAGAGGGTAGAGGAATGGGAATTCTTTCTGAGAGGCTCTGTTCTGTTTGATGCCTGTGACGGGTACCTAAGGGGTATTCAGGGAACTGACGCTGTCGATCTGAGCAGGACCTTGATACCGCTTGGAACGTGCTCTAGGTTCGGAGTATGGGGATAGACATATCTAAGATCAATTCGAATGGTCAGCCCGCCAAGATCGCGAGGATTGGACTTGGGCGTTTCTTTCTTTGTAGAACTAACTTTGTAGAACTAACTTTGGCCAGCCTTGGGCCAGGAGGTTACCAGGCAGCCACTGACGCGAAATGATATGCTCTTCGATGATATCCAAAATACCAGAGTTGCTGTACTTCCAAGACCAAAAACAGCTATTATGCCTCCATACTCCACGAGGACTCATGGACGCCTGTTCCCATGCTTAGGAAATCTCACACGGCGAGACTTTTTCCACCATCTGGCCGGCCAGTGCGCATGCCGGCGCTGATGCTCTCCCGTCATGTTGATTCGTTTGTCCCGTACTGTTCCTAAATGCTTCATTACGCTCATGCTCAACGTCATAATGGTCATTTCGAAAGTGTTCTTAATCAACCGCCTAGTCATGCAAGATGCTAGGTTGGCGGTCGCTGTAGTTGTGGAATGCGAGCAAGAACAAATCTCTCCGAGTGCGCCGGGAGCTCACACCATTGCAATACATTCCTTCCACAGGAATATTCTGAGACACAACTACTGTAATGAGCTTTCCATCTCTGCTTCGGCCTGCTCGACCAGTTCGAGCATCAGCGCTTGCGTCGAGGGACCGGGCGCGCCAAATTCTTCCCATGGAGATGGGCTGCCTGTCCTTCGTTTCGACTCGTTGTCTGTAAGGATTCTCCCCGTTCTCGGTTTAGGTACTGGCACCGGTACCGGTATCGATTTTGATATCGGTTTCGACTGTGGTTGCTGCGTTGGTGATGCCGTCGTAGCTGTAGGCTTTGACGGCGCGGCAAGATCGGCCTCGAGTTCCTCCGCGAGAGCAATGAGGTCTTCGTCTTCGATTTCATTAAAAACCGCGCTGAAGCTTTCGTGGACAGTGATGGGCATCGGAGCCATCGGCTCTATCGGAGATTCTGGTTTATTCCGGGTTGGTTGTGCGTGTTCCTTCAAAGGGGGTGATATAGATGCGACTGGAGTAGCGCCTGTGCAAACTGTCTGTGGTGGGGTCCCTGAATGTACCCATTTTGTGGTCTCTAAGTCATGTCCAGGCTTCTGTGTTCCGCAGAGCATCAAGAAAGTCTCGTCGTCTATCCCGTCTGTGAAATCCTCCTCGTCTGTGTCGACGCCTGACGGGCCGGTTCTGATCTCACATAATTCTGCCTTTGGATCTGCGAAAGTAGCGGACCCTTTCTGTGTAAAGCCCCCGGCCTTTGGATGGTATTCCCTTCCTAATCTACCTGTTACAGATGACTGGGGCTCTGGGGTAGAATTGCTGTGTATGGAGGCGGACACGTTGTCCAGAAGACCCTTTGAGGCCTCTGACACTTGAGGATGTCGAGCATTTTTGCCCGAATTCGGCCAGGGAGGCCTCAGGATATTACCCTTGATCACCTCGGACGACTGTGGTTGCCTGTCTCTCGGTCGTGCATTGAGCTCCGAGTTGCTGACATCCCTCAGTGCCAGCGGAGGGCTCAACACGTGTTGTATGTCATGCTCGCTTTGGGATTTATTTATTGGACTTGGATCCGCTGGATGTGCACCAAACACCATCTTGTTCGTGTCTTCCGTGATCTCCTTCTTTTGATCATTCTCCACCTCTTCGGTATGTCCCTGGCTAGGTGGCGCACCCCCAGACACCGAATCCTCCTCCTGAATGATCTCATCTCGGAACTTTCGTTTCGAAGGCACCAGGGTTGGTCTCTGGACAAAGAACCTGTTCAGCCGCGGTTGGCTGGCGGTGACTTTGCCCCAAGTGTCCTCAACTGTGATCCTGCCCTCCTCTAGCATCTTTTGTTTGGCTGCGCGTTCTCTTTCCTGCTTCTCATCCCGTTTACGTTTGCTCTCTTGACGCTGTTTCTCCTTCTCTGTCGCCTTCTTGCGTTGTTCTTCCCGCGCGTCCTGTCGGTCTGCGCGCGCCATCTGTGACGCGGTGTATCGGAACTGCCCACCATCTTTCTTGTATGCCCGCTTCGCCTCCCGCAGGGTCATGGGAGGTTTAGCAGGCCGAGCCATGCTGGGGGTTGGGTGGTAGAATTGAGAAGACTGCGGTTTTGGGGTCATCTAAACAAACCCTAGTTCAGCCACTAATGACGCCGAGGCGCATCGCGGCGGAACGATCCTGCTTAGTCATGAACGGGGTTCCTTCACTGGTAAGCGGACAAGGCTGAACACTCCTTGACCTGGGTTGGGCCAAGAGAAATACGGAATAACTAGACACTGTGTATGGTCTGTTACGAGCGTGCGTAGGAGGGTAGACACGTGAGCCGGAACAAAATTGTTTGTGTAGTCTTTCATGATGCTTCACTACCATTATCGGGATGATCAGACTCCTCACCATCAAAGTCCATCTCTTCGATGGGAAAAGTCAGTATAGCCGCGATGCCACCGAGCCCTTCCAGCCGTTTCCCACTCTCATGGTCACTGCTGAGAACCCTCACCTCGCCGCCTTCGACCTCCCTTACCCGGTCTACCAGTCTGACCCATCGTCTCCTGGTAGCTATATCTTGACTTCTAAATAATGAATGGCTGATGAGGAGGACTCCACCGCCTCGACCTACCGCTCCCTTCTCCACGGCTGTCTCAACTTCCTTCGGCCCATACCACGCCCGGCCATCGTCCTTTCGTAGCATGGCAAAAAAACCGTCCATCAACGCGGTCTCTCTTGCGTACTTGGTATCTTTAAGTCTTGCCAAAACTTCTGGGCTGTTGAGTACTTCGTTGAGACTGTGCAGATGACCGGAGCTACTGTGGACCACAACAAATGCCTTCCGCTTGGCCATGTCCTGTAGAAGCTTGCTACCTTTGGAGGCCGCAGTGTCGTTGATATATTTCAGGAAGCCGGAAGCAGTGAATCCAGGGCTTGCCAGCAAAATAGGGAAATTTGTGCTGCTGTCTTTGCCTTCCATGAGACCTTCCAGTTGCCTCATTAGCGTGTCCAATACCGTTGCAAAAAACTTCTCCAGGCCTTTATCATGATCCGTAGATCTTCCGGCACCTGTCCGTTTTCGAGGAACCGAGACATCGATCCTCTGCCTTAGGACAGTCATGTGTTGAGTGATGAAACATATATTCGCAAGGCCTTCCTGCATAACGACTGCAACTGCTTCAGTGCCTCTTGCCGGATCGATTGCCTCTTCGAGTTGCGCGCGAGCAACACTGTCCCAGCCTTCTCCGCCATCGCTTCCCTCCACTTGTTTTTCAAGGGTGAAGTTGCGTTGCAACTCGAGGTCGAGGGTATGAAACTGTCCGATCTTTGTGTACCGATTTTCCCTGGAGATCTGGCCAGAGACATGCAACTGTCCAGCTTGGGGATCGAAATCAACTGACTTGACTCGAACCGTAAGATTGGTGTGAACCCGTTGGGAGGCGGTAGAGCCGGTGGAGGACGATTCCGTGGTTACTCGGCGTATTGCCGACGCGGTAAGGAGGTCTCTAGGTCGTATCAGGTTGTAAGCATGCCACTAGTAAGTCTCAGATGAGTTTGGCCAGACGTAAGCACTGGTGAAATCTCTAGTACCATATCCTCAGGTTCTTCCGGGCATAACGTGACACTACCACTGCCGTCATCGTCGAGATGGCGTTTGATCAAGCGCATTATGGGACGGCAGAGTTCGTCCTACAACCGCAAGCGTATGAAGGAGAGGCTGCAGGAAGGAGTGTAGATTCAGTTATGGGGGATGTGTGCCGTCGACACACGGACCAAATGTCTACAGAGTAGTCGAGCGACGATGTGCAGGCTATGAAGTTGGTGATCTTCTGGAGAAAGTCTCCGCAGTTGTGAGAGGCACTAAAGTGCAGCCGCCCGCGCATCTACAAGCCTTATCTTATCGTTACCTACTCTACGTTAAAATTATGCCGCAGCCCAGAGCCTTGTTTGACTTGACAAGGCTTGCTTACATCTCACGTTTCTCAGATCCAGTCGGTACATCGAAGCCACACAGGGCCATGACCTGTGTCTATCCAAAGTCCTGGGAATTTGTAAAATCACCGCTCTGCAATCAGTCTTGCTGAACGAAGTACGAACGCTAAGCGCAGCCGCACCCAACACGAGCCTCGAAGATAATGATGTTCTGGGTAATGTCCATGGCATAAGAGCAGCCTAGGTGACTTTCATTTCCCGGGTGAAGCAAGCACGCCGACCTACTCCGCGCTCCTCCGCCTGTTGGTATTCTTTAGGGGCATATAGTGAAGTCGAGCAAGTTGGCGAGACTATCGAGGCCACCTGGCGCCAGCATGGCTGGGCAGCGGCTATTGAGGACCGGTTGATTTGTGACTGTGCTTGCCTGGCTCATAGACTGGCTAGTTGTTACACGCTCGGGTTCTTCGTTGAAGGGCTGGAATCGGTGATAGTATACCCGTATCCAAGTTGACGTCCACTCTCGTTCGAAGCTCCCCAGGTAGTCACTCACTCGTAGATTCCGCACAGACACTGTGTCGGGTATCAACGAGGGGTATGAAATTGGAATTGGATGGAACCGACCGGACTCCACGCCAGTTAAAGAAGTGAAAATTTGAGCTGCCCTTAGCGGGAGTTGATCCCGGGGCGGTCGAATCCTCCTTATTGCAGGAAGTTATTAGTGGAGTGGCTCGGGAGAGTTAGCGATTGTAGCCTAATAAGCAGATTCCCAGCCTCCAACACGCTCCACTGCCGCTGCTGCTGCTGAGTTACGTTATTAGTTCAACCGCGCCCATCTGTCTCTTTGCCAACATTAGAATCATACAGAATACAGCTCCTGTGATAGAGATCCGTTCAATTGGATCAGTGAATTACTTGTTCCCCTCGTGCGCGCCCACGTTCGTCCTGTCAGCTGTACTTCAGCCACCTGCAGCCCTCCGCAAGCTCGAGCCTCTCCTAAGCTTTTCTGAAGGCTGTCGCCTGCTTGCGCTCATCTACCCTCATCTCAAGCAGCACCCCTCGACTACCCCGGTCTTATCCCAGCAACTGCAGTCATGGGAAGCTTTGTCTTTAGATGGTCAGTGAGCGCGACTTCTACCCTACTACCCGGCATCATTTCGTGCCGGCGCAACCCCCTTAACCGTCTCGTTCACTCCAATCGCAGCACCGCTGACAGCAGCACACAGGCCGCACCCTAATGCCTCGGACGTTCATGTTACCGGCACCTTCGATAACTGGGGAAAGAGCGAGAAACTGAACAAAGTTGGCGACGTCTGGGAGAAAGATGTTGAGTTGTCCCAGGCGGACAACAAGATTCTTTACAAGTTCGTCGTGGATGACAAATGGGTGATCGACCCTGAAGCGCCACAAGAGGATGACGGCCACGGTAACATTAATAACGTGCTGTATCCGGATCGCATCAGGCCCAAGCCGGCAGTTGTTCCTGAAGCGTTCACCACGTCCAGCGCGGCGCCAGAAAGCACTACCACGGCATTGGCTGGTCAGGTGCCTCTGGAACCTCGAAAAGAGGCTACTGAAGGTACGTCGATACTCGTGTATTGACTGGTAAACCATTGACGAACCCGCCGCTGACACTTCATCTTACTCAGTCACATCTGGTACGGATGATTCCACTCTCACCAAAGAGACGACTAAGAGCAGTTTGCCAGGCGCGTTTCCCGAGACTCCACAGCATGAGGAACCCAAAAACGAAACTGAAACCATTACCGTCAATCCTATTCCGGCGACTAGCGGGACCGGAAATCCAATTAGCCTTCCAGCGGGTGAACAGGTTCCTCCTCCAAGCGAAGTCACCTCGAACACCGTCCACTCCACAGTCACCACATCAAAGGAAGACTATGAAAAGTCCGGCAGCGCCAGTCTTCCCTTTGTTGCTGGAGTCGCAGGACTGGGCGCAGGGCTGGCGGGCGCATTAGGATTCGGCGCATCGGAGAAGAAGGAAAACCTGATCCCAGAGTCTTCTCTTCCTATCGGCCCTGCAGCCGGAGAGACACTTGATGCTGGACCTACGATCTCCTCGGCTGGACCCATCTCTACCACTGCTGAGCTAGCCGGCAAAGTGCCTCTAGAAGAGAGGAAACCCGCTACGGTCGTCGAACCCGAATCTACCGTTCCCGAGGTTGTGAAAGAGTCGATCGAGGAGGCACACGCTCCTGCAGAAGCGACCGCTTTCACAGAGGCTGTGCAAGAGAAGGCAGAAGTTGAAAAGGAATTGTTGAAGAAAATCCCGACCGCCGAGGAAGCAGGCGAGCCCGCGCCGACAATTGCTGCCTCTACTTCTGCTACGGCTCCATCGTCCGGCACACCTGCAGCAACAACCTCTTTGACTGACGGTGCGGAAGACCCTACTCTGGCCAGCGAGCCTGCGGTGCAGCTGATGGCCCAAAACGAAGCTGAAGATAAGGGAGTGGCAGCCCCTCCAACGACAGAGGCGACCCCGGAGGCACCAAGTACGACTGAGCCAGCGCCAGCAACTGCCGCCACGCCAGCATCTCCAGCTGCAGAGAAGAAGGCCGCACCCGCACCAGCGACCCCGTCGAGTGCTAAGTCTACACCAACCAAGAAGGCGGACACCACCCCCACCAGCAGCCCGACCACGAAAGAGAAGAAGAAGAAGCACCGAATTAGCTCACTGTTCAAGAAGATCTTCGACTAATTGCAGCAGAGTGCAGGAATAAGGCATCGGCAGATCAGACCTTTGGGGTAAGAACGCGTTCTGGAGGGGTTGCTATGGGGGATTGCATTGCAAAGGTTGGCGCATTGCTTGGACAGCGGATCCTTTTCCTCGAGGATTGTTTTCTTGTAGATATCCCCTTCTGTTGTGTTGCATTCAGAGATATGCGCTGCATGGTTTGTTCGATAATACTAGTAATACAAAGCAAGTGGAAATCTATGGATCGAAGCAAATGTTCTAATGTTCTCTTGGGTTTCTAGAAGAGTTCTGGAAGATGCGGAGGGAGGGGTCGTAGCATGTGGCCGATCCAGACGCTCTAGGAAGCGAGCAGCAGTGATCACCCAGCCTTAGGGCCTCCTGGTCGTGCATGTATCTGGTCCTCGAACAGATTCTGTCTGGTGTTCATATTTTGTTCATTGTCTCGTCTCTTGTCCCATATCGGTCTTGTATCAGCTGCATGCTGCCACTGGCGCCCTTTTGCTGGAGCTGTTGCTCCATAGTCCAAGCCGCACCCCTTTGCTCTCTCTAGCCTGTCTGTGCTTAGGCATTCTGGAAGATCCGGTGGCGGCTCGAGCTGTTGCCTGGAGGCCAATCAACGCCATCATCGGCCTCGCCTTGACCGCCAGAACTTCATAATAGTAGAAATGACAGGCCGTAGTGCCTGCGACCTGCTGCCTCTGCCGTCACTGGTCATAGCGCGGCAGGGTAATTGAGGGGTACAGACCACCAGCACCTTGAAAGAAGGGGCTGCATTGCTGAGCGATCATATTCACTGGTGGTGTTCGGGCCCGGTTGCTCTTGCCCTTAGCAATCTCCTTACCTTAATTATGATACTGTAGTAGAGAGTATATTGGGCTGTCTGAGTAAACTAATGTACCTAGATGTGTAGAGAATACCGCTGGCCCCCCTCTGCGCCAAGTATGTGAGCTGGGCATCCTGCCTGTCACAACCATCCGAAAACCTCGTAAAACTGCCTTCATCCCCTGACTTGCTTACTTAGACCACCTACCGTGAGTTCAGTGTCCTTCCTGTCATCTCTTGTCTTCCCTCGGCCTGTCATCGCACAGTTACCTCCCAGCTAGATATCGATCGCTCACCGAGCACAGAGGACAGTCACTGAAGCTTCGGCTCCCCTCCAAGTGCGTCATACACCAACTTGCCGCTCCACTCAGGTGTTAGGGCCCCTGCGCGCTCCGCAGGCTGCGCCGTCGTCTGCCAGTGAGAAGAAGCTACCCGGCGAGGTTCTGGGTCTTTGGCATTTCGCAACCCTTCCCTGCCCCTTCTCGAACGGCAATAATCCACCCAGACTACGGACCACACAGGCTACCGTCGGACCTGTCTGACCCAAAGGGATCCTCCTTGTCCCTCTTCCCAGAGCCCGACCATTGCACATTATCCCAGGCCTACATCAGCAGGCCCAGCTCCGATCCCTCCCCCCACATCTCAAACCTCGCCGCCAATGTCCCTTCCTACTCCTCACCAAGCTGTCATCAATGCCTTGACCAAAGACCTTCTACAAGCCAACCCGGACGACCCTCTTCAATACTGTGCGAATTACTTTAACCGCCAGCTCGAAGTCGAGCGGGCTACTTGGCAAAAGGCAGACAAGCCGACCACTCACGCCATCCGCAATATGGCAGACACCGCTGGTCCTTTCGACAGCCGCAATCCCTTCGCGGCAAAGAACGTCAGCAGCATAGAAGAGGAGGATGAAGATCGAGATACTTTCGGCTCGCCAACTGACCCTACCTTCAAGTCTCAAGCTTCAGATCGCTCGCCCTTTGGTGGTTCTGGCTTTGGAGCCGCATCTGGCGCAGCCGCAGGCGGTGGCCTGTTCGGTAACTGGCTAGGCGGCCAGGATAGTTCTTCAGCAGAAACAGAGACACCCGCACAACCGCTCCCAAACAACTATGCAGCTGGTCGCAGGACTTCGGTTTCTGCCGAGTCCATGCAACCTGACGCTGACTCAGGCAACTGGAAGGCTCCCAAACATTCAAAGACACCTGAACAATTTGAGAGACTCAGGAAAGCCGTAGCCGGCAACTTCCTGTTCTCAAGCCTGGACGAAGAATCCTTCCGGCTGGTGCTGGACGCTTTGGTGGAGAAGTCCATCCCTGCCTCCAACATCAAAGTCATTACTCAGGGCGACGAGGGTGACTATTTCTACGTTGTTGAATCAGGCGAGTTTGATATCTACATCAACCCCAGCGGCTCTGTCGAGTCGGGACCTGAAGGCTTGGGAAACAAAGTTGGAACCATCGGACCGGGTGGCAGCTTCGGTGAATTGGCCTTGATGTACAATGCTCCTCGTGCCGCCACTATTGTCAGTGCATCCAAAGGCGGATTACTCTGGGCGTTGGATCGTGTCACATTCCGCAGAATTCTGATGGACAACGCCTTCCAAAAGCGCAAGATGTACGAAAGTTTCCTGGAGGAGGTACCTCTATTATCGTCCCTCAAGCCGTACGAGCGATCCAAGATTGCCGATGCCCTCGAGACATCCAAATTCAATGCCGGCACGAACATCATCACCGAAGGTGAGCCTGGCGACTCGTTTTATCTTTTGGAGTCGGGCGAAGCCGTGGCCTATAAACAGGGTATTGACAAGCCTGTCAAAGAGTACAAGAGAGGCGATTTCTTCGGCGAACTGGCCTTGTTGGACGACAAGCCTCGTGCTGCCAGCGTAGTGGCGCAGACAGATGTCAAAGTGGCCAGACTAGGAAGAGACGGATTCAAACGACTTCTTGGACCAGTGGAGAGTATCATGAGACGAGAAGAATATGAGGCCGGAGAGTCACTGGATCCTCTGAGCCAACACAAGACGGTGACCTAGGATGAATGACCAAGTTGCAGTATGACGATTTATGGCTTTTATGGACGCTGGATTGGTGGGTTGCTGGAGCCGAGATGCAGAAACGCAAAACATTATACCAAGGCAGAGATACGAGCATCGAACACGTTTGTTTCTGCTTGTCGTGGGTTGTTTGACAATGAGGTTGATTGTATGACTGATATGGATGCAGTGACCATGCCTAGTTGACTGCGCGTCGGACAGTTCAGGTAGTCAGTCCATGTTACTATTCCATGTCCTGATGTTTCCTTGATCCTTGATATGATATGCCCTTTACCAGCATCGCTTGTAAGCCTTCGGCGAAGAGCTCCTTGATCCTACCGAGTACTACCGTATATCTCAGAGAGCACCTGGTAGGTGCATGGCTCTCCGAATGCTCCATGGTGACTGAGGCAAGCTCCAATCATGTGACTTGTGCCGCATTCAGGTTACAGGCACGTGAGCTTAGGAATCAATAGCCTCAGCACCAATCAAATAGGTACGTAGCCTTGATGTTGTCAACCTTAGGTGAGCAGTCGGCTGAGTTGCTTCTTCTGTGGGCATCGATCAAGAGTCAATCCGACTTCATGCGTGACTATATTCTTTCTATCCACCATATATAGTCTTCCGTCCATGTTCCAAATCTCAACTCTTCGGAACCCTGCTGTTCAAGATGCGGGCTTGCAAACTCCGTCGCCTCTGTTCCATGCCGTCATTCATTACCTCTTCGGCCGTAACGTCGCCGAGGTGATGCCAGAACGCTTTGATTACTGATCGATGATAGACACAATTGGCTGACTGGCCCGATATCAAAGCAGCTCTATCTTCTTGGCCAGTGACACCAGCAGGCAATTAATTGTTCGTTTGAGCGTTGCGTGCTCCTTGATGCGACAGTTCTTACGACTAGTTCTGTTGTCCCTGGAAATATAGCCCATGGGTCCATTCTCCGAGGCAATGTCTACGCTCGGCGCAGTGTTCACTAAACAAGTAACTTCGGCCTTTGTGAATTCCTCATCGATTCGTCTAGTACATTAATCAGGACACGTTCTGAAGGAGACAGCCGTTTATGATTACGCATGGAGGTCTAGGAAAGCCTGAAAGGTAAGCTAACGACGTGGAAGCGTTTGATGAGACATCTTTAAAGACTGGCCCTGGTTGCTTTAAGTACAGCCCAGGTGCTGAATGGTATCCAAGAATTTATTTACCCTTGGCTTTGAATTCAGCATCGGCCAGCCTCTACCACTTCCTCTGGTCTGTTGGAACTTGGAGTTATCACCGACGAGCACTGTGTATGCTCAGTCCTAGCAAATATTCACGATTACTCTCCCAAAGCAGAGAAGATGTCGCCGCAGTCTATTTCAGATGGCTCCTCGGCCCAGTCGCTCCCAGTGCCTCTCTCTCCGCTGGAGCAGGACCTTGAAAAGACAGTTAGCAAAGGGACTCAGGCGTCGAGGCGGAGTCGTCGTTCGGATCGAATAGTTACAACAGCCCAAGACTGGGATGGAGAAGATGACCCCGGGAACCCGCTCAACTGGCCGCTACCCAAGAAGATGTATCACACTCTGATCCCGGCGCTGCAATGCTTCACCATGTATGTGGACTCCTCAGCCAGACCGTATGGTGTTACTAACCATGGACAGCACGTTCGGATCTTCCGTCTACAGCCCCAGTACGGACAATGGCCCCCCAGACTTTGAGTCCTCCACTTATTGACAATTTCTCCCAGGTGCCCCCGAGGTTGCGCGCCATTTTGGTATCAGCACCACAGCTGCCCTTGTCCCTTTAAGCGTCTACGTTCTAGGACTTGGATTCGGGCCCGTCATCAGTGCACCACTGTCCGAGACATACGGCCGCCGCGCAGTATACTTGTTGTTCTTCCCACCATCTCTTCTCTTCACCCTCGGTGCAGGGTTTTCCAAGTCTTTCGGCACACTCGTTGTCTGCCGGTTTCTGGCCGCCCTTCTTGGTTCTGGCTGCCTGGCCATCGGGGCCGGGACCAACTCGGACCTTTTTACACCTCTTCACCGTGCCGTTGCCAGTTCCATCTTCATTCTGGCACCATTCTTCGGTCCTGCCCTGGGACCGGCGCTTGGTGGCTACGTTGCAATGAAGAAGGGGTGGCGCTGGACACAATGGCTGATCCTTTTCTGGGGCGTTCTGACCTACGCGATCAGCATCCCGCAGAGAGAAACGTACAAAAAAATCATTCTCAAGACACGCGCAAAGAAATTCGGCCTTCCGCCTCCCCCAAACCCGCTCCCCCCTGGCATGTCGAAGCTCCACTTCCTGGTTGTGGTCACGATCCTGAGGCCCGTGAGGATGCTACTGACCGAGACGATTGTCGCCTTCTTCAGCATATACACTGCCTTCAACTTTAGCGTCTTGTTCGGGTTTTTCGCCGCCTTCCCCATTGTTTTCCAGTCCCCGTACCCAGAGATCCAGGTCTACCATTTCAACACGGGCGAGTCAGGGTTGGTATTTCTAGGAATCGGCGTTGGCACGTTTCTGGCGTCTTTGATCTTCGTCCTGATCGACCGATTGAGGTACCGCAGGAAGACACTCCGGAGACGGGCCGCTGGAGACTTCCGTCCTCTGCCTCCCGAAGAACGGCTGTGGGCGGCCATGCTCGGTTCGATTCTACTTCCTGTAGGGCTCTTCTGGTTTGCCTGGACGGCCAGGCCAGACGTCCACTGGATATCGCCCATCTTGGCCACCATCCCGTTCGGTATGGGCAACATGCTCGTCTTCTGTTCGTGTATCTTGTATCTCATCGACACCTACGGCCCGTTGAGTGGAGCCAGCGCGGCGGCCGCCAACGGGTTTCTGAGATACATTGTGGGCGCGGCCTTTCCCTTGTTCACTGTCCAGATGTGAGTCTCTTCTTTCGGAAACCAGTCACCCCTTCCCTGTCCTTTTGTGTCCGTCACCCCCTCCCTGTTCTTTTGTGTTCGTATCGTGTTACACTACTTCGATATACCGACGTTTGGAACCCAATGGCTAACCTTGCTTGTCTCGCCGTCAGGTACCGTGGCATGGGCGTGGCGTGGGCCACGAGTTTGCTCGGCTTCGTCACCGTCGCACTTCTACCCCTTCCTTGGGCGCTGTACAAGTACGGGCCGAAAATCAGGCAGAGGAGCGCTTATACGCATTGACACGGGCGACTTTTTGACTTCGCCTCTTATCGTCTCCTCTGAGTGGGTCTGTTCGCGACCTCCTGGAGGGAGTGTGCGCCGTGAGAACAAGACGCCCGAGAAGGGGGGTGGGGGGTGGAGGCGGATAGTTGTTACAGCGCGGGCGGCCTCGGCGCGAGTAACAAGATATTAATTACAGGTCCAGGTCCAGAATACCTTGCACAAAGTATCGGGATTCAAGTCTTTTGGGGGCCGTTCCCCTGAATAACGATCAACTCCGAGTCGGTGGCTTAAGTCTTACGTCTGGGCTGTAGTTATGGGTCGGTCGGTCGGCCAATTGATTGTTTTTGTCTTAAGAAGAAGGAGGAGCCAAATGATTGTTTTTGAAGAAGGACGAGCCAATTGGTTGTTTTTGAAGAAGGACGAGCACATATGTCGCCTCACAGAAAAGCCCAGGCATGCATTTTCATTCGGGTCGGGATCGCAGTCGTGTGTGGCTTTCGACGACGGGAAAAGTACCTAGAATCGCTCTCTTGCTGTATATGTATATTACTTGTAATCTTGATGGGATAGGATACCTTAGATTTCTTACATGTTCATACAAAAGAAGGATTTGACGTCTGTCCTTGTTCTCGCCGATTGAGATCTTCCATAATTAATTACTGCTTCTCTCATACATATATATATATATATGCTGTTGCAGCTCAGATACTGTAAATTACACATTGCGAAATGGGAAGAGCACGTCATTTATGGCTGGCAATAAATTCATTTTGAGGTCGAGTACAAAGAACGCTCACGCTCACGCTCAAAGCGATCTATCTCACAGCCTGCTCATGTAACTTGACCGTATCATCTTCTCATTCCAAACTCTGCTCCTCATTCCAGGGTATAAATCCAAACAGCTCGGTTGGATCATGACTTTCGTTTCCCGCCAGTCCGTCCTTTGAAGCTGCCTTCAAACCCAGGCCTCTTGATTTTCTTGTCCTTCTTGATGCCGCCGGAATGCTTCTCCTCCTTCCTTCTGGCCAGATTGACCGTTCGTTTCTTCTGCTTGGCCTCCTGCGCTTTCTGCACACCCTCAAGACGCTCGGTCCATTCGCGTTCACTCTTCCTCTTCTGTCCCTGTTGTCTCTTCAATGCCTTCTTCAACAGACTGGTGTCGTCGCGGACATGCTCCCCGTGAGCGCGTTTTTTGGCATTCAGCCACATGTCCTTCTGCTCAATTTCGAGACGCTTTTGCTCGTCCAGACTAGTTAGTCGCTCCTTCTTGGCCAGGGCCGTTTTCAGCGCAGTCGCAGGGTCTCGCGGTCCTTTCTTCTTGTGGTCCTCTACAACTTCGGCGGTGACAGGATCAAATCGGGTCCCATCTTCAAAGGCGATCCGACCATAACTGAAATTGAAGTTGTTGGAACCGGAGGTTAAGGATGAATTGTCGCCGATGACGGGCGATCGGGGTGAGGCAAGAAGAGAGCCTGAACCGCCTGGCGAAAACCGTCGTTCTAGCTCTTCATCTTGTCGCCGAGCCTCTTCCTCTCTCTCTCGCCGTTTTTGTTCTTTCTTGGCAGCCTTTCTCTCTTCTTCCTTTTGGCGGCGCTGCTCCAGTAGTTCCTGTCGATTCTTTGGAGGGCGACCGTCGGCGCCATCCGCCTTTCGCCCTGCACGGAGCTGTGAGATTGCTGCTTGGAGACGTTCTCGGGGGGTTTGGGATGTATCGGGGTTGGAGGATGCTGGCTGAGGCTGTTGTTGAGGCTTTGGTTCCGGTTGTTCCGATTCAGTTGTCTCGTCAATTGCTGCAGGCTGGACAGAAGAAGTAGAAGAGGTTGCAGATTCGTGCTGGGGAGAAAAAACTTCCGGCTGATCTGCGTCAGATGAAGCAGTTGATTCTTGGTCGTGAGGGGGGTGTTCAGGTTTTGACTTCTGGACGTTTAAACTGAGAGGCTCTTTCAGATGAACCTCTTTTGGCGTCTTTTTATCGGCTGCAGTTGCAAGGCCGTCAGTGAGCTGTACCTCCGTCTTCTTAGCCTTTTGTCTTTCCAGCTTCTCCTTAGCTTTGACCTTTTTCTCTCTCTTCCGCTCCCTCTTTGCAGCCTTTTGCAGTGCTTTACGACGTCTTCTGTCTTCCTCTGTCTCTTCAGTTTTGGATGTCTCATCTGTCGGGTTCGTGGGTTTGGCTTCAATTTTCCGCTTTTTGGACGCAATGGCTTGAGTATCTTGTGTGGCCTTTGGTTGTTCTGATCCAGGTGTGTCGTCTACCAGAGACGCATCGCTTTCTGCGTCTTCACCCTCGTCTCGCTTTCGTTTCAGCGCGGCGGCTGTCCTCTCTTCCATCACATCTTTTGCGCTCTTCCAATTGTCTGGATCCAGCTTTGCCATTTTTGCGGCCCGCTTTTGCTCTGGGGTCTGCTTTTTGCGAAGCCATTGATCCTGATCCGATCAGCGAGCTGTATTGACGGAGCATTCCAATACATACGCTGACATCTCCTCCATGATAGAGATTTGCCGGGATGAGTGACAAGAGACTGTCGAAGGCACGTGCATGGCTCTTCAACCTTTCCTGTTGCAAATCAGTTGGAATGGCCATGGCAAAATTGAATACAAGTTCAGACAAACCTCCAGTTCGTCCGCCATGTTCGCTGGACGGGGGATTCGCCGACTGGACAACTGTGCAACTGTTCTCTGATCAGTGCTCACCGTATGTCGGTCAAGCTCAGCGACAAAAAGATTCCTGAGAGGCGGCGACTGCGGGCCACTGCGAGTGTGGAGAAGGCGCAGTCTCAGTCTCGACGAAATCTTGGCAGTCCACAAATTAATAAAAGCGGCGGCTTAGGGCCTATACCGTATACGCCAATGTTGGCCCAGGGCGACAACTTCACAGGTACCTACCTGGTACACACAGTAGTAGTATAAAGTACTTGTGTCTGAGGAAGTCACTGACCACCAAGACGTGGGAATTTGTTGAAGATGGCACCATGCAGGTTGGAGACACAGCTTCAATTCGGGACTTTGTACTTTAGAGCACCTCGGATCTCAACGAACGCACCAGTGAGACTGGAGGAGGGCAAACTGCAAACCACAAAAGACAAAAGATGACTCCTTCACATGCCCGCTTCAAGAGCCTCTTGCTGAGGGGCCTATTGCAACCTCACAATCCTGCCAGCCTTGAAACACCATGAACCTATAATCTCATCCTGATATGTGCATCTGCATGCCGCCTTTTCCACCTTGCACAAAATTCCCAGCGACAATCGCCCGCATTGCCCTTTCTGCCAGCTAACTTCCGAAGGATGGCTGGAGACTCCTTTCCATCTGGCACGAACGAGGCGCAATATAGGAGCGAGAAGCTGCGGTCGTGTCCCCTCGCCTCTCCTTGGAAAAGGGGCCTGGCTTCGATCAGCTGGCGGGCCTAGTACGCCGAGTTTGCTATGGCCACGACCTCGAATTACCTCAGCAAGCTAAGGTACGGGAAATGCCACATGGGTATCTTTTGGTAAAAGTATTGAGCAGACCCATGGTCCAGACCTGGCCTGAGGGGGGCTTCAAACAAGGTGGATGAAGGACATTTGACACTACGATTCCGGGTTCCGGTTGTCATCATTCGTGGGAGACCTGGTCGATCAGGCAGAGAGCAGCAAGAGCAGAACTATGCCCAACATTGTCGCGAGTCTTCACAAAAGACAACTGAATTGTCAGAGCAGCACATCGCGGAGTGATGGCGTAGTATCAGTAGGCTGAAGGCGCAATGCCCAGTTAGTCATAACTTGTCTCTTCTGTCTCCGCATGCCAAGTCACCGTCTACCTGCGACTCAGCTGCGACACCCAGACTTCAATGTTACCATCTCTCAGCTACCAGACTGCAAAGCCCAGTGCTCAGGCAGGTCAGGCTCTTAGTTCAATTGCAAGGGCTTCCTTGTTGCGCACTTGGATCACCTGTGCCTCATGATGGTAAGATGATGGCACTGCGATTCTGTGGTTCTAGGCCGAAGGGCCGGTCGGCTGTGTCGGTTGCTATTACGAGGCTTCTGTCAGAGGTTTTAGGCGGCGAACCCCGTTCGAGCGATGCCCCATCCGCTTTTGCCCTCGACCCGTCAATTTGGTCTCTTCAACGGGTCGTAGCTGACCTCGAGTCTCGACCTCGCCGCTCTGTCGCCTTTCAATTATTGTGCGAGTATTGAGCCTTTCAGAAGTTGCTGTGCTGGTCCGTCCAAGATTGACCGTGAACCGACTCTACTACTGTCGTTATCATCGACAGGCAGAGCGGTCAAGTCCAGGCACAGAGGCCATGCAAACTTTCGCTCGGGCCGCAAGCGAGCTCTGACGCGCACGAGACTCAGAGGGCGATTCGTGGCTGAGACCAGCTCAGACACATCTACATAACCAGTGTCATTTGGGAGTTTCGATCGAGTAAAAGAGCATTCTGATCGAGTAATGGGAGAGACTCTACAAGAAATTGACGAAGCCCAACATGGCTTAGGTTGCATCGATGGGCCTTTGCGATGCCGACTTCGCCGAGGAAGGGGTGGCAATCGACGCTGTTCGATACGCCGAGTCGCTCAAGGCACCAAAACCATGCGGCGCACGGCCATTTTCCCAACGATACCGGGAGGCGTTAGCCCATCAACACGCGCTTTTCCACCCCAACCCACCTTGACCGCATACGGCCAAAATTGGTATCCCTTATCTCTAGTTCGATACGATCGAGTAAGAGATACCTCTGCCTGTCTTCAGCAGTGCTTGCTCTCCCAATCAGACGCCAGAGTATCGTTGAAGCTGTCAAGAGTGCCCGTCGGAATCGCCCGCCTGGCCGCGGCGCAGATTCCACGGGGCCGTCCTTGCATTCTGCAATTCTACAGCTACGGGGTTCCGAGTGTTCAATGTGGCCCGAAAGCAATGGCCTCGATGACCCGAAATGAGTCGATGTAGTCGAATCCAAATTGCCGAAGAGGAAAAGTATCTTTGTTCATATTCTTCTGCTCTCCTTTGTTGTATCCCTGCAAGTCCTGGCCCTCGCTTTCGTTCTCCTTTGTTCGCTGACGCGCCTCGCTTATCGCTTATCAACAGATGATAAGGACTACACTCCATTGCACATGCTCATCACTCTCATATCCTGCTGCTTCCACTGTTTCCCGGACTTCTCGATCTCAGACCCAGGCCTAGGCTACCCCAGAATTCACTATAACTATGGACGGGACGACAAACGCCTTCCATTCTTATCCGACGCCTCCTCGATCTCCCCCTAATGGCTTATCAGACACCAGCGAGCAGTCGCCGATTACCGTGATCGCCTCCTCTAGGGCAATCAGGTCTGGACAGCTGACTGCGGCTACCATTATCATATCGAATGCCACTGGCAAGATAACCGCAACCTTTGATTCAGTCCTCCCTGCCTCCGACTTTCCCCCCAACACCCCATATACCGATTACTCTCCACATATCTTGCTGCCAGGCCTGGTAGACGCTCATGTACACCTCAATGAACCTGGCCGAACGGAATGGGAAGGGTTCTATACCGGCACCCAGGCTGCGGCCTTTGGAGGGGTCACGACCGTGGTGGACATGCCCCTAAACGCGGTCCCTCCGACCACAACTGTGGCCGGACTCCAAGAGAAGATTAAGGCTGCTCAAGGTCAATGCTGGGTTGATGTTGGGTTCTATGGTGGCATCGTTCCCGGAAATGAGGGAGAGCTCAAGGCTCTGGTAAGAGAAGGAGTTAGAGGCTTCAAGGGATTTTTGATCGACAGTGGTGTCGAAGAGTTTCCGGCAGTCTCCTCGACCGAAATCCAGAAAGTATTTGAGGAACTGGCAGATGAGCCTACCACGGTCATGTTTCATGCGGAGATGATCCCTCCCATTGCTGATTCGGTTGGCGACGATGTCCAGACTTCACTGCCACCCCTCCAGCCTCATGGACCGTTAAATGCATACAAGACCTTCCTGGAATCGAGACCGCCTGCCTTCGAGACTTATGCCATCGAAGAGATTCTGTCACTGGCGCATCTTGCGCCAAACCTGCCGTTGCACATTGTCCATCTATCTGCAATGGAAGCAATTCCGCTCTTGAGAAAAGCTCGCACTCAAGGCATCAACATCACGGCCGAGACCTGTCCGCACTACTTATCCCTGGCGGCTGAGCAGGTTGCATTGGGAGACACCCGTCATAAATGCTGCCCTCCAATTCGAAGTCAGTCAAACCAGGACACGCTCTGGAACGAGTTGCGACAACATGCAGAGGAAGGTGTCATCAAAACTGTGGTTTCCGACCATTCTCCTTGCACGCCAGATCTCAAGCTTCTTCCGTCGCACTTCCCAGGACATGCCTGTGTGCCCAAGGATACTGCAAAGGCCCTGCCGCTAGAGTCCGATGCTGGTGATTTCTTTTCTGCATGGGGTGGTATCTCGTCAGTCGGGTTAGGTCTTCCAATCTTGTGGACGGAGATGACAAGAAGAGGGCTGACCGACTCTGATACCGCCATCGCTGACGTGGTCAAATGGTGCTGTATCAATACCGCCTCCCAAGTGGGTCTCGAGAAGCAAAAGGGTGACATTGCGGTTGGCTTCGATGCCGACATCTGCGTCTTCGACGACACTGCGGAATGGGTTGTGGAGCCAAGCACAATGCTGTTCCGGAACAAATGCAGCCCGTATCAAGGCAAGACAATGAAGGGCCAAGTGAAGGAGACATTGCTCCGGGGCCGACAGGTTTTTGTCCGTGATGGTCCCAACAATGGGTTTGTTGGTAAGGAATGTTCTGGTCAATTGTTACTGGAGCCTCGCCGGAAGGAGTTGAAGAAGGTCAAAAGTTGGTTCAGGCGCTGGATCTACGACTTTTCAGACCAGTGATAGAGATGTGGACATCTATGATTTATGACACCATCCATGTAGAGAGATAGGCGGGTCCAGGGTGACCATGCGAAACGAATCTGACTATCGGTCAAGATATTTTCACGTCCTGTTCCTTTTCCCACTTGTCTCTGAGTCTTCTTCTCATGCCGCCATTGACACCGCGACCCCAGATTTCTTCCTTCTCCGCCGGGGCTGAGAGAAGAGAGTCGTCGACGACTTCACCTCGATACTCGCCGATGAACTCCTTCTTTTCCCGCTTGGTCCTCTCTTTCTCCTTGCTAATACTGACCTTTCGCAGGTAGCCAGCATACACCGTAACCTCTGCGACCCCAACCACAAGGCCCGTGGTCAACGCCGCCAATACCCGTAAGCCATCGTTTGGCCACCATCTAGTCAAGTAGAACATGGCGACGGCACACATTACAATGCTGAGAAGGATGTTCAAGACCAAAGAAGGGCTAATGTCGTCTTTCTCCTCGTCTTGACCGTAGTCTAGAGCTCTCTTTGAGACCAACTTCGCATACTCGCGCTGCTCCTGCTCTTTGCGCAGTCTGTCCATGAGCGCCACATATTCTGGAGATGGCTGCGGTTTTGGCGGAGGAGGCGGAATATAGACATGTGTCCCTCGAAGAAGAGCATTGAGAGTACATTCTTTTGCCAGCCGCGAGAGAGCAACGACCGATGTATGATCTATCGGTGCCCCAGGACTTGTAGGTAGCGAAGGAAGTGATGATCGTTCGGAGGAGGAAAGAGAGGAGATGGCGTCAAGGATGGGACTTGTCGCTACCAGGAGGACCATATTGCTGGACTTGTAGTGTAAGTGGATGCGATTAACTACGCAGGCGAGGGACAGAGGTGGTTGAACGCGGCAGCCTCAGCCTCGCACATGACCGGCATTGCAGGGTCCCTAGCCAAGCACATTTGGTGCGCAAATAAATTGGTGGAAGTATCCGTTGTCGCGAGGCTCGCGCCAGTGCTGTAGCTCCGCACTCGCCTCCACAAGAAATCGCAGATTGCGGCTACGCTTCCTTCACTGGCTCGTTGGCTGTGCATCTGCGCCCATTCATTGAACGCGCAAGGTATGTATATTCACATACGCGGCCCTTCTTTCAAGGCTACATTTCTCGGCTCTTTCTGTGTTCCTCATTTTACATATCGTTCCAGCCACCTGAGTATGTATGGACCTCTTACATCCACCACGCGGTTATGGGAAACGAGCAGAGTCAGCAATCTGCTGCTGCTCAGCTAGAGCCTGAGGAACGTAAGTACCGAAGGGTGCCTTCATTGTTTACCTGCAAGTCGGGGGTTGGTGTTAATTGCCCTTAGATTTTGATCTCTCACAAATCCCCGACGACAGAGAAGCCAGTCCTGGTCTCGATGCGAGCATGGCCCAGACCAGTCAGCCCATATCATCTCCAATCTCGAACACGCCTCTTAGCAAGAAGCGAAGACGCAAGAGACGTCGCAAGTCTTCAACAAACACGGGCAGTCCAGCTCCGAGTGAGGTCCTTCCTGACAAGGCGAAACCGACGAGAGAGAAGCCGGCACAAGACACTCGACCGCTGAGAGAAAGAGAGCCTGAGACATACCACATATACGCCACATCCGACGACAGTGATGTTGAAGAGGCCGACGCGGTGGCACAACCTAGCCCTCCTAAGGCTTCGGCTGCGGATGACCACGCGAACGGTGCAGAGAGTTCAGACGAGAAGACCTCCGAACCTATGAGCAATGAGCATGCCACTCTCGCGTCGGGTCAAGTGTCAGAGGAAGTGGAACTCCAGCGCAACGAACCTGACTCTGCGGTGCATTCTGACACGAAGGTCGCCGCCTCTGAGCCTCGCGTGACCGAGGAGGGTCGATTTTGCTGTCCTTTCGCTGAAGACTACGGATGTAAGAATACTTTCAGCAAGAGAAGTGCGGCACTTCGACACGGTGGAATTCACACTTCGCGCTTCGTTTGTTCTGTTTGCGATAAGCAGTTGAGCCGGCGGAGCACTCTAGATGCGCACTTGCGCAAACACACTGCACTGGAGATCGCCTTTGCCGAAGCTGGTAATAAAGATGCTGCCAGGAACGCTCAGGATGAGAAGGATGAGCAAGACGACGATGACAACATCATAGAGGCGACACCTAACCGGTCCCAGATAGATGAACAGGACGAAGACGGTTCAGCCGACTTCACTCCTCCACAAGAGGGATCCCAGGCCCGATCAGCCGCTCAGCAGAATGGACTCGAGAAGCACTCATCCCTGCCGGCTGAAGACGCAGCCATTACTGAAGAAACACATGACAGTGGCATACTTCCACAAACCCTTTCCGAACATCATTCACCACCGCCACCTAGTGTCTTTGATCAAGTCTCTGAGACTATTATCAAAGAGACGCCTATGCCAAGGGCCGGTCTGACGCGCAAACGCGACGCCAGCACTGCGTTCGAAGCTCCACGACAGAGTGCTGAAAGGTCTAGGAAGAGAGCGAAAAGGCCCTCTAATTCTCCGCCGACGTCGGTTCAGTCCAGGGACTTGGAGGGGTCAGACTCGACGGAAGATACGCCTGGACTGCTTAGTCTACAAGATACCGAGAAGATCGTGCCGAGATTACAGAGGGACCGACAAAGCAGCATCGATGGTTGGGCGCAGAAGTACACTCCGGGCTCGAACCTCAGACACCCCGTCTTCAATCCCAAGTCGCCAGCCGCTAGATCCTCCCAACAGGTGGAAATTGTCATTCCAAGAACAAGTCAAGGGCACTATTCCGGCAGCAATTCGACCAAAAGGCTGCCTTTGGCATCTGATGATGGCGTCAGTGACAATGAGCCCACCGCAGACAAGTTGAAGACGTTTGGACCGAGGAACGCTGGAACTCGAAAAGCGACTTATACCACCCCAAAGGGCAAGAAGCGAGCAGAGTCTGGGGTGGACTACTCTACTCCTGCACGGGATCACACCAACTACGCCGATGATGACTCCGACGAGGATGAATACGAGCCAACCAATTTCGCAACTTCTGTGGCGGTGAGATCTTTCGTGGCCGTGAATTCTAAGAAGCGGTCTCGAGAACGGGAAGAAGAGCCGAGGTCAGAGACTGTCAAGCGAGACGCAGACAGATCAGATGCTGCACGGCCGAGTAAACGTGTTAAAGCCAGTGGTCCAGCTGGCGGGGATGCTTCTGAGTGTCCCAAATGTCATCGTCAATTTGCTAATGAGGCCTTGCTCCGGAAGCACCTGAAGAAGCCGTCGCTCCATTCCCATTTGTACAGATGCCGCAATTGCTCCGAGCAGTTCTGGGCCATCACTCTTCTAGCAAAGCATGAAAGAGAGACTGGACACGGCAAAGGAAATGGGTTGCAGGGCCACACTGGCGCATTTAGCGAAGGTGAGGTCAAGAAGCTAAGTGACTGGAGGGACTTTTTCTGTGAAGACTATAACATCACCCACGAACAATTCAACGAGATGATGACCGACACCCTCCAGCGAAAGACAGGGGAGCGCTGGAATTGGCCTTTCATTACCAAATCCGATTTCATGAAAGAGTACTGCGGTGTGCTCCCTCATCGGAACAAACGGTCCATGTTGCGATATCGCGAGCGCAATTTCCAGAATGTCGCAGGGTCTAGGAATTGGACCTCGGAGGATGACCAAGAGCTTCTACGATTGCACTCGGAGCTCGGGCCCAAATGGTCTGAGATCGCGCGCCGACTCACGCGGACGGTGGACGCAGTCAGTCAAAGATGGCGACACAAATTGCAATGTGGAACCACCGAACAAGGCGAATGGTCGCGAGACGAGCAGTCGCTATTCAAGGAAGTCCTTGAACAAGTGCGCAAAGAGTCGGGCACCACTGCGGAGTTGGATGAGTGGCGTATTCCGTGGAACAAAGTCAGCGAGAAAATGGGGACCAGAACTGCGCAGCAATGTTCAAATCATTGGCGCGCCCTTCACAGCGTGAAGAGACAAGGCAGATGGATTAGGATTCAAGGACTGGAGAGAACGCCCGGTTCGAGCAGAATCTTGACACCTTCGAAGATGGAGCGTCGATTAATGGGAGAAGGTGTGAGCCCGAGTAATCGGAGAGTGCTGTCGGAAAAATTCGTTGATGAAGATGATGAGGATGAGGAGGAATATGAAGGTGCAGAAGATGAGGATGAGGAAGATGAAGGTGTGGAGGATGAGGAAGATGCAGTTCCAGAGCATGAAGATGAGGAAACAGCTGATCGTGAAAATCTCTCCGAGGACGACGCGAAACCCGGAGAAAGAGACTTTGAGGACGAAGAAAAAGAGTCAGCTCTTCATGATGACCGAGGATCGTCAGTGGCAGCGGAAGAAGCTGAGACGGGGGATCGAACAGCACGCAACCCTTTGGCCGAGAAAACCCCCGGAAAGACGCTCGGGTCCAGTCAATTGTTCGCCCAGACACAGGTCAACACGTCTGCGCTGAAGGCATCGCAGCGAGGCAGAAGGCCAGTCGAAGACGACGATCGGCCTTCGCCCAACATCCCCATTCAGCGCCGAGTGCTGTCATCCCGATCTCCATTGCACGAGCTCAAGGTCAAGGAAAATGGTGATCTCGATCTTAGTAGCGGTGAGGAGGGCCATGATGGGGAAGCCGAGTCCGAATCTACCCAAGCCACGGACATTGAGGATGGGCATGAGGCCTCATCCGGGCACTCGAAAGGCGAGGACGAAGATGAGGACGACGAGGAAGAAGAAGAGAAAAAAGAAGCCGCGGTACCAACGGACGGTCTAATCAGTGAGGAGGCCACAGACTCTGAAACCGGCGCCCTTGAACAAGAACAAGAACCGGCACAAAAGGATGACGATGACCAGTCCAGTAGTTCCGACTCCAGCGAAGAAGACGCTGAGGAGGAGGAGGAGGAAGAAGAAGACGATGACGGTGGTGATGGTGACGAAGATGAGGATGAAGATGACAGTGACGACGACGACGATGATGCAAGCTCGACAACGCCAGACAAGAGGTCGAATGGGAAAGTCGGGCCCGGTCTTGGTCTTGACCAATTCATGAACAGTATCAACGAGTCGGCGCGACGGGCCAAGGCTACCAGCACGAGTAAGGGCACTGGCGGTGCAAGTTGGCGGCTCAATGGCTCACGGGAACGGGAAGAGTCGGTGTTGAGCGAGAGCCGGCAGAAGGAAGAAAGTGAGGAGATAGAATAGGTATCAGGTATCAGGTATCAGGTATGAGGTATCTTCTACGGATAAATCAATACTATCCCACGGGCATTGAATGGACTGGACCGGGCTGGAATACAATACATTGATGGCATTGTCAATGGTTCTCGGTTGGACTTGGACTTTGACTATCATCAACACTCTGGTCTACTAGTAGTACTACCTACCTGGTACCTAGTCGTAACATTCCACTGTCTCAGGAATCTGATAGGTAGTAGTACTAAGTTGTAGTCGTAGATGTGGACGTGGTCGTGGTCGTGGTCGCGGTCGTGCAGTGAGTGGTATGAATAGGTAGGTATGTATCCATACACTGTGATCGGGTACAGATAGGCTTAGGTCACCTACGTTATGTTATATTATACTCTGTAGATGAGTATCCGTACTACTGCTAGCCTACGGGATTGCTAGACATATATCTATATATCTATATATGATCCCCGAACCGTCGATGTCGACGCCAGCTCCCGTTCCGCTTTGATCTCTCACTAACCACTATTTAGTCGAGCATGCCAACAACATGGAATGAGAAGACAAGCACATCGCGATAAGGCCCATGATCGACTTCCACGAGAGGCTCCGAGTTGCTGACATACCTTGATCTTCCTAATCTGGCATCGTAGGCAAGCGAGCTTGATCCGCGGTGCCTTCGCACGGGCGTCCGAGGTCCTCCTGGCTTCGTGCGGAGCAACGCCGCGAGGTGAATTGCTAGGGAGCTGAGGTCGCATTAGTATTCCAGGTTCAAGAAGCCGACCTTACGTGGAAAGGCGGCTACGGAGTGCTCGAGGAGCGGATGTGAAGATAAGTTCTTTAAACGGGACATGGCCGGCGAGTTCGGGGTGGTGGTAACAGTGGCGACTCGATGTTTTCGCAGGGGCGTCGGATGTGATCCGTGGACTGTGGGGACCCGTGGGACGAAGCCTTATCTATAGGACCATTATCTCCAGCCTGATAGAACTCTAAGAGTTCTAAGTTCTGTTCCTGGACTTTATCCCTAAACTTTACGCCAATACCGAAAGTCCCTCGACCATCGACAATACCCTAGTCGATACAGCCATCACCAAAGTCCCCCTTACCGTCGATTTTGGTCTAGACCGTTCATTCAGCGAGATGGTTGTGGTTCATATTGGTATTTCCTACTAGGCCTATATTGATGTCTTTGATGGGGGTGTGACTCTGACCACTGCAGTACTGTTCAAGTTCAAGCCCTCTACGGCCCCAGCAATCAAGGCAACGTTCCATAGTGAACTCCAAAAATTGAAGAATCTGCCATGTGTCCTCGGTGGGAAGCTGGTCGGCGGCGGCCCATCTATAACGGACCCGATTGCACGAAGTAAAGGATACGACTTCTGCCTTCTCAGCTACCACCGAGACCGTGCTGCCTTGGACCAATATCAGGCCAGTGCGGAGCATCATCAGTGAGTTATCTATATTATGCCTTCTTAACCTACACCAGACATGCCAGTCACTTCTTGGTCTGTAGCCGGGCAAGGCAATTACTAACTGTCGCAGTGTCACCAGCAAATACATGTGGCCCTTCAATGAGGACTTGATGAGATTCGATTTTGAAACCGACGGTGCTGATGGAGATTTACTCTTGCAACCTTTGGCCTTGCCTGACACTGTTGGCTCCCCAAATCCTAGCGGAGCCCCCGATGTGATTCAGACCGCCGAAGCAAGGGACCAGCGAACAGAGTTGGATGAACCTCCGAGACTGACTAAGGTCTGATCATGTTGAGTCTACATAGCAGCTCACTGTCTTAGCCTTGGAAAGATCGTTACATAGAGTTAGATCATATAGAGAATCCAACACTCAAGGTCGAACTACCCGTTGACTCAAACTGTCAATCCGAGCCACGAGGGCGCCGATTTTGATTTTCTCACCGCCAGTGGACCCGAACGAGGAGTCATCTATTTAAGTTCCCCCGGCGCTCATTTTCAGCGTCACAAAATGGGTCCAAGAAAGAAAAACGAAATTCAGAAACACATGGCGTTGTTGGACTGGTTTACTTAACAATCCTGCTAGATGAGTGAAGATCGTTTTACAATAAGTAATGTTTCCATAACGACCTAGGTCGCTTGATTCTATTGCCCCACTCCATCGCTCATACATGTATTTAACAAAGAATTCCACCTCGAGGAGGAGCAACTAGAGGCTTAGGCCATATATGTAGGACGACATACTAGGACTCCGACCAGACCTAGCGGCACTGTTTGCCTTAGATAATCGATGTCTCTCGACTCCCAAACTTTCACTGACGCTGACGTTCTAGATATTCATTCTACTGGACCTCCGAGGAGTCCTCCTCCTTGGCGGCGGCGGATGTATCCACATTGGCACCACGCACACGTTCCTTGATAGCCTCGAGGCCGCCGGTCTTCCCGATGACGACGCCTCCATAGTCTCTCGACTCGTCGAGGGTCTTCAAGTTCTGGTCATCCATGAACAGGGACAGGAGCAATGCACCGGCCTCGCAGCACAAGCCGGCGATCAGCAGGATGCGCATGGTTTGATCGTACGACGTGTTGATGGCGACCCGCTCGGGCGTGCCCCAAGCGAAGCTCAGGCAAAGCCCCACCGAACCCTCAATGTCGGCGAGTTGAGGTAGAAGAGCTGCGGGCAGGTTCTCCAGGAGCTTTTGGGGTAGGACGTCTAAAAAGAAGGAATAGGGTGGTCAGTAAAAATGGATAGATGATGGATCCGAGACGCGTATATATATATATATATATATATATATCACGCAGTGTGGTGTGACTGTGACCAAAGGGGCCGGGGGCTCTCTTACTGATCCATACGCTGCCCGATATGGCGGCACCGAAGGCATCGCCAACCGCACCCAATGTAGTATACAACGCTGTGACTTGAGCCATTGCTAGAAGAATGACGAGTTAGTGACAATCGACCTAGAGGAGGAGAATGGTGATTGAAGAGAGGGAGAGAGAGAGAGAGAGAGAGAGGCATACATGTCTCGGGAACCGATGCTTGCATCGCCGTCTGGATGGTGTAGACCATTCCCTGGCCGAGCCCAAACAGACCCTGCCCCACGATCAATGGAGCAATATGCACCGAAGCGTCTCGGTATCGGAGCGTCAGTCCCATTCCGAGGACGTTGACGCAGAATCCGGCAACGATGACCCATTTGGGTCTTCCCCAGTACTTCAAGATGAGTCCACTCCCGATCATTCCAAACGTGGCAACGAAAGGTTGGACAACGAGTACGTTTGTCGCGGCCGCCACGCTGAGGTTGGAATCCACCACCAAGTAGGCGAACAAATAGGACTGGAAAGTGTACATGCCCAGGTAGGCCATGAGATTGGATAGCTGGAGAATCAGTGTTAGCCGGTTTGTTAACTCTTGGTTTGAGAATTTTTGCCAAAAAAAAAGATCACTTACACCTCCAAATGTGATGGTGCGGTCCTTGAACAGAGCCAGCGGCAACAAAGGCCACTTTGCGAATCTCCACTCCCACAGACCAAATACGATCAACGAGACACCACCAATCACGAGCATGATTATGATATGCGCGCTTTTCCACGAGCTGTTACTTGATGCGAGACTGAGCGGGAGGAGGACCAGGGTGAGACCGCCAGTAAACCAGATAAAGCCAATAGGGTCAAGCTGTTGAAAAATCAACCAGTGGTTGAAGGGCGTGTAGGTCCCATTGGCTTTGCGTGCTTTGGTCGATTTTCTTTGATGCCACCACAAAGTACCAAGAAGTGGTACAGAGAAGACGGGGAACTGAAAAAAAGGTCTTCATTAGCATGGAACCAAGTCGGGATTGAGAGGAGAGAGAGAATTACCAATATAGCAAAGATTCCAAAGCCCCATCTCCATGTCGTGTCATTGAGAATCGCTGTCACGATGGGGGCCGCAGTCTAGAAGCCTGTTAGTTTACCGATGTGCCAGCGATGGGAAAAGTGTGGCATACCCAGCTAGTGACGGCAACAGGAATAATTGGAATCGCGCTTATGATCAGGCGATTTTTGAGATCGCTCGAGTCTAGATGGACATGATATCAATGTATTGTTCACAAAGGGAAATAGAGCAGGAGACTCACCACCAGCGAGAAATTGAAGCATCAATGTGAGGCCTATTGAGTTAACATGAGGCTGAAGTTCGACATATTGGGCGGGCTGGAGTCATACCGAGAAGGCCAACAACGAAGAAGATCTGTGCTGCAGCGTACACGTTGATGTTGGTAGAGGCTGTTAACATGACTTGTCCAACAGTCACAATAACAATACAAGCAGTGAAGAGTTCAAACCGCCTATTTCACAAGAGGTGTTAGCAACCTGGACGATGATTGATCGATTCCGTATATGTACCCGTAGACATCTGCCAGTTTTCCGAGAGGTTGTTGCATCACTATTTGACATGTCAGAGATGGAGATGGTCCACGCAACGCAATAGAGATGGTGGTAGATACCAGCAGAAATGACACCTTGGATTGTTCCGATCAAACCCAGCAGGGAAAGGTCGGTAAAGTCGCTGGTCGCATAAGGTGCAAACGACGAGAACGTATTGTTGTCGTAGGCCACGACGAAGCTCAATGCCAGGGCACCACCCCAGGCGACCGCCAGACTTTTCGCATTCCAGGTGCTTTTGATGCCGGATAGGTTCAGGAGACCGACCGGCTGCAGGTCGACATCAGCAACCTGGCCGTCCTGGTGGTCCCCAGAAGAAACGCTCTTGTCGACGGCGACAAATTCGACATCGGTTTTCTCTCCCCGAGTTACCTCCTCTTCGCGATCGATGGTACTCATCTTGTTCGGGTTGGAAAGGATAATGTGTTGCCGGTGGTGGTTGGCATGAACTGGGCAGTTCTTTTTGTAGTTCGAGTTGAGTTGGACGACCTTTAAGACGACGTGAAGTTGATTAAGTTGCGATGACCCATCGCCACCCTAAGGCCCCTATGGCACCTGCGCACTCGTGTGGGCTCCTAAGGCCCCTAAAGCAGAGATGCTAATGCATATTTCGCTCCCAAAGCGACAAACCAATGGTGGGTATCAGGACAATCCGGGTGGGTATCAGGACAATCCGGGTGGGTCTCCAGCGCCTGTCTGGCACAGTCTGGGTGCCCGTATCATGTATCAAGCGGCTCCAATCATCGATAGCATGGTTCTGCTCGACGAATCCGTGCGTCGGCTCCCTCGTTCCCCTCGTTCCGCAGCAAACCCCGTTGCGCTAATGCAGCTGTCGTTATTCTCTTCCTGTTTGGGCTGCGGCGAGGGAATGAATACAGTACCCTCGGTTCCCAACTTCCCACGGAGCTCGCTACCATCGCAAACTAGACATCAGTTGATTGTGATAGACACAAGACCAGCTTACGTTTTCTATCCAAGATAGCTGGCGGAAGAAACCACGCGGTGTCCACTCCTTCACGTCTAGATCTTTCTTGAACTTTTCGATGGGAACCCTTATGCCGATGGCGGGTATTGCTTCAAGGACACTTGGCAACCCCCTGGGATTCCATAGCTATACAAGGTGACCAGGCGTTTCCTTCAATGTACATAACAGTCGAACCTCTTTCTGACATAGCCTTTCACCAACGTTTGTTTACAACATGGTAGGGGCCTATTTCGGTGAAGCTCACCCTCAGGTTCAACCCCTGACTGGGTCCGAACAAATTCGAGAGACGAAGAAGCAGAAGGTCTCCCCGTTTGACGAGGATTTCGCAAAATTGGCTGAAGAAACTCTTGCTCAATGGCATCTCCCCGGCGTCGCGCTTGCAGTGGTTGATGGGGATGAGACCTTTGCTGAGGTATTCATTCCAGAAAATTTCCTAAAGACGAGGCAATCCTAATTTCATTCATAGGGATATGGCTTTGCCGTCTTACCTGATGTGCCTGTTCGACCGTCGACTCTCTTCTGCACCGGAAGCACGACAAAGTCATTCACCGCCGCGGCAGCTGCATTGCTGGTCCACGACAATGACAAATATCCTCACGTCAAATGGGACACCCCGATGAACCAGCTTATTAGGGATGATTTTGTCCTTCAAGACGATTACACCACCTTGCACGCAACAATCGAAGACTGCATTTCCCACCGGACTGGCATGCCTGGACACACATTGACCATTGCTGGGGACTCCCCCGAGGCGGCGACCCGCAACCTACGCAATCTATACATTGACAAAGAACTCCGATCGGGTTTCGAGTACTGTAATATCATGTACATTGCCGTCTCGCACATGCTTCAGAAAGTCACTGGAGAATGGCTGGGGAGTTTCCTACGAAGACGGATATGGGAGCCTCTGAAGATGCATGCGACCTTCTTCACCCAGCAAGAGGCCCACCAATATATTCGCGACAAGGATAGCACACTCCAATTCGCCCGGCCTTATATTTGGGACCCGGAGACCTCCTCACAAAGAGAATGTCCCTACTGGGAGAATACAGCCGTCAGCGGAGCAGGGAGTATGGTGTCCAATGTGCTTGATTATGCCAAATACACTCGAAGTATGATCGAAAGGTCAGGGCCACTGTCAAAGGAGGCGCACGCCGACCTTGTCACACCTCGTGCTTTCCCACCACCACCTGATACACGTTTTCCCACCGTATCACTATATTGTCTAGGATGGTTCAGTGGCATCTACCATGGTGAGCAGGTGATACATCATAGCGGTAGTATCGAAGGATTTACTGCCAATATCGTCTACCTCCCGGAGAGAAAATGGGGTGTTGTTGCCATGTGCAACCAAATGGGTCCAGGACGGGAAGTTCTGGTCTGGAAGTTGGTGGACGATTTCTTGAAAGTTCCTTTGGAGAAACGGATAGACATCTACGCCCTGTGAGTATTCTGTTCCACCTCGTACATCATGATCTCCTGTGCTGACAGTATACAGCTACAAGAAAGGTGAGGAGTCGGTCAAAGACAGGGTACAGCATGCTCAAAAGTATTTGTATCCGTCGATTCCATCGCCGCCGCTCCCGACTACATTACCGCTTGCAGACTATGTCGGAAGATATACCCACCCAGTGTATCCCGCATTTACCATCTCTTTATCTACCGATCCTGAGCCCCACCTCATCGCTTACGCCATGGACATGGTAGAAACGACCCTGAAACTTACGCATGTTTCAAGAGACTTCTTCACAGCCGAGTTAAGGGTCTTTCGCTATGCTAGAGATCCGTGTGCGGTGGGCAGGGCCGAGTTCCAAGTCGATGCAAAAGGCGTGCCGAAGTTTGGTGCCGAACTTGACTTCGCCTCTGAGGATGGTGGCGGGAAAATCTGGTTTAAGCGGTCCAATGATGGAACTCAAGATTGAAGAGGCCTAAGGCTGCTTGCAAAGGTCGCTTGATGGGTCAAAGCACTGTTCTTCGCAGGCGGCAAAAAGGAAAAAGGACGGGTTTCCGCTTTACCAGTAATTCTAGATTGCGAAGTTGAGAAGAAAGAAAGATCCACATCAATCGTACTTCTGCTCTCTCTTGAACAAAAGTTGAAGTAGCCCATTTAATTTTGATTGCCTTCATCTCAAAATATCATCCACTCTTGATATAAATTTCATCTTTCATCCCTCCTTTGGAAAAAGTCTTGGTACATCTTGATTTTCCACTTCCCACACTCTATCCTCCCAGGACTCCTCACACGGAAGCTGGGCCCCCTGTTGACTTAGTCTCGCGACTCGTTCAATGTCGTCCCAAACTCGTAGAAGATTCTCACCGACAAGTAACTGGGCTTGTTGGTCGGTGACATTACCGCGGGCGAGAAGACGGGCGATTAACTTTGGCCACTGGGACGTGTCCTGAAGAGCACCGTGGCACGAACTTAGCCGAAACAGCCCCCCATGCGGTGTCCAAGAGTGTCAAGGGGGGAAAAAGACGTACCTCGAGTCCATGGACCACCGACGTCGACCCATCGAAATCGGAGCCTAGCCCAACATGTTCCCAGCCGGCCACATGGGCAATCCAGAGGATGTGATCAACAACATCCTCGACGGTTGCATCTTCGGGATGATTTGTGTTCATGAAGAAGGAGATCGCAGGGACCATGACGATTCCACCGTTTGGGACCAACACCTTCAGGACATCGTCGGGGACATTGCGGAGATGCTTCTGCATGCTGTAGGATCCGGAATGCGAGAAGATGACGGGCGCTTTGGCAACGCGTAAGACATGGCGCATGGTGTTTGGCGATACGTGCGCGAGGTCGACCATCATGCCGAGACGGTTCATTTCACGCACGAAGGAGTGGCCGAACTTGGTCAGCCCGGAGTCTGTTCCAGCGGTCTGGTTCACGCTGATCCATGAGGTCCCAAAGGCGTTGTCGCAGTTATGCGTGAGCGTGACGTACCGCGCACCTGTTTCGAAGAACAGACGTAGAGCGCCCAGGGAATTGCCGAGTTGATGACCGCCCTCGATCCCGATCATGCTGGCTATTCGGCCCTGTTTATGGGCCCGACGCACACATGAAGGATTGGTACAGAATTCCAAAAATGCAGGATATCGCGCCACGAGGCGTTTGGTGAGGTCGATTTGTTCGAGCGTGTCGCGTACTGCCCACTACCGCACCACATTAGCATCAGTATTGCACGAGTACGATAGTGCTCGTTCATTCTAGACGCCCTCCAAAAAAAGAGAGGGCGAGAGGGCGGTACAAACATTGGGCTCATTCAGATCCGGTACACGTTTATTTGGATCATCGAGATCTACCCCCGGCACTAGATCCTCCGGGCAGGGTACATAGACACTCCAAAACTGGCCTCCCATCATTCCATCTCTCATCTTCCAGAGATCGGTATGACTTGCCAATGTCTCGGCCTCGAAATCATGGCCGTAGATCTCGCCATGCAACTGTTGCCTCAGCAAAAATGGAAAGTCATTGTGGCCGTCGATCAGAGGGCTGTTCTGCAAGATGCGCTTGGCGCGGCCCAGGTAATCTTTTGCATCGATCGACTCTTCTTTGCTCGTTGCTAAGAGAATCTTCTCCCAGAGGCCGGTGTTGGATAACTCCAGCTTCGGGTGGAAAGGATAGCTGAGGACAGTGACGGCGATAACGACGACGGTTACCAGGGTCAGGACCGGCCAACCCCATCCACCTGACGGCGCCGATGCCTTGCCAGAATCCGATGGAGATATGGATGTCCGTGACTTGGCCGCCAGAGCCTGTTTTACTGGTGTCGGCATGATTTCCAACCTTCCTTTGGGTGCCTGGCTCTTCTCCCAAGCTGGGCTCGTCGACGACTGCTGGAGGTGGTGATAAGCACCAAGGGGATAAAAGAACAGCGCACCGATCAAGCTGGAAGAAGGGAGCCAAGTTCTGGCCAGCGGAGTCAGGCTCAATCGCGCTTGGACAATTCAACAATGTAGTCCCCCGATTGTGTGTGAGTCGGACCTATCGAGCAAAGGGCCTTACAATGGCAATTGAAAGCTCGCGGTATCAGTAGTAGTACGTTATTAATGGTGGTAAGCTTTATCCAGACACCAGCGCTAGCAAGCGGCTGGGAACGAGCGTGCCAACGAGCGTTGCGGGCGGAGCGACGGGGAGCATGCAGATGTCGTTCTCGATTACCCTTTTCAGCCAGTATCCATCCACTATCCATCCACTATCCATACCCCATAGTGCTGGGATCGTACCTTGCAGTGATTACGTCGCACTGCCTTCCCGGTAGGTTTGATGAGGATCGATCTGCTATTGCTAATTTACCTGTTTCCACCATCGCGACCGCAGCATAGACATATATTGAAGAGAGTTGCTCTCTCCGGGAGTCTCTACATATCTGTCCAACTTCAACGACATCGCCAGTGCCGGCTACACGAGGAAAAATGCTCGCCGACTACTTTTTCATCGGGGCCAGCCTTGCTCTCTCTGTGGCTGCATTCCCCGGAGTGCTGAACAACACGGCGCCGACTTGGATTGGCCCCATCTATGTCCCTGCGACCAATACTTCATCGCAGCTGTTCTTAGATGCCAGTGCTGCCGCATATGCTGCTGTCACCGACGCCATCAACACCGGAGTTTCCCAATATGGATCCGTCGACAACCAGACCACGTCCTTCTCGGTCGCAGTATTTTCGGCCGTCACCAATGAGACTCTGTTTGAGTATCATTTTGCTGCCCCAGGACTCAATGGTTCGTTGACCAAGGGAAATCTCTCCGAGAATACCATCTACCGAACCGGAAGTTTGGGCAAGTTGTTTGTCACGTATGCCTTTCTCGTCGACATTGGTGACGGCGTATTCCTGGATCCGGTGACAAAATACCTGGTGAGTCTCGCTTGTCGCCACCATCATACTAAGACTATGGCCACATGGATTCTAACTTCGGTTGCCAATCTAGCCTGAGCTTAAGGAAGCGGCTCGCACTCTGCCACATGATCCAATCCGATATGTCAACTGGGAAGAAGTCACTGTGGGCTCTCTCGCGTCACAACTTTCCGGAATCGGACGAGACTGTACGTGCTCCCTTGTCATCCCCATGAAATCAAACCATTTCCAAGATGATGGTTGATCTAATTCATGCATGCTCCAGATCTCTTGGGAGACTTCGCTACCAGTGGATTTCAAGCCCCCACACTCGAGGAGTTTGAGGCAGATGGCTATCCCTACATACCCGACTCCGAGCAACCCAATTGTACCTTCTACGGCGATAACTACCCAACTTGTACCCGGGCACGTGAGTAACAAACATTCCTCATTTCCCGCAAACTTGAACTTGATTTGACTTTGAATGGCCAGAATTGTTCAAGGGACTTGTTCAGCATCCGCCGGTCTTCCAGTCATATGAGAAACCCATGTATTCCAATTTGAATTTCGTTCTCCTCGGTCTGATCTACGAGAATATCACCGGGGTCTCGCTAGAACAAGCATGGCAAAAAATTTACCATGAGAAGTTGAACATGACCTCGAGCACATACAAGTATCCTGGGCCAGCTGCAGATGCCATCATCCCCTACAATGAATCGTTTGCATTGTTTTCATACGACATGGGACTTGATACCCCGTAAGTACTATCTCGAGCCGACGAGTCACCAAAGTAATCTTGAATCTGGACTAACTCGGCGGTTAGGGCTGGGGGTCAATATACCAGTACCAAAGACTTGGTAGTTTGGGGCCGAGCCATATTACAAAGCTCTCTGCTGCCCAAAGTTCTCACCAGACGGTGGTTCACGCACGCCGCATCAACATCTGTTTGGACCAGCAATGTCGGCGTAAGTTCATGAACCACGACACCCAACGAGTTGTGACTACTACTACTAGTGGTTACAGTACTAATCTACCTACGTGTTCAGATCCCATTCGAAATTTATCGTCTACCAGTCATCGCAGACACGAACTACAACTTGACCCGCATAGTCGACATATACTCCAAATCCGGGGACGTTGGTCAGTACTCGACCAATTTTGGCCTGATCCCCGACCACAACTTGGGATACTCGGTTCTCTCGGCCGGCGTGACTCCCAACACCCAAGTCAGCGCTATCAGAGATACAGTGGTCGACATATTCGTAAGTTAATTAATAGCCCCAGGTGTTACTGAGCTTGACCCTTTCCCCTTTCACCTTTCAGATCACATCACGCTGACCAGGCTCCCACTCCCAAAAGGTCAATGCTGCCGAAGCCGCTGCAAAGGCCCAAGCCAAACAAGCATTCACAGGCACATTCGCGGCCTCGGACCGCAATTCCTCCTTGACGCTGACGGTGGATGGAGGACCAGGCGTCCTGATTACCGGATGGGTCAGCAACGGCACCGACTTCTTCCTGAACAACATCATCATCCCTACCAATGATCTCCGAATCTATCCCACGGGTCTCGAGCGGACGGACGGCGCCAACACTTACCGTGCCTATCGTCTCTTGTTTGCCTCTTCCCCGGTCCCGGACAACGTGGGCCTCTTCTCCGAGGCCAACGATTATTGGCTCAGCATCGACAGTGGCATCTACAACAATCAGCCCTTCGATGCCTTCGTGGTCGGCTTCGATGTCGCTGGGCTGGTGCAAAGCATCTACTTGGATGCTTTCGTGGTCAACCTCACCCGTTCGGACGCGGCGTGACTTTTGTAATCAGATTCTATGTCTGGCTGGCGTGCACAGCACAGTCCATCTTCCCCTCGAGGGCCTCAAAAATAAATAACAGAAGGAATATAATATTACTGAATTCCTCGGGATAGATTTCCTTCTAATATGTTTCCCCGACAGAACTTGCTTGGTCGCCCGCAGGATCAGGGTCTTGAATGTCTCTGGCTACTAGTATATCTCACACGATTAATCATTCAGCCACACGCCATGCGCTGCAAGGGGCACAGAGTACTTACTTATCTACTGTACCGATACTTGTATTCCTTTGCCACCGGCATTTGGCGCTACCGTACGCTATCTACCTAGGTAGTCGATTTACCACTAGCGGTACTGTAATTTCTGTATTCGATCTGACATGCTCCTCGTCGCTCGAATCGATTGTTCAGGCGCCTAAACACGCATTGATTGCCATCTTAGCTACCTATAATACTGATGGTTGTCAGGGACGCCTAACGCCCTTGCCGGAGTCTCTCTGTCCGCTATTCCTGGTCCAATTACACCCGGAATTACAGCTGCAGTAGGGTTAGGGTTGAGTGTTTGAGCGATCACTGGTGATTTCGATATGCTAGCGGTATTCTATTCCTTGCTTGACGCGAGCATCGTTATCATTAATGGAGAGGCCGAGAACCTGAGAACCAGAGAGCTAGAGAGCCAGGCGCCCCCCCACTTTCTTTATCATGCAAGGCCCATCTGATGATTCAATCCCCAGATCTTGTTTCTACCCTCTCTTCCGTTCTTAACCTCGTTGCCATGCAGATGCAGGCACGTAAATCGCGACATACATGTTGTATACACCGAGCACCTCGCACCTCCGATTGCTGCCAGCAACAGCAGATCCTGCGCCATTGCAAGTTGACGTCAAATGGAAGCACCATCTGTACCACCAAAGAAGAAGATCCGACGCACGCGTACCGGCTGCTTCACATGTCGCCGGCGCCGAATCAAGGTGATAATGATGGATTCCACCGAATCCAAACTACGGAAATCTGACTCTGACTGCCAGTACTCCGTAGTGTGACGAGAGGAAGCCCTTTTGCAAAGCGTGCATGCGACTGGGCATTGCGTGCGACGGCTACCTCCCAAGACACCGATTCATCGGATTCGCAGGGTTCTCTGAATTCGCCGTTCCCGTCCAACAGGATGGACAGGGGCAGAGCGTCCCGGGGACGACTCCGACTCCGACTCCTCAGATTGACCCATGGCCAACGGATCCGGAGCCCTTGCCCTTTGATTTGCGAGCACTCACGAGTGGCAGTCCCTCGGTCAAGGGAGAAGCTCAACTTTCGTCCCCCGACTACGAGTCTGGATCGCCTTCCATGACAGAGGCCATTAGTGAGGATTGTACGTCTGTGATCAATTCGGGCGACGGCTTTTCTCGCGCCGTCTCAGGTGGTTCGCAGGAGGCATTATCTTCATCGACGTTCGGACAGTCGGAGACGCCAACGCAAACGCCAACGCGTCCACCCGTTCCATCTCCGAAGAGTGGCTCTTCAGACGTGGAGAACTTCTATCTCGAAAAATGGTATACGTGTGTGGTGGGTTGCCTACCTCCCATCTTCCGCGACATAACTATGGCGGCCGGCATGCCGGACTTTCCTCCTCTTTGGAGTGCCATCTGTGCCATCTCGGCGTCTTACCTGGCTCATATCGAGTCTTCCATCGTCATCACCAATGCGGGCGGGCGAAGGTCCCGATATGTCCCACAATCCGAGCATCGATATCGAAGCCTGGAATTCTATGACCGCGGCGTCCGAGAGCTGACGAGGCTGGTCTCGACTTCCAAACCAGCAGACATACACTACGTGCTGGCCACGTCGCTCATCTTTCACTATTTTGAGATCGACTCGGGTTCCGTCGTCGGGGCGGGCGGGCATATGGAATCCATTGACAGCCTCGTCATGTCTTCCTACGACGTCCTCCATGCCGATTTGACCGGCCAAAAGCTCCTTTGCACTTGGATGGTCCTCCGCGGCGTGGTTGCAAGCCGACGGCTCTCGGTCGGCCTCGGATTGACCGGACTCTCTTCGTCCATCAGCTCGGATGAACTGGACTACATCATGTCCACGGCGGCAACGCCATATGACTCCATCATGCGGCTTCTGTTGACGTCGCTGTCTCTCGTCCGCGTCATGATTCTCGACTGGTGCGTGTGTCGTGGCGCGTCGTTCGTGACGCCGGAAGAGAAACATGCCGCGTTCGCCGGCGTCCTGGACAAACTCTCCCTTCCCGAGTCTCGACGAGATTGCTCCAGCTCCGAATTGGCCGCTATCGACGACGGCTACTGGAAGTCTCTCGCAAAGCAGCGGGCCAAACTCGACGACTGGCACTCTCGGCTGCCCATGTCGGAGCTCCCGACCGAGAGCTTCACGTCTCAGAACACCGATCCTACAACTGCAGACACCACCACCGCCGCCGCCGACCCGGACGTGGAGCCTCTGCGCTTTCAGACCCACGAGGCCGCCATGAACTACATCTACTACGCGCTGGCGCAGATGCTCAGCTCCCGCCGGGCGCTTGCGCAAGTCGCCACCGCGGACGCCCCGCCCGCCAAATTCACCACGCGCAACTACCCCTGGGAGCACCTCATCCTGCGCATCACCATGGGCCTGGATCTCAGCGACTGCGTGACCAAGCACACCTTCCGGGTTGGCGTCATGTCGGTCCTCTCGACCTGCGCCGCCTGGTGCCCCCACATCGCCGTCACCCAGGTGGCGGAGCGGTGGCTGGCCAAGCTCGAGGCCTGCGGCATGGCCGTCGAGGACGGCATGCCCGTGGCGGTCATCAAGCGCGAGCTCAACTTCGTCGTCGAGAACAAGAAGAAGGACCAGGACATCTTTCGCATTTCCGTCCTCACCAGCGCCGACACCGAGACCAGAGATGTATACCAGAGTGATTTTCAGATGTTATCCGCCGTGTGTGCCAAGGATCGCCGCACTGGGAAGCTGTACAACGATATACAAGAGATTCCGTAGCTGATAAGTGGCAGTGGCAGCGACTTCTTACTTCTTACCACAAAGGGTCGGCAACATGACTCGTCGGTTGAGATAAACTAGGGGAGACCCCCGAGCCCGAACTGGCTCCTGCGGAGTAGCATCGGGTCAGCGCCCCCTGTGGCTCACGCAGTGCTCCCCCGTGCTCTGCCCTCGCTCCCTCGACGCTCCCCCGTGCTCGGCCGGGGCGCTCCTCATGCTCTGTCACGTGTCTGATTACAGCGGCCTCGCTTCCTTTCCTGAACGAAAATGGCAATGGACGAACCACAGGTCGGGGCATATATAAATGTATATATCTGCTAATAGCTCCAAAGTACAGACAGACAGTGTCTCTTGACATGGATGGGAAAATCAGTGTCAGCATCAGTATCAGTATCCTCTGGCAGTGTGATGGTGATGGTTCCTAGTCCTAGTACGCCGTATCACAATGTAGGCCAGGTTATTGTAGAGAAGAATCTCGTGGGAACTGGAACCCATACAGAGAACACAGTATCTGGACATATATAAGACGGATACATGTATATATCCTGGGCAGCACTGCAGGTGGAGATAAGATACTGTACACATACAGAGTATGTACAGTATCGCTTGGACCCGCGATGCTAGCAAGTCTTGTTCCAATCTGCAAAGCCCAGACGACCACACCTGGGTCTCGATGGAGAGCCCTGGTCGGTCCCGGCAATAGGATATCCAGACAGATCCTAGTAGATGAGATCAAGGCCGTCGCCGCCAGAATCTCCGGCTGGACTTTTGTTTCGACGTTTGTTCGATCGTTGCGTTAAAGGCAGAAGCAATCGCCTGACCCACAGCTCGTTAGCAATAGCAATCTAACCCCCACAACGTCCTCGGAAAGAAAGACGATGTGATATGACAAGAATCTCACCGTCTTAAACACCTCTTGGACGCCAGCCATGGTCACTATGGGATCGCATTCCAGGTACTCCAAGGCGCCCAGTTCCTTGGCCAGTTTTTCGCCCTCTCCTAGTTTCGTGCCCAATGCGACGCGATAGCTCTCCCACAATTCGTCGTCAGTGTCCAAGACTCCAACCAGGAGGAAAGGGGCGTGCGGACAGAAATGGCGGATCTCGGGCACCCATTTGGTGCGTAGATTGTCGATGATCATGTCATTTCTCGGGTGTGTAGAGAGAGGGAAGCACATGATGAAAACATCTGTTTGCGGATAGCTCAATGGCCGTAGTCGGTCGTAATCTTCTTGACCCGCCGTGTCAAGCAGTGTCGCCATGTACTGCTTTTTGTCCGTCCTGCCATGCCACAAGTTAGCAATCCTACCACTCTCTTGTGACTAGAATAGAAATAGAACTGGACTGACTCGAACGAGATGTCGCAGGGAGGAAACACTGTGGGTATGTAGCTAGCCTTGTCGCGAACTTTGTTTTCCGCCATGGCATAGCAGAGGCGGGTCTTCAATGCTCCTGGCTCTCCAACAACAACCATCCTGACAAGTGTTAGTGGAAATTGACAGTCATGAGGAACTGGCGGCGTACTTAACATCGCATTTCTCGTCCAAGTCAACAGTGCCATGAGTAGTAGCACTAGCCGTGGTTGTGATCTTTGTCGTTTGCGCCGGTGGTGGCTCGACACCACCACTATCAGGAGACAGTGCCGCAATGACATCCACGTGGCCATTAATCCGGGCAATAGAAAGGGCAGTGAGTCCGTCACTGGCTGACCAGTTGATATCGTCAGGGTCGAGAACTAGCATCAATTTCTTGACCATGGATAGATGCCCGCCTTTTGCGGCCCAATACAAAGGTGTACGGCCTTGATAGTCTCGAACATTTGCCTTCGCCCTTCCAACAGACATCAAGGCAAAGAAAATGTCAGAGTGGCCAGCTTCGGTGGCAACCAACAGAGCTGTCCGGCCACGTGCGTCCCTCGACTCGACGTCATAGCTGTGAGGAAGGTGCCGTGGGTCTAGAAGAAACTCGACGACGGCCAGATGGCCATACTGAACTGCTTCGAGTAGCCGGTTCTGAAATTTGGAGTACTCCTGCGCTACGAGTGCCTTCGCGATGAGAGTGTGTGAGAATCGGAGCGCCCACCACACCGGGGACCGGCCGTTGATATCGGCAGCCCATACCTCCCGATGGGAACCAGGGACACTTAGAAGATACTCTACCATGGCCAGATGCCCATTTCCGGCAGCCCATGAGAGCGCAGAGCGACCTGACCGGTCGGTCATGTCGCCGGTGCAGCGACCCGATTCCAACAGCAGCTTCGCAACCTTGATATGTCCGTTGCCAGCAGCCAGGGACAACGGCGTGCGCCCATCTGATATGCCTTTCGAATCGGCATCCAACCGAGGCACCTGGAGGAGCTCCGCAACAACCTGTGCGTGGCCATTGCCAGCAGCCCAGGATAATGGCGTGCGCCCATATATGCCTTCCGAATCTGCATCCAACCGAGGCGCCTGGAGGAGCTCCGCAACAACCTGTGTGTGGCCATTGCCAGCAGCCCATGACAGTGCCGTACGACCATGCCGACATTGCGCGTTGTGCTTTGTCGTATGCTTTAACAGCTCTCTCACGGTTTCGACATGACCGTTGCCAGCTGCCAGGGATAAGGCTCCACGACCGTCTTCATCCGTGCTCTCGATCATAGACGAAGGCCCAAGGCCAAAGAGAATCTTGACCACGCCTGTGTGTCCGTTGGCTGCTGCCAAGGAAAGCGCAATGCGACCTGAACTGTCTCTCTTGGATATGTTATGGCTGCTAAGGATGTGACGGAGAAGTCTAACCACATTCTCGAGCCCGTTTCGTGCAGCGTAACGTAGTGGAGCTCGGCCATTGCAAGATGAGATACTAAGAGCGTCAGAGGAGCGAAGCACGAGTTGTTGGACCAGCACATCCGGGTGTCGCAACTTTTCAGGGCTTCCACTAAGTTCTGATGTGATCATCTCCTCGACGAGAAGGTTATTGCCAGAAAGACTCGCCAAAGCAATACAATCCTGACCGTCTTTTGTTTTTATCTCTCCCGAAACTCCCGAATGCGCAAGACACTTGAAAATAGCCAACCCCCTAGGGTCCACAGCAGCGAGGTGAATAGGCGCCCTTCCAGTCTTATCAAACATGGTTGGATCAGCGCCTAGATCCAGGAGGCAGTGGATGGTTGGAAGATCCCAGCCTCGTATGGCCTGGTGTAGTGGTGTAAAACCTTGATCATCACAGGCGTTGACCGCGGCAGACATAGAAACTAATTCTTTGACTTCCCCAGGGCCCCCATACATAGCTGCGTAGTATAGAGGTGTAGCGGAGTTGTCGTCTCGTTCATCGACCTCGAACCCGAGGGAGATAATTGTTTTGGCTGAAAGCCATGTGAGCTTGTTGATGTAGATGTTGTGCAAGGCCGAGCGACCCTTTGGATCCTTTGAGCAAATGTCGATGCCCTTTCCCTTCAAAAATTTCAATAAATCATCTCGTTGGTTCTCAATGGCGACGAAGATGGGGTTTTGAGAGTCAAATGCACGGCGGGTTGCATTGAACCTTTCGACATCAAGTCGATCCTCGATGGCAGAATTGACCAGCTCCAGGGTCGTGGACGAATCAAGAATATTGGCGCAATGAGAGTTGACCGCGGACAGCAGGGCAGCTTCTCGGATGAATTGTGCGCGGTTCTGAATGTTGGCTGAGTGAGGGAACCCTGCCTCGAATTCGTCCACCAAAGCAGTGGCCACCTCAGTGTCCGCTCTTGCAATAGCAGCAGAAATGCCCGCTTTCAGGTCGTCGACAGTCTTGTCGGGTTTGACGGGCAGTGTTTCTGGATAGAAGCATATCGTCGAAACAGTATCTTGGCATGCCGTGGCAGTTGCTGCTCCATGTATGCATCGTCTCTCGAATATCGATGACTCTGTCATGACGCCTAGAAGCCGCAGGAACAAGTTGTCTGGAAGATCGGTAGTTCCAAGAGCCCGAAGGAGGTTTTCAAGGACGGTATGCAGGTGTAGACTGGCAGCGAGTTCAAGAGGACTTCGGTGCCAGGACGTAGAGTTCTCTATCCCTGCATCAGCTGTGGGAGATGCGCCGATCTTGAGGAGAGCTTCGACAGCGCTGAGGCTTGCAGTAGCGACTGCAAATGAGAGGGGAGTCCCAAAAAGCTCTACTGGAAATTGGGCATCGAGCCTCTGAGGGAACTTTACCCGACGATGGACGGTCGCTGCGGCTTTATCGGCAGGGCCAAGGTGGCGGGCAATCTGCTCGTGATTAGATTTGGGAAACATGAACAGCCAGTGAAGCGGGACCGAACCATCCTTTCCGGCAATAGATGGATCTGCTCCAGCATCAAGGAGAGCTTTGGCAGCCACAAGGTCGCCCATCCGCGCCGCACCGAGAAGGGGTGTGTCTCCGGAGAACGGATTGAGAGTATTGACATCAGACGCAACCTGGTTCTTGTGTTTATCACGGACTGCTTCAGGCTCCCACACTGTTGAGAGGGTTCCATTCGCGTGCGCCAGTCTTGAAGCACGTTTGTTGGACCTTGAGTTGAAACCTTCGGACGCCGTGGTCGGTGGAGGGAATAGCTCGGCTGACAATGAAAAACCCGCAATCCGTTCAGTGTTATGGTACAGCTTCCGGAAGGCTTCCACGATGATCTCGTTGAAACCTCGCTGTAGGTGTGGTTGATCAGACCTGCAGACATGACCGGAGTTGATGATTTCCAAGGTCAAGCTCGCGATCGAGAAGCCCATCTTCGAGCTTCGGTCCGCCCACTCCAAGAACATGGAGTGGTTTTGGGGAACGCCATATCCTGTGGCATGGGCAAGAGCAATCTGGAATGCTCTTCTGGCTGACGGCTCTCGCTCCATCGACGCTTCCGCATCAGAAACGATTTGGGCCTTTGCTACTGCAACAAGAGTTTTTGCTTCAAGTGGCCGGAGTGTCTCGAAGGACCACGGGTGGGTTTCCTCCACCTTCTCTCGAAGTTGCGACCTGCTGGCGGGAATCTCTGCACTAAACGTCAAACGTCAGCACCGCATTCTACATTCGGCGTGAAAGGGACACCTTTTGAGGGGGTGGGGGTTGTACTAGACTCCGGGTGCCAACAGTGGAAGCCTTGAGAGATCAGCCAATCGATGTTGTGCCTTGAAAGACAGGCAGTGCCGAAATGTGTGGATGAAGCTGATGCGAGTTGAGGGGGTGTACACGTTCTTTGCGATGGAGATTGCAACCTGGGAGATCTGCATTTTGATGGCAAGAGACTCTTTCGAGTCCAATCTGCTGGAAAAAGAGGCACCGGGGCTGGTAGAGGAGCCATTGGAGACACTGCTCTGGCTGATCATTGACAGTATCATTTCGTCTCCGGTATAATAGACGCCACTCCTCAAGGCCTCCAGGCACAGAAGACCCAATGACCAGACATCACATTTGCGAAAGTCGACATCCAGGGAGTCAGATTGCTGATCAGTCTCAAGCTCCGGGGCATTGTAGCTACGTGGAATGGTTAGCTCCAGCGACTTCGAGACGTTGTCTCTGGTGGGCACCAAATCAACAAAGCAACTTACGCCACGGTTCCTCGGTACTTCTGGCTAGCATCAGCATTCACAACTTCACCAGGATTGAGAAGGACCGAGTGGCCGAAATCGGCCAGCTTTGCGATGACAACGGTATCGTCGGCCAGGGTCACGTAATCGGGCTCGCCCCGAGAGGCCCGAACAATCAGGACGTTGTCGAGTTTGACATCTCCGTGGGCAATTCCACACAGATGAAGCTCCAGCAACGCGAGGGCCACATGCCTGCACAGCTTCAGCTTCTGCCTTGCACTCAAAGAGGTGCCTTGCAGCAGTTGTCGCATAGTCTCATGCCGCGCCCATTCTGTGACCAGGAAAGGAATCGAGCCTTGACGATTCCAGCCATAGCCAAGAAGGTCAATGATGTGTGGGTGGCTGGCCAACGGGGCATGGTTCATGACCTCAATGTCCTTGAGCACACACGACACTCGGGTGCGGAAGGCATCTATGTCGGCGTCGGGGGGTGGAAGCTTGACCTGCTTCAGCGCAACCACCTTGCGCGACACGGCGAGCTGACATCGGAAGACCTTGTATGACACGCCTTCTCCCAGGAATTCTTCATGGTATAATTGCGACCCAATGAATTGTTTGAGCTGGAGCAGTTGTATGACCGCGAGGAGGCCTTGGAGCGTGCGGATTTGGTTGACGGCCGGTTGAGAGAAGCCCCCGATGCTCGACTTCAATGTACGCTTGGACCATTTATTGCTCTGGTGCAGCTATCGTCAGCCTAATGGAGATGCTCCTCTAGTTTCACGGTATGCCAACTTACATCGAGGGAAAATTGCTCGTTCTCTCTGCGGTCCATAATGTTGGGCGTCTCTGCCCATCGCCATCAATATTGGGAAACATGGAGAAAGGGACAAAGAGGAGAGGCTGAAAGGCGGCTGCGCATGTACAGTACGGAGGACACGCTTGGAGCTTGGGCGTTTAGGAGGGGGCTCAGCTCCTTCTATCAAGAGCTGAGGCTTGAGAACGCCTCGCCTGCGCTCCTTCTGCCAAGTCGGAGGATGCATGGGATGTACGCCGTACGGAGGACTAATAGTATGTGGCTGAGACTGCGCGTTTCAGGTGTCAGTTCTGTTTAGCCCATAAGGAGCCGAATGCCACGGGCAAACTCCCAGCCATCAAGCAAGCATCGTGACATGGGATTGCCTACCTCTATCTCTCACCATGCTGGACCCGCTGAGCGTTGCGGGCCTGACGATTGCAGTGTTTGACCAGCTGTTGAAATTGAGCGAAAGAACCATCCAGTTTGTGTCTGATGCGCGGTCTTTCGACAAGGTACGTGCAAAGAGTCTGCGGGGTGGAAGAGGCTGCGCCGAGTCGTCTATCAGCATGCGCCTTCTGCGTCCAAGGTGCTGACATTGCCCTCCCTTCAGCATGTACGCCTTTCAGAGCATAAAATCAGGGATGAACACAACCGGAGTGAGCAGTTACGGGCACTTCTCTTCACCCCAACCCCGCTCTACGACCAGAATGCCATGTTTGATTATTTCAGCGAGGACGTGCAGGACCAGATCAAAATCCTCCTCATCGAAGCCGTAGGCAAGCTGCACGAAGCAGTCGATCTCCTTGACCGGCGCTACCATCGACGCAGCCATGACACCAAGCTGTCTCCAAGCGGCGGCAGCGTGACCATGTTCGACCGCATGCGACAGTCGTCGAGATCACCCCTCCGGGTCGTTCAATGGTCATTCCGGGACAAGAAGCGCACCGAGACCGTCATGACGGAATTCACAGACCTGAACCGGCGCATTCATGAAAACATCAAGCTCTTCATCCTGGGGTCGTCGCTGTCGGTCAACCCAGAGCGCCATCTTCGGCATCTCCAAAGCAATCCAGCATCGCAACAGCTCGGCTTCAACATCGACGCAACATTGCGACTGCATGTAGAGAACGCAGAACAGACTGTCGAAGATTGTGGCCTGCCCCAGGAACCGTGGGAAGGCATTCTGGCGGCCGCCCATCCGGTACCCGGATATGAGCAGCGCTATGCTATCGCCGACGATGAAGACGCAGCTGGGTCATCGCTGATTCTGGAATACCGACGCTATGAACCGGTGGGATCACAGACCGCTCAACAAGTTGACGAAAGAACCAGAACCCTCCTCAACTGGCTGGCACGGCTTCTCAAGGTTTCCAAAGAAGAAGATTTCCTCGTCCTGCGGTGTCGAGGCTGGACATATATTCCCAACCAGGAGAAGATTGCATTTGTCTTTGAGCCGCCGCCAGGATTTCGGGGGGTTCCCACCAGTCTGCTTGACCTCCTAAGAGACTCCAGAGCCAAACTCTCCTTGAATGAGCGGTTGCAAATTGCCTTTGGTCTCGCCCGAAGTGTTTCACACCTACAAATGGTGCAATGGGTCTGAATTCATGCCGACATCCTGTGGACTAAAGCTGACAGCCGTCTTTAGGTGCATGAAAGCATACGGAGCGAGAACATCCTCTTCTTCCCAGCCGCGGACGGCCCGGACCCAAATGAGAAGCAGATCAACTACGCCCAGCCCTGGGTGTTTGGATTCGAGTTCAGCAGACCCGAGACATTCAGATCCCACGGCCTCACAGATGTGGCCATTGAACGCGACGTCTACCGACATCCCGACAGACAGGGACGACCAAGTGTGAAGTTTCAGAAGATACACGACATCTATGCTTTAGGTACGGTCCGCCCCGTCCCGTCCCGTCCCATTTGGCTCTGCCAATATCCAACGGCGCGGATGCTGATGCTGATGCTGGTGCTGATACTGACTTGCTCCCAACCAGGAGTCGTTCTCTTGGAAATAGGCCTCTGGGAATCCTGGGAGCAGATGCAAAAGGTGCGGGCCGCATACCAACACAGTGCAAGAAGCCTGCAGAGCCTACTCGTCCAGCACGCCCAACGCTGGTTGAGTAGGCGCATGGGAGACAAGTACAGGGACATTGTGGTCAAGTGCTTGGGAGGGCACTTCGTCATGGCCGAGGACACTCGAGAAGAACTCAACCTTCAGCAAGCCTTCCGGGCCGAGGTGGTCGATGTGTTGGAGAGGTCACTGGCTGGTATATGAGGTTCACGAGGTACTAGTGATGATACCGAACGTGATTGCCTTCAGGTACGTCTCATTAATATTGAAGTATTGGCAGCAGTTATCAAAGAATGCTCCGAAGAGAGTCGGACAATAGCAAGCTTAGCCAGCAGAGAGTAGTATCGTAACCATACGTGCGCAATGCACCTAAAGCAATCCCTTTGTCATGCGCCTCAGATGCCACTCATCGCTTGAGAGGCTGAGAAATCTCTTGGGAGGACAGAGGTATTCATAAAGGTCGGCAGGCATCAGCGTGCAGGAAGGTCCTCGGATGTCTTGTACCATGCATCTGGAGCATTTCCAGATCGAACAGTGAGTTCTTGCATCCACCAGAATCTCGGGGCCAGTCTGGTCCAATCAATGTCTAGCATTTGCTTTGCATGTTGTTCAAGTATAGGTGCCATGCGTTTCCTCATGGCCTCGTTGGCAGGATGGACACCGTTTTGCAACGCGACCCTGGCCTCGAGGTAGAACCGTGCTGAAGCACATTTCATGCAGTATTCGCTGATGTCCTCCGCGCTGAGTCTGCCAAACCCACCCTCGCGCATAATCAAAACCGTGTCAGCGAGGATCTCGTGGTGGCGAGGGATGAAGGCGAGCCCGTTAAGTGCCAGGTACGCATTCCAGCTGCGTGGGATATATGGAGTGAGCTTGATCCAAAATGTCGCGTCGGCTACATAGCCCCAGAGAAGGTATCGATTGAGGGTCGCCTTTAAAGATTTCTCCTTATCAACGCCCGCATTTTTATCCGCAGCCAAGAAGATATCTTTGTTGGCTTTCGAATGAAAGTAGTCGCGGCGTTTACACCACCTTTCCGCCGTCTTCATTCGGTCACTGGGTCTGTGGCAGACTTCTGGAATAAATGCCAAGGGCCTGCCAAAAGGTTGGTTAGCATGGCGCTGGCCTGACGGTGACGTACTCTTGAGGAAAGACTGTATAACCGAGATGCTGGAAAGGCGTGCCCCATCCGTGATGCGAGGCTCTGCGGCCCGAAGGAGCAAACTTACATGACTAGAGGAGTCCATTCACCAAAGACAGCCAGGACGATCGCGAAGGGAACCAATCTGTGAATGTCGCTCCTTGTGCGCAGGCATAATTGGTATTCTTTCCTCGTGATTTTGGGAGGTCTACCATCCTTGGGCTCGCGCTCCCGGCCTAGCATGGCACAGATATGCAACTTCCCCGGTTTTCCCCATGTTGGACCTAGACGTTGCAAGATCTTTCGCCTCTCTTTATTGTTCTGCCACACTCTCACGACGCCGTCTTTATAAAACTTGGCGTGTGTCGTGGCGAGACGTTGCCAGTATTTCAACCGCTGCCCAATGGGTATCTTTCCACCTTCGCCAGGCTTGGGTTGTTCCACATATTCTAGGATCGGAGGTCGTAGACAGGACAGGTCTGAGGGCTCTCCCTCGGCTTCCAAGTTGAGGGGTAGGTATGTTGGCTTCGATGTGAAGAGCTCTGGGCGAGTTTCTTGCAGTCTCCTTCTCTTGACTTGGCCGCGGAGTCGAGTGTGACTCAGTGTCGACTTGTCGCGGATCGGGAGGACACTCAGCGAGACAGCATTATGCCTGCCGCAGGGCTTCTGGTGTAGAAAAGTGACGGCTCTTCGACACTGCGGAAGGTTTGTTGACATGCCTCAAGGGCAAGGAGAGAGAATGACGGTTGTAGCCAGAAGGTGGGTGTCGTGGATGAGGGGGATTCTGTTGAGCAATCAATAGTCTTGGTTGAAGTTGAAAAACGCCTGCCTGTCCTGTTGGAGAGGAAAATATTTGTGATGATGTTGCCGCATCATCGTACAGTAGTGTATGTACGGAGCATCCCTAGCTATTTCGGCTGCGGAGAAACGAGACGGGCAGAACCACTTTTTGCTGCACATCTGGCCTCACGCTCCTTCGATTAAGTGTTCTGCATTCTAAGTCCGGATGCTCCCTACACCTCTCATTCTGTGTCGGATGGTGGTTGTTGTTGCTGCTGTTGTTGTTCTCTGTCAGTCTGGTCTCTGAACGCATCGTCGAATTTCCAATGCTGCGTTAACCCGCCCCCCCTGGTGGCTATACTGATGCTTCGTCTTCTGGCGCCTCCGACTCTTTGACTCCTTTCCATCCAGCCTCGTCAAAATGCGTCTCTCCGGTCTCTCCTGGAGCGCCGCCGTGGTCGCTCTCTGGCCTTTGAGCCTGCTCATTCCTTCGGCTCTATCCTCTCACTCGGTCAACGTCGCCCTTGAGACATCGTTTGCTGCCGGGCCATATTTGGTTGAACTGCTGTACGTGTGCCGGGCTGGTAACCATCCCCCCATTGAACCCTGCGAATAACACCTCTATAGGGAGACCGCCGCTCTCGAGAATTCGTCATCCTACTTCCCTCTTCTCGATCGCATCGCAAACGGCGCTTTTTTGGAGTTGCAGACGGAGCAAGAGCTGTACAGTAAATTCATAGAAGTGTTACAACATGATGGGCACCTTTCCAGTCCCGAATCTCTTTCTTCCTTCAAGTTCGCCCTCGCCCTCCATGCAGCCGCTCCTCGGGTTGAGGCTCATTTCCAGTACTACAACACCTCGGTGCAACCGCATTTGATGGCAGCGCAGGACGCTGTCTGTCCAGTGTGGGTATATCTAGATGGCCAACAGTACTGTTCGCCCGAGCTGGATCGTGCTCAGCAGGCAGTGTCACTTCCTGCCGTGACCGAAGAACTTCCCTTCGATCGTGTCCTAGGATCGAATGCAGACGGTCTAGCTTCGATCCTGTACGCGGACATCACACATCCTCTGTTTGGCCAATTCCACAATGTCGTCAGTCAGACTGCCCGTGACGGGAGATCGACGTACAGGGTACGCTACAGGCCTGCTTCTGTGACCGAACGCAAGTCTCTTTTTGTCAGCGGTTACGGGGTCGAGTTGGTTCTCAAGCGGACAGATTATATCGTGATTGATGATCGGGATGCTGCCAGCTCAGACACGCCAGATGAGGATCGTACCTCTCTAGACAATGTGAAGGACGATGAACTGAGCGATTTGAAGCCATTAACAACGTCCGAGGTGGTCAATCTGGGTCTCAACGCCGCTAGCTTCATAGCATCGAGCTCCGACCCGTTACAAAGTCTGCTGCAAATCACATCTGATTTCCCTCGATATTCGTCGCTCCTTGCCTCTGCTAACGCTAGCAAAGAGTTCCTCGTCGAGCACAGATCCAACCGGGAACGCTTCTTACCGTCAGGCTACAGTGTCTTCTGGATCAATGGTGTCCAAATCGAGCCTCGTCAGATCAATGCGTACTCACTCCTCGACCATCTGCGGCGTGAGAGACGCATTATTGGTGACATTAGAGACATTGGTCTTACATCCTCGGAAGCGATCAACCTTCTGTCGAGCGAGGTCATTGCCGAAGCGCAGGCGAATGAAGTGCCCCAAAGATTTGACTGGCGAGACGATATCGAAGCGGACAAGGTCTTGATATGGTTGAATGATCTCGAACAGGACAAACGATATGCCTCATGGCCATCAGCATTGCGGAATCTATTCCAACGGGTCTACCCAGGACAGCTGCCCCAGCTACGCCGCGACGTTCACAATCTCGTTGTGCCCATAGACATGGGCAGCATTAAAGATATCGAACTTGTGGCAACCTCCTTACAAGGGCTCGTCAGAAGACAGGTGCCGATCAGAGTTGCCTTGGTTCCGATTGGATCTGGGGCAATTGCCGATGATTATACCCGAGTGTCGTATCACATCCTGGACACATACGGTTTGGCGCCATTGGTAGCCTTCTTTTCAGATGTTGCTGCGTCCAAGAAGCTGTTACCGAGCCCAGAAAAGAGCTTCCAGAAAGCTATACTCGGCCGTTCCGTCCGAGAGGGCAAACGAGCCTTGCCTTACGATGACGTCTTGATTTCGGAAGATTTGCTGCAGAGGCTCCAGGCGCGAAATGATTACGTGAGTCGCCTGGCTCTCAGTAGTTCCGATCCTCCATTCATCATCAACGGAGTGGTTCTGCCTAGAACTGACAACTGGTTCGAACTCATGAGTTCCCGGTTGTTCGCCGACCTTCAACTGCTGCAACAGGCTGTTTACCAAGGCATCATCCCTGAGGATAGTTGGGTTCCTCAATTCTTTCTCTTACAAGCTTCAGCACGGCGGAACGAGATTGTATTCCCTCATGACCCGAAGGATATCAAGATTGTCGATATAAGCCGCTTGGCCGCTGAGTTTCCGGACGCGCTGAACATTTTGCCGCGCGTTCCAGGGGCAGCAGCGACCCTGTTGAGCGACCGAGCGCACCTCCTGGTCGTCACAGATGTAGATTCCGAAGATGGCAGAGGACTCCTAATGGAAGTTCTAGCATTTCGACAACAATTTCCTGAGATTGATGTCCTGCTATTGCATAACCCGGCGTCAGATACACAATCGTCTAAATTGGCATGTGCCATCTACGCGTTGGCTCAAGATAACGGACGAGATCTCACGCCCGAAGAACTGCGGCTCATCCTTGAGACTGAATCGAACCTGGCAGATGCAGTTCACGGAGCCGAGACTTGTGCAGCTTTTTGGAGCGCCGGGGTCGGTTTAACACGCAGTCTAGGGTTCTCCCATGGTCAAAGTGGGCTGTGGCTGAATGGTCGAGTTATCGGACCTTTAAATCGAGAGTTCACCGCTCATGATTTGGAGTCGTTGCTCGAGCTGGAACGACGAGAAAGAATCACCCCTGTGACAACTGCCATCACGTCGCTAGGATTGGAAGAACGCTTTTCCAATGCGCTAGATCTAGCAAAGGTCACCTCGCTCGTGGCTAGAGCTCTCAAATCAGATCTTCCGGAAGGTCTGAGAGAATCTGTACCTCTGATCAGGATGGATCGGTTCAAGATCTGGAACGGCACTCACACGTCGATCAAAGTCTCCAATACAGACGACCCCTCTATCCAGGTTGTCGCTGTGGTGGACCCGGCCTCTGAAATTGTGCAACAGTGGGTGCCAATATTGCAGGCCCTCTCGCAACTTCATGGTGTCAGTGTTCAGATCTTCCTGAACCCGAAGGAAAGGCTGTCTGAGCTGCCCGTCAAGCGTTTCTTTCGCCAGGTCATCAGTTCAGAACCGAGCTTCAACGAAGATGGCTCGCTGGTGACCCCAACCGCTTCGTTTTCAGGTGTGCCCAAGGATACTCTGTTCAATCTCGGTATGGCTGTTCCTCCATCATGGTTAGTGGCGCCCAAGAAATCTATCCATGACCTTGACAACATCAAGCTGGGCAATCTGGCCGAGGGCGAGAATATTGATGCGTGGTACGAACTCGAACACATTCTGATTGAAGGTCATGCTCGGGACGTGACGGTCGGTCCGCCACCGCGCGGTGTACAGCTACTGCTTGGAACCGAGGAGGAGCCGCGTTTTACCGATACCATTGTCATGGCCAATTTGGGATATTTCCAGTTCAAGGCAAACCCTGGATATTGGCAAATTTCACTCAAACCCGGCAGATCGTCTAAAATCTTCAACATCGACAGCGTCGGACCAAACGGATATTCTGCTCAGCCCGGCGATGAAACCACCTCGGTGGCGCTTCTCTCATTCCAAGGCCTGACTTTATTCCCCCGTCTTTCACGGAAACTTGGGATGGAGGCCGAGGATGTGCTGGAATCGTCTGGGTCCGGTGGACCCATGGACTATATCAGCAAGGGCGCATCCTTTGCTTCCTCGGCGCTCTCCTCTCTGGGGTTGAAAAAGACGTCGACCACCAACGCGGAAATCAACATATTTTCCGTCGCCTCGGGCCATCTGTACGAACGTATGCTCAACATTATGATGGTGTCGGTGATGAAACATACAAAGCACAGCGTCAAGTTTTGGTTTATTGAGCAGTTCTTGTCGCCCTCCTTCAAGTCGACTGTCCCGGAGCTGGCCAAGCACTACGGGTTCGACTATGAGATGGTAACATACAAGTGGCCACACTGGCTGCGGGGCCAGAAGGAAAAACAGCGAGAAATCTGGGGATACAAGATTTTATTCTTGGACGTCCTGTTCCCACTTGACCTGGACAAGGTGATTTTTGTCGATGCCGACCAGATCGTCCGGACCGATATGATGGAACTCGTCCAGGTCGATCTGAAAGGTGCGCCTTATGGCTTCACACCCATGTGTGACTCACGGACAGAAATGGAAGGGTTTCGGTTCTGGAAGCAGGGGTACTGGGAGACCTACCTCAAGGGCAAGCCGTACCACATCTCGGCATTGTACGTGGTTGATCTCAAGCGATTCCGACAACTCGCGGCCGGGGATCGATTGAGACAACAGTATCAGGCACTCTCGGCTGACCCCAACAGTCTCAGCAATCTTGACCAGGACTTGCCCAACCATTTGCAACACACGCTGCCTATCTACAGTCTCAGCCAGGACTGGCTTTGGTGTGAGACATGGTGCAGCGATGCCAGCTTGACCACGGCGAAGACGATTGATCTGTGCAACAATCCATTAACCAAGGAACCGAAGCTGGATCGAGCCAGACGACAGGTTCCCGAATGGACCGAGTATGATGAAGAAATCACCAGCGTTATCAAGGCGGCCAAGAGCCAGGAAGATGAGTCGACGTTCGGACAAGATGTTGAACAAAAGGGGGTAGAGGCAGAGAGGAAACGGGATGAGTTATGATTGGAAAGGAGAAATCAGCACAGAACTACATGTAGATCTAGACTGTACCAACATGAAACGGATTTATGGTCACATCCTGATCTCTGATGTGATGAAGTCATTAGACAAGTCAAGTGATTGTATCCGTACAGTATCACCTGTGGTCATTGTCTGGTGGCTGTTGGCCTGGTTCCGGTGGGCGGGCCACCTTGTCATCCATGACTGCACACCGGGGGGTTTGAAGCGAGCATCAGCACTCTGACGTGGACAACTAGCCGAATCTTTGTTCAAATCTCTGTTCGAATCTCTGAATCACTGATTCAGCCTACCATCTGCTATGTATCATTGATTCAGCCTACCATCTGTTATGTATCGTTGATTCAGCCTATCATCTCTTCTGCTATATACATAGACGGCAGGGATCGAGTCCCTAGTAGCCTTCGACGCCCAAGGCCTTGTAGACGGCCCTTAGGTAGATTTCGGCGTTCACATTCCCGATCGGGGAGGGCCCGGCGTCGGTCATGAGATAGGACATTCTGTTCATGGCATAGGAGAAGGTGAGCTTGCGATCGAGATCCATCAGAATCAGACTGCCACCCCAGCCACCCCAGAAACAGACGCGGCCGGCCGGCAGCCAGGGCAGGGACTGGCGAGAGGCGTCGGAGGTGAGGGCATAGCCGATGCCCCAGGTCAGCGGGGTGTCGAGGACGAGGTCGACGCCGTCAGCCTGCTTGCGGAAGATGTGGTCGATGGTGGCGGGGGACAGGAGGGAGACGCCGTCAACTTTGCCGCCGAGGCTGAGGGCGCTCAGGATGCGCACCAACGACCTCGCGTTGCCGTGGCCGTTGACGCCGGCCATGTCGGCGCGCCGCCAGCCGGGGGTCCAGGAATAGCGGGCATCCATGCCCGGGTTGACGAAGGTCTTGACCGCCGGGCCGGTCGGGTCCAGCTTGGACATGTCAAAGGGCACGGGCGGCGGCGGCACGACGGGCGCGATTCGCGGCCAGTCCTCTTCGCGCGCCCCGATCTGGAAGTCGGCGCCCAGCGGGCCGGCCAGCTCGTCGGCCACGAACTGCTTCATGGGCTTGCCGCTGACGCGCCGCACCAGCTCGCCCAGCAGGTGGCCCATGTTGGTCGAGTGGTAGCCCGACGCCGTGCCGGGCTCCCACCACGGCGCCTGGGCCGCCAGCCGAGGCACCGCGACGGCCAGGTCCTCGACCTGCTCGAGCGTGATCGGCTCCTCCCACCCCGACACGCCCGACGTGTGCGAGAGCAGGTGGCGCACCAGCACGCCCTGTTTGCCGTTGGCGCCGAATTCCGCCCAGTACTGCGCCACCGGCGCGTCCACGTCCACCAGGCCCCGGTCGGCCAGCACCAGCACGGCGAGCGTCGCCACCGTCTTGGTCGCCGACCACACGTTGGTGATGGTGTCTTGGGTCCACGGCCGAGTGCGCGCCTCATCGGCATGCCCGCCCCAGAGATCAACCACGTTCTTGCCGTCGATGTTCACCACAATCGAGGCGCCCAGCTCGTCTCCCGACGCGATTTGCTGCGCAAGGAGCTCGCGGAGCCCTTCAAATGGCGCTTCGGCCTGTCCTTCAACTCGGGCCATGATCGTGGAACTTGGAGACGAATTCTTTCGGTTCTGTTTGTGGGCGGAACGGAATTCAAACCGATTTTCAGGATAACTGGCGGATTGGGTCCTTGTCCTGGTTACAGTGTCAGCCCAGGGAATTGTTTCGAGTCAGGAGTTGAGAGCGCGAGGATAAGTCGGTGTATCTTATATACTATATCAAAGACCTGAGCTGATGAATCAATGCACGGCGGTGAGGGGAGAGGGGGCTTAGGCCAAGTGGTGGCCCCCTAAGCCTTGGTCCCACTCATGCATAGCCTTATGCCCTCAGTCGTGCCTGTGCTGACTGATCCGTGCCATTCGACAGACATACAGAGGACACTGGACATGGCATTGGTCAAGCTGAAGCTGCATAATTAGATAAGCCCTGTAGTGGCTCTACGCTTCGCATCTCGCCATTTGTCAGAGTCAGAAACTAGGCTTCAGGCCTCCCCTATCAAGGAGTAATCTACCTCCAGAGATCTGTGCCAACCACTATACTCCATACTCTGTCAGATAGAGTATCCTAGTCCTTCGGCAACATGGGCCAATCACCATCTCACATATTAGCCGTGACTTGTCCCTACTGCTGTCTGAACTCGGCACCTATGCAGTACAGAGTAATCACTCTGTAGACTTTGGATTGATTCCAATGCTCCTTCTACCGCCATCTATGTCGTCCAGTAGCAGTCCTGTTGGTTTTATGCACAATCCATTTCTAAGCATGCTCTTACAGCCGTTCATCGTCGTCAGCTGCGGCTGCGGCGACAGTCATGGCAAGTCAATCTGGAGGAACCGTGACCGTGGACCAACTACGGCTATAAGAATGCGTTGATATCTCGACCAACTACGGCTATAAGAGTGCGTTGATATCTCGACACAAGTGGACTTTAGTTTTCAGGCCTTGATCTTCTTTCCTCTGATTTGATCTGATCTGATCTGAGATGCCTTCGGGAGCACATCAAGAGGCAAACATGGTCTCGTCACCCATCCAAAACGTCATCGTCATCGGGGTAAGGATTCCTTTCCTTCGCTGTTCTCTCTTCCGTCTTCAATTACCTCTCGCTATATTTGCATAGTCTGATCTGATTTGTCTGATCCTGTCTAAAATAATGGCAAGGTCCTGTGTCTGACTGGTCAAAAATAATGGCAAGATCCTATATCTGACTGATTTCTACAGGCAAGTGGAAACGTCGGTCCATCGATTGTGAAAGCACTCCAGTCGGATGCCAGCTTTTCACTCTCGATCCTCGCCCGGCAAAGCTCCAGTGCATCTTACCCTTCTGGGGTCCCCGTGCACCGGGTGGACGATTCATACCCGGAGAAGGAGGTGCTGAACGCATTCCGCGGCCAGGACGCGGTGGTCTGCGCGCTGAGTTTGCAGATTCTATTGCAGCAGATCAAATTCATCGACCTGGCCGTGGAAGCAGGGGTGCGATGGTTCATTCCCGCCGAGTTCGGAGCGAACAACGCGGGACATGGGCACGGGGAAAAGATCCCGCCTCACGATGCCAAAGAGGCGGTTCATGAACATCTGGTGCGGATGCAGAGCAAGGGGCTTTCTTGGACGGCCATTGCCACAGGTCCATTCATTGACTGGTAAGTTGAGTGAGAGCAAGAGCGAAAGTGAGAGAGAGTGTGAAAGTGTGAAGACGTCCGTCCACAGAGGCGTCTGGGAATTCCATGTGTACAACTCTTCAGTGAACTGACGATTCCTCCCTTCTATTGACAGGGGCATCGCAAATGGCTTCCTCGGCTTCGACCTGCAAGCCCGACGAGCCAAGATCTACGACACAGGAGATGAGATCTGGACCGGAACCAAGGTTTCCACCATCGGGGTCGCGGTGGCTCGACTCCTGCGCAAGCCGGACCAAGTCAAGAACCAATATATTCACATCTACTCGGTGCGCACGAGCCAGAATCAGATTCTCGCCGCGCTGGAGGCGGTGACGGCGAAGGTGACGGAGGCGGCGACCACGACCAACAGTCAATCTGCATGGGAGGTCGAGCGAGTCACGATGGAAGACGAGATAGCCCGTGGTCGGAAGATGATGGAAGACGGGAACCGACTGGGTGCGGTGCCGTTGATTCTGTCGTATTTCTTCCGCCCGGGAATGGGGCCCGACTATTCACGGGACGTGGAGGCGGCGAATGCGCTTCTCGACCTGCCCACGGAGAGGATTGAAGACATTGTGGGCGAGGTTGTAACTGTCAAAGGTTGAGTTGTTCCATGTTCCATGTTCACTATCAAAGGGGTATGGGAGAGCCCAGGCTATATAGTATAGTATACCTAGACCAGCCTTCTGGTTAAAGCACAAGGCTTAGGCTGGGAATGCGCCTAATTTTGACAGTATCGAGATCAACTATGACTATACTCCGTACAGCTACAAGTATCGATGTCAACTAAGACTATACAATTTCAATACCGAATTCAGCCATGGGTGTACAACAAGTCTCATTCAACCAGGACTATATAACTATAAATCCACCGTGACTGTACAACAAGTATTGAATTCAGCTATGACTGTACAGCTACAAGTATCGTTCAAGTATGACTATACAGCAAGTATCGTTCAACTATAACTGTACGGAGTATGTTACCGCGCTGCCAGTAAGACACCGCCCACAAATCAGTTCCTTGGAGTGGATGAGATATGTACTGTACAGACATTTAATTCCTACCGTAACCTATTGTGACCTCCTACTACATCCATCAGTATCTAAGTATCTACGGAGTACAGAGTACTCAGTGCTAAGTGCCAGTAACCCTAACCCTAAGAGGGGACGAGCCATGCCATGAGCCACAAAACCGCGGAGCATCTGCCGTGAATGGTAGTTTCGTTATCCCTCGTCCAACAAGGAGAACAGGAGACTACAAGAGTCAATTACAATTACATTGGTTTCGTACCTACTTTGTCTCCCTTGTCTACCTACCTACCTATCTACCTTACGGAGACATACTACTTACTACGTAATCGGCATCACTCCATGGCTCTACCGAATCTCCGCCGCCTCTTCGTCGAGGCGCGCACCGAGGCCGAGGAGAACGAATACTCTCGCAATGCGGTACGTGTTACATGTTACGTGTTTGAATCTATCAGAATCAATGAGAATCAGAATCAGAATCAGAGTCAGAGTCAGAATTGGATACAGATTCAGAATTGAATATAGCTACAGCTACAGCTACAGCTGGAGATATGTGCTTGTTGATTCTATCCTTGACGCTTGACGCTTGAATCTTGACTCTTCATCCTTGACGCTTGATGTTTCTTCCTATGTCGCCTGCCTGTCCACTTCTTCTGCATTTTCACCGAATTCCATCTTGAAGGTCGAATCGAAGCGAAGCGAAGCTTGACCTTGACCTTGGCCTTGACCTTGGGCTCACGCCCCTGCTCAGGCGTGAGCCCGAGGAGCTCTTCAAACACGACAAGACTCAACCGCTGACTTGACTGTCCATCTAGTTCTATAATCTAGCCCTCTTCATTTCGTCCGTCGCCGTCTTCAGTCTCGTGGCGCAGCGGATGAGCGGCAGCGGCGGCAGGATGATCAACTGAAGAACAAGAACAAGAACGAGAACGAGAACGAGAACGAGAACGAGAACGAGAACGAGAACGAGAACGAGAACGAGAACGAGAACGAGAACGAGAACGAGAAACGAGAACGAGAACGAGAAACGAGAACGAGAACGAGAACGAGAACGAGAACGAGATCGAGAACGAGATCAAGATCGAGAACGAGATCAAGATCGAGAACGAGATCAAGATCGAGAACGAGATCAAGATCGAGCATAATCGATTAATCGAGGATATGTATACCGTGTTCCAACAAAGCAGCCCAGCCACAGCGGCCTCTAGCTCAGCCAGTCTCAGCATCACTTGCCCCCCAGCTGTACCGACGACATTACGTTATTTTATACTACGGCGACCTCGACCTGACTCTGACATATCAATCTCATGTGTGTCCATTGCCGACACCCAACACCCCGCTCCGTATTTTCGAGAGACTGGCCGGATGTCTCCAGCAGATAGCACGCCGACGCCCACCCCTCAATCAATCAGTCTCCTCGCCGTCGCTGCTCAAAAAGTCATAGTTCTTAGCTCCCCTCACGAGCCGTCGAGCCCCGGTCCCAGTACCGGTCCCTTGACCATCCTGTTTTGCATTACGATCTTCATCCTCGTCCGCGCCCCAACGCTCGGCACCTTCTTGCACAGCTTCAATGTCGGCCGCCAACTCCCGCGCCTCTTTGATCTGGTTGGCCTTCTCGATGGAATACCGACCCGTCATACCGGCATCTGCCAGCATCTCCTTGAGATGTTTGATCTTGGCTTTGGCCGTCTCGTACGGCTTGAGCTCTTTCCCCCAGAACTTGCGGATGCCGCACTTTGCCAGCCACCCTTGTAACCGTGTGATCTCGGCTTGATCAGGGTCCAGGTCGGCCTCCTTCTTGATTCTGGCCGTCTTTTTCGCTTGGGCCTTCGGGCCTGCGCTCGACCTATCCTTTGGTTTTCGCTTCTTGGTCGGTGGAGGCGCCTCGTCCAACAGAACCGACAGCTCGCTTTCTGACCCGTTATCTGCATCACCCACAGCGGGGGTATCTTCCGAGGCCTCCTTCTCTTTGGTCTCGTTGGCCTCCTCTGCCTCGTCCGAGTCGGATTCGGCAGTCTTGGGTTTGGTTGCGCGTGGTTTTTCCGAGACGCTCTTCGGCTGATTTTGCTTCTGCTTCTGTTTTGGATCCTTCTTGGACTTCTCTTGCACTACCTCGGAATCGACATCGCTCAAAGGTGAAGACAGGTCGTCCTCTTCCGAAGCATCCGACTCTTTTTCAGCGGTTTTCTGCCGTTTCCTCCGCGCAGGCTTCGTTTCTACCGAAGCGCGGTTTTTCGAGTTCGGTTTCGGCTTCGGCTTGGACTTGGGATTGGGATCGGGCTTGGGCTTGGTCGATTGAAGAGGCGAGCTCGGCGGGTCTTCGGTCTCCTTCGCAGTGTCAACAAGGCCAAAGAATCGGCGAACGCGTCAACATTTTCAATGTACTCCGTACCATCTGCTTATCTATGACATGTTTACTTCGTTGTTTCCACTCTGCATGGCTCTTGTAGAAGCCCGGAGTCAGGCCGAGACTCGTCTCCGCAGCGGCACGGATGGAATTGTACGAAAACTCCAGCCCCTGTCTCTGCGCCTTCACCACTTCGTGACGCAGACTCTTCTCGAGTTCGCGCTCAGGCGGGACCGGCGTGGCCGACGCTTCGGAGAGTTCAGAGTCGGACATGTTGCGCGGGTCGTGGTCGTGGTCGTAGTCGTGGTCGTAGTCGTAGGGCGTGTGCGTGGGCGTGCGCGTGTGGTAAAGGTGAGGTACGGTATACAGGAAGAGAAGAGCGCGTTGTACAGTAATGGGTGGGTGGTAGGTGATGGGCGCGGAAGGGAGCTCTGCTGGGTTCCAATGCTGGTGTTGCTGTTGCTGTTGCTGTTGCTAGTACAGTCACCTAGACAGTGTGTAATTAATACTAGGGCATAGGATGGATGGACTCTTGTATCCAGGACCAGGACCAGGACCAGGATCAGATTGCAGTGGTCGAGGCTTTTCAACGCATGAACATGGAGGACGCGTCGGGTCGTATTTAATATTGGATCTGGATCTGGATCTGGACCTGGATCGATCTGATCGTTCGGTCACACTGCCTGCCAGTTAGTTGGTTGTTAGTTGTAGGAGCTGAGGCGACTTGACACCCGAGCACCTACCGAGTTCCCCGCAAATCACGTACATACAAAGGTACCTACCACCCACCTACCTAGGTACCTACAAAATGAACGTAACTATTAATAGTACCTACCTTAGGTACATACCTCACAAGACAAGGTACGGAGTACATACAATGTACATGCCTCACCCTGCAGCGAGGCCACCTTGCAGTACATACCTGGCATACCTTACGGAGCACTCCGTCCTGTCAATCTTCAAGGACTCCGTAATGACTATCAATTAGTACCTACTCAGTACTACTACTACTGCTACTTTGTACAGAACATTGGCAATCCAAGCTCTGTCATCAATATCGCTCTCAAGAGTCCACTGGAGCAAACCAGCAAGCTTTCTACTGGACTACTCACAACTTCCGCCGTCTTATTCGCGTCTTTTGACGACGCTGTGCACGTGGTCATGGAGAGTGATAGCACCAACACTTTTCTTGTTCTCGACAGTCAAGCACTACCAGGCTTGGTGTTTACGAGGTCAGCTCCCCGACGCATGCGTTGCTAGCAACCGTAATATAGCTTCGTTGTTCTTCCAAGGTCTGTTTTTCAGCACCAACTGACCGTCATCGCCACATACCAAAGCTGAGCGCGGATCTATCTTACCATCGCATACCAAAAGGCGGCACATGTCTGTGTCTCCCAGACTGACGGCCATCTGCAAAGCATCATGCAGCTTGTCCCGTACCTGACTATCCCAAACGGTCTCGGCCTGTGAAAGGAGCAGTATTCTTGCAGATTCATAGCGGGATTCTGAATCAGAGTGGCTCTTAACCATCCACATGAGGGCTATATTTCCCTGGTTGTCCATCTGGTGTACACTCTCCAGTAGGCGGGGCACCAGCAAGCGGAATATCGCTGGATTGCAGGTTTTCGATGCCAGATGTAAGACATTCTCACCATTAGAATTGACGTGTCGGAGATAGGCTTCGAATCCTTCCTGGTTCAGCAAATACTCTACCACATCACTGTGGTCTCCCAAAACAGCCTCTTCGATCGAATGCAAGCCACGTAGTAATTCGGTCCGGAGCTCTGTCATGTGTTGAGCCTTGTCAAACAAATGCTGGATCATGGGCATGCAGCCAGCGCGAGCAGCTATGCAAAGAAGTTCATGACCCCATTGTTCCCGAACAAGTATGTCAAGCACATAATCGACGAGTTCAAAAGCCACGTTCCAGTTATCATGGCGAGCACCATAATGAGACCATTGTCTTACAATAAGTCGAAAAAATTCCAGATTCCGAAGCTGAGAACTGAACTTGTCTTCCAAGAAGAGTATCCGGAGCCTGGACAGATCGCCCCATTGAAGAATTTGATCAGCAGCATTGAAAGCTGGTAAAGGAAGAAATCGTTTCTCATCGAAATTGGACTTCTCGACCATATCGCAGAGTATGGCCTCTGAACCGTAGAGCGAAGTGATGCTGAGAGGATCGTACAACGTACTATCAAATTCGAACCTGGCCTTCATAGTGCAGTCTGGACGACAATTTTGATTGATCCAATTGTCAAGTCGTATTGAGCCCGCTTGACATAGACTTTCTATTTTTGCCAATTGTGGTAGAACTCCAGCCTCGACCGTGCCGAAATGCTCGGTCCAGTGGGTTGCCGCGTAAACAAAGAACTCGCCGAAGCCTCGCTCTTTCGGATCATATCGTATCATGTGCTCTTCCCATACCTCCCAAGTGCAGTATGGGTCGTATTCGGACATATCTGTGGTTTCAAACAAGTCGGGTTCGTGTGGCAGCTCAATGATCGCAACCTGCTCTTCAGAGAAAAGATGAGAGCTGCCTATCTCATCCAATAGTAGATAATCAATGCAGAGATCTAAGACAAGAGCCTCAGAACTCTCAATCTCTTGATGAGTATCCGTCCGAAGACGTGCTGTTAACGAATTTCCCAGATGAGGCCATTCTCGGATGAACTCTTTCACTGACTGGTGTACAAGTCGAACTTGGCGCTTTCGAACATCATCGTAATCAACACGAGTGATGAAGGGGTGGATCAGGCTGATCAATCTTTCATGATCCACCAGCTGGGCGAGAGCAGCGACGGTAGTGACCCTAGATGGAGCAGTAGCCAATGCTACCACCCACGCGAGTTCTTGTATGCTAAGAGGTCTGAAGGCGGCAGCGAGAACCTTCAATGCTGTGATTATGAGCTCCTTATTCTCGGTGTCATCTGAAGAGCATTGTGATATTACAGCGGCATAGAGCTTTGAGAGCTGCTTTGGCAAAGGGATCTCCTCCAAGAAACGTCGCATCGGGCCAGGCGCTCTGATTCCACGAACTTCAATGAGTTCAACTACTATCTTCGTCCATATGGCACTTCCTTGCGCCAAGGGGGATAATGCTTCTGTCACCAGCGTTTGAACACCTTCGGACAAATAAGACAATTGCATCTCAACTGTATGCCGAACAATAAGGGCATCTCTGAGAGCATTGGAGGTGAGATCAATCTTAGCAACTGTGTCCAGCTGCTTTAGAATCTCCTCTTCAGGTCGAGAAGAAAGGGCGATTTTGAGCCTTGGAGTCTTCTGTGATAAAGTCTTCAACAACTTGAGAAGATCTTTTCGTGATGCCCTATTGCACTCATCCAGACCATCGATAACGATGAAGAGCGGACGATCGAGAGTTGCTAGGACGGTTTCGAGGAATTCTCCCAGTTTTCTTGGATTTGCCGCTGGATCAAGGATCCCAGATGCCTGATTCTGCTTATACCATTCAAAGAATGTTTTTTTCAGACCAGAGAGCTGTCCAAGCAGTGCTAGGATCAACGTAGAGAACATGTGGCTGGCTTGGCTAGTCAGGTTGTCTCGGCAATAGTAGTAGCATACCTTCGGTTTAGGTACTTGGTATTCATTTCTTCGACTCAGTTCGTCCACAAGAAATGCCATGGTAACCGTTTTCCCGGAACCCATATCACCAAACAGCGCCAACCATTGGGAATCGGCAGCACGATACCAGTCAATAAATGCTGGGTCTTCCAGCAAGAAGCTGCAGGCATCATCGTTGCGAAGTTCTTGTAAGCTTGAATGGTATTGAGTCTGCCCACTGATTTTGTCACTGCCTAACCACCTAGAAACTGAAGTTGCATCAGTGTGCATCGAGGCAATGGGATCGTAAGAACTTACTTTCACTGTCGTAAAGCATGGCCTTTATGTCTTCGACGACCTCCCATGTCGCTTTTTCTACAAGTTTTCGAAGATGTTCAGCATGCTTCAAAAAGTCTTGTACGATGTTTGGCAAACGGTCTGTCGCTAGAATCATCTTCATCGCCAATTTGACTCCTCTTGTGGTAAGAATCTCGTGTGCAGCTTTATAGAATTCCAGGATTTCTCGATACACAGATACGAGCGTCTGTAGGGCGTTAGAGGAGACCCAAAATTCCGGCGTGGATTACCTTGTGAATATCTGTCCTAGCGGTTCGCTGGCCGAGGGTATCACACTCATCAATATATGAAATCTGTTCTAGCATTTCCCCAATCTGCTTTGCGAACTGCAAATCAGCGGATGCAAAGCTTATTGCAATCTATGTTCAAAGAGGTCAGTATAACGATCCATTTCGTACAGGAACAGAATGCTTTCTCGGATTAGGCCTACTGCTGTCACACTGCTGACCAAACCAACAACAGTCGTCGCAGTTGGATCAAGACGGCTCAGTGGAGACGCGATGTCTAACGCTAGCTTGAATCTCTCGAGTGGCACTTGGATCGAGCGTAAATATGCCACGCCACGATGGAAGGCCGACTCCTGTGTTACGTCTCTGTCCATCTCTTCAAGTTCTTTGAACAGCCGGGCGGCATTGCTAGCTCTGAGAATGGCGACATCAATGTCATTTCCAAGACTATCAATTGCCTCTCGATAGGCAGCGCTCCAAAGATCCGAAGAAGCATTCATGGTGCCATTGTCGTCATCGCGACTCAGCTGATGGAGAGGGTCCTGTTCTGGATGACTTTCGTGAATAGCACTCTGAGGAGTTTGGGTGTGGCCTTCATCGTCTGTTGTTGCAGTAGAGACGTCGCCTATTTGACCGGGCGGAAGGGATCCGGCACTATTTACTTGATTGGTAAATTTCACTGGCCAAGCTAGTATTGTGCTTACTTGTTCGCGATATCTGAATCCTCGCAAGGTCTTTGTGGCAGCACCTGGCTGCTGGACTCGTCCACATGACGGTTGGGGCTACGGCGAAGGCGATTTAGCAACACGGGCAGCCCGTGCCGGAAGCCTCCACTGGCACGCTGTTTGGACGAGGGTCCCATGGCCAAGTGGAGGTCTCGAAGAGCTCGATTTTCTCTCCAAGTTGGTCCATGACAATGAAAAGGAGGTGGTCGATGCTTTATTGTGGTCCGAGCGTGCTGACCACTACCCCGCCTCTCCTGCGACAAACTTGTCTTGTCACGTGAGGTTTGCTAGTAGCTCCCACCGCGGGGAAAACACGGAATCACTTGTAGGTATGTACTTCGCAACCCTCTGTCGTTTCCGTCCGCATCTTCAAAACTTCATAACGGGCGAGAGTCACAATCGGAAAAGGATTGCACATTAGCCAGCGTCCTGCATCACCGATATCGCATCTTCTTGGGTCCCAAAGACATGGGTTCTGAGATGTCAACAAAGTTGGGTCCGATCAACTTCCTCGACCTGCCTAACTTGGTTCGCGATAAGATTTACGAAGCGGTCCTCGTCGTATTGCATCCTATCTATATTTTCCAAGAGTCGAATTCTTCGGTAGAAGCGTTTGCACCTGACAAACCTCCCCGGTGGCTTGCGCTACTACATACCAACCGACAGATATCTGCCGAGGCTAGCGCGGTGCTCTACAGAGTGAATCATTTCGAACTGGTGGATATTACAAAGCCGCAAATCAGGGTCCTACAATCCTTTCTAAACGGCATTGGCACCGTGAATGCAGCTTCGATATCAAATCTAAGCATCAGCTTTCCGACAGTGATCGGCATAGATGAAGAACCAGGGAAAGTGAGACTCAAGGAAGACAGCCTACAGTGTTTAAAGGTTCTCCAAGACAGGTGCACGAACTTATCAGCACTGGAAACCGTGGTCCATTACAGGAATTCCGGGTTCTTTATGAAGACGGAACACTTTCTCCGGGGAGCATTGTCGCAAATCGACCAGTATCTGAAGACCATCAACTCACTTCGGAGGATCATCGTCCGATTCGAAGAGCCAAGCAGGGTTCCAACGTCTGCAGCAAAGGTTATGATGCAACAACTTGGATGGCTAGTCTTGTCTAGTAATGAGAATTCATCCTAGCAAGCACACTAGACACTCTTTCTTCCAAAAGCAGTTGAGTGGTCACCAAAAGCAGTTGAGTGGTCATCAAAAACAGTTGAGTGGTCATCAAGAGATCCTAGGAAAGGTCTTGAAAGCGCCCAAGGCTGGCGGTAAGGCGGCAGCCGTGGCCAGATACAACGTGAAGAATGTGGTCAAAGAGACCGAAGATCACAGCGGAACGAAAAAGACGTAATATCATCGCGGTCAGCGATTGCGGAACGAATGTCTCGGAAACGAATACAGCTTCACTGATCGAATAGCCAAGGTCCCACCAGGTTCGTGTTTATCTGTTCGGATGAGTCGGAATCAATGTCGAAATTGGTGATATCACCCAGCGGTGGTAAAGGAAGCATGAATTGGGTGATCTCATTCCGTGAAATTGAGGCATGAAATTGGTTTGATCTCCTTCCGTGGAATTGATGTCTGGTAGGGATCAAACCCCAACATTTGGAAGACACGTTCTGTCTCTCATTCCCCTGCAAGATTTGCGTATTTGAATTGATATATTGTCCTGTGTGTTAATATAGGGCTGTCCCAGGTTGAAGGGATCTATGTTCTGTTTCAGGTTGAAGGGGTCTATGTTCTGTCCCAGGTTGAAGGGATCTATGCTCTGTCCAAGGTTGAAGGGGTCTATGTTCCTCCATCAAAGGGGTATAGAAAACGCCTAGAATATACACTATATAGGCGTACCTTACCTATACTCCGTACCAGCCTTCTAGTTGAAGAAAGGGACAAGGCTGAAAATGCCAAAGTTAGTGCGTGAGTTTGACAAGGGTAGAGTCTTACAGTAACAGACTCAGTATAAGATTCAAGAAGAGAAGTATACTGTAAGAAGAGACAAGCTTTAAGACCCTTACCATCTAATTAGTGAGTGAATACCCAATTTTGTAACGCCTGCCATGCAGACAATTGAGTAGTCGCCTAACTAATTACTTCATCTCTAGAACAAGCGGATATCGGCACGTATTTCATGAATGCGTACGGATACAGAGTACAGAGCTCTCCTTGGAACATATTCTCTATTCTGATAGTCAAACACCCATAAGCCTATATACCCCAGGAGGGTCTGTACAACTACTAGGTAAGTATACAAGGATTGTCGCTAATCTCTAGAGTCTAGAGAGCGATCAAGGTCCTTCAGCGACTCGAGTTCCGGTTGCCGTGGGTGCCGCCGAGAGGATAGGCAAAGGTACCTAGTATCGTATTGACATTGACATTGACATCGACATCGACATTGATAGTCATTTCGTTCTTACTGGTCCGTGTGTCCATGCCCTGGTGTCCCATGGTCTCACAGCGGCCGTGGTCGTGGTTCATAGTGAATCTCCACCGCCTTGGTCTGCACGATGGCCTTCTCGCTGTCATCATCGTTGAGTCCGTCACCACCATCGGTATGCTTGACCGAGTGGTGGGTGTTGGACGAATTGGCCCCTTCAATGAGCGTATCCATATGATAGTCGGTGCCGTGACCAAATCCCTGATATTGTCGACGTTTTGCGCTGAAGAGGGCGCTGCCGTTGCCTGCGCCTCCCGATGCATGTAATTTGTACTCGCTCGGTTTCGACTCCTGGTCGTGTCCGCTGCTCAGCAATTTGGGCGTGACTACGCTCATGAATTGGCGCAATGTAGGTAAGCAGGCACACATGATCAAGAGATTGGCTTCGACACAGCTGGTGAGACGAGACGTCAGCGCAGTCCATGGCTTGACTTGGAGTCGGCTCAAGCAAGAAAACAGAAAAACTTACATCCACAACGTAACAGGACCGCCGCTCCACGGCTGGTCAGCGGTTGAGAAGCTCTGGATCAGGATGACCAGGCGGACAATAGATGTCACAACAGTCCTGAAGAAATCGAGTTCCGGTCAGCAACATAGTCCATGGTCGGGGTAGAGGGAGACCTCCACTCCAATTTGAAGCATCCGAGAGATGTGACATACGCTGAACCGATGGTAAACATGAAAAGAAGACCTGCTTTCTTCTTCCGACTGATATGAAGTCCCACAACCATGGGAATCGGGATGCCGATGATCATGATATCGGTGATGATTCCAAAGATCGCCGTGGCCTTGTACAAGGCTAAGCGGTTGATGCAAGTGCCGGTGGTGAGAGTCAAGTCCCAAAACTTGGAGATCGGGCTGCAGGCGAAGATATTGCCGAAGAGAATGCCGATGCTGGATCCAATGACAACGGCCATGGTGACCCAGATCGATATCTGGTACCATTGCTGCCGATTTCCAAGTTGCAGGTAGAAGATCAGTAGGGCAGTCTTGGAGAAGCCGGGGGGCAACGCGTATATGATGGGATATATGTACAATCCTTTCTGTTGGTCGGGGTCAGTGACTCCATATCACATGTGCCGGCTGGTCTGGAATACCTTGAGGAAGAGGACGAACTTGGGTAAAGGAAGCTCCCAGAGATGGATGCCGATGTATCCGTCCGAATATCCTTCTAAACTGGTGATTAGTATCCTTTTTTTATTGCTGACGGTCATCTGACGGGACTAGGATCAGTACTTACGGACGATCATGGATTGAATGGCAACCGAGGCCACCTGTAAGTATGCAAAGATCTGTAAGTAAGGGAGTGACGACCGGCCGCAGGGTCATCCAATGCCACCGACAAAACGACGGATACCCTGTATGTACTCGGTAGAGCACAACGTCTCGGAGAAGGGAGAAACTGACCCATGCTAACAGAACACAGACTGTTTGGAAAGGGTAAGCACGACTGACAATAGCAGCGAGGGCAGATGAGGGATTGTGTGACTTCATAACATACCATCGTCAATTCCCAACTTGTGCCGAACCGTCGCTTTCACAAAGAGTCGCTGGCCCAAGAATAGGATAGAGAGGACATTTCCCACGCCAAAGATGGCATATGTCGACACCATGGACTGTCTGTGAGGGTGTTCGAAGTCGACGACATAGCCCGGAGGCGGCGCCATGGCGACAGGAACCCCGTCGACGAGAGCCATGACAGACACAGTCTATCCTCCTCGTGATGTGCTTCCTTGGGCGGTGCGTGAAGAACGATGGGGGTATTCCGTACTCCGTTCACATATACAAGTGGCGCACAGAAACACGCCGCGCGTGTATGGATCACGCCGTTCTTTATATCTAGGCACGAGGGGATTCCTGTGCCTCTCGCCTCTTGCCTCTTCCACAATGCCATATGATCGACGGGAGTCAGGAGTCAACCTAGAGGCCTGCAAGCTCCACGCTGCAGCAGGGTTTGGGAAGGGAGCCATCGCTTTTCGGGCGTCAGGGTTCTTGTGCCACTACGGATTAGCTGTTGAAGAAACACCAGGAAGACACGAATCCGTCCATGGCCTCGAGAGCTAGCCGGACCCGGAAAACAACGAGAGAAACAACGAGAGGAAATGGCCTCGACCGTGAGGTCTGGGGAGGCGGATGGTGGATTCCCTGTCAGAATACTTCTAACTATTTCAAACACGCCAACTGGACAGTGGTTTCGCCAGCCATCGGTGATCGCTTTCGGGCTAACGCAGACACAGACCACCGAGTACACATGTCAGAAGACGGGTGAGCAACTGTCACGGTACCGTGCCGATGTCCATTGTACCAGGACCACTATATTACCACAACCACGTGAGTAGCCTCGTGAGTATAGCATCGCAGGGAGGAGTACGAAGGACATTTCATTACCTACACCCTTGCCACCTCTCAACTTCTTGCAGATTTTATCACGGATGGTCAGGTACAGAGTACTCCGGAGCCTCTCTTTTTCGACCTTGCCTGTTTTTCCGACACCAACACTGGTATCTGGACCTCCCCGCCCTCTGGCCTTGAAATCCCAGCGCTAAAAGGGTGAGCTTTTCTGTTCTGGCCTAAAGACTAGAGACCCAGGAAATCAATGGCCAAAAAAGACTACAGAGTAGTGAGTCCAACGGCGTGCGAGAATCTACTCTGTACGGGAGAAGGCAGAGTTTGCCCATACCCATACCAATACCCATTACCCATACCCATACCCATGTCCATGGTTTCAGAACAACTCGCCGGTGCCAGCCAAAGGGTAAGCGTAGCCTTAAGCGTTTCGCTACGCCAATGCCGGTATGGCTAGCCAGGTACCAGCCCTAGCAATCTGCATTAGCGAACAAAACGGTGGGCTAAACCCATGAAGAGTAGAGTGCACCGAGGAGTAATTGCTCGGTCGAGTCGATGACAATCTCTGCGAGACCCAGACCCAGACCCAGAATTCCGTTGCAAATTCCGTTGCACCTTGCTTTTGCGTGGACACTGGACAGTGGGCACTGGGCTGCCCCTTAGCCTAACGGACGGACGATCCAGGGACGGTGATCTGCATTCGCCCCATGAGGTACATACGCTCCCCATCTTGCAGAGTAGTGTCTGGAACCCACTCGCTTTGCTCTAATTGCCAGTACTCTGTACAGAGCAAGAGTAGGGACACACTGCCTGAACTCACAAGTTCCTGGGCCCCTCAGGAGCGATGGCGACGGCAGCAGTACTCTGTCTATGTATGGTGGTACACATACACCGTACGGATACCCCGTGAAAAATCAGAAAAACCCCCGGTCTTTTTCGATCCGAGCCCGGGGACGGGCCAAGGGCGACGGCCGTACGGATGCACTCTCCACCCTCCACCAGGCCGTCGCTGGTTGCGTCTGCGCCGTTGTACCTTGCAGCGTGCACGCGTGGCTCTATGGAGCTTCCAGGTTTTCTAGGGGCGCCACTTGGCTTCTAGTAGTTGACATTAGTGAACAAAGAGACCCCTTCACCCCTGCTAGTATACAGAGTAGTGTAGCGTGTATAGAGTAGTGTGTAGTAGTTCATTGTGTGCGGGTCAGGGATCGGCATGGACTTCACCCACTGCTAACTCTGTGCGCACCACGGAGCAATTTACCAATATGTATTACTTCCAACTACCCAAGGACGACATCCTCCAGAAACCTGAATCAAGTTTTCACACAAACCTGACGATCACCGTTGCACCGTTGCATCGTTGCACCATTGTACAGATGTGTACTCCACCAAGTTCCTGCCAGTGTTCTCCCCAGGGCAGCTGCAACCCACGATCATCCCGACCCCTCTCCTGATATTGTTGACTCCAGCGCGCAGAAATGCCATCTTCGTTTTCATCGCCACCGACTACTACACAAGTCGGGTGGTGGGCGCCCGGCTCTCGGCCCTTATAACTGTGATCCTCTCCGAGGCTACATAATCATATTGATATAGTGCGTGGGCCTCGAGCATCGGGACGCCGGTTCGAGGCTAGTAGTATATCACTATATACTACTGCACATGGCTCTTTCATAGAAGCACCCCCTGCATCTGCTAACGGGAGCGTGGCTAATTACTGGACTCCATCCTCTGTACGCATTTCATGATGCATAACTGAGCCATTTATCCATTTGCCTGCCCTACCCCTGGACAAAGAGGAGCATAATCTGTACAAACTGACTCGATCTCACGTAGTTCCGACCGCTCAGGCGCCACCATCGCGGATTCAATTGACCTTATCAGCTCAAGCGAAATAGCTTGTGCACGTACGCACGTGGCCATGCATGGATCAATGCATGGGAGAGCACTAGATATAAGACGGAGGGGACGCTGCGAGGTCGGCAATTGTCCAGACAGCTTTACGCAGCCGTTAGCCACTCTTTTCAGCAACTCACGATGCCTCACAAACTCGCTTGCCCAGCCACGCTGGCCGCCCTCCTCTCCTCCTTCTTCCCATTGGCCCAGAGTGCGACTGCTGCTGCAGTCACCGCAGCGGTTGCCTCAGATTCTACCTCGGCGGTTTCAGCAGCTGCATCTGTCCTGTCCGTGAGCCTCGATGCTTCTATAGTGGTGGCAGATGTTTCTGCCAACCTCTCTGTGGATGCATCTTTGGGACAACGGAAAGGGGTAAGTTGGCCTGTTTTCTTGGTGAGCTCTCCTGTGACCACAATGATAAAATGGTTCTGCTTCCAAAAATGGTCAACAAATATACGGATACTGGGTTGGGTCTTAGAAGCCAGCTCACCCTTGGCCTTTACCTGTCTCTTCTCTCTCACAAAAGACCAAGATGGCTAATGAGGCCAATGCACAGTGCGATGCTCTCGTGGCGGCCGGCTTAGGGTCACTGGTCCTCTTTCCCTCGGACTCGGCATATGCCGCACGTGAGGCGTCCTACTGGGCGGCGAATGCCCGCCTAGGCCCGACATGTATCGTGCAGCCCAAGACCACGGCAGATGTTTCCAAGGTGCTCCTGGTCCTCTCAATCGCGCCTGGGAACTTCGCCGTCCGCAGCGGTGGTCACTCTCAATGGGCCGGAGGCAGCGACATCCATGACGGCGTCACCATCGATCTCGGCGCCATGAGAAATGCTAGTTATGATGCCACCACCCAACTGGTGTCGGTTCAACCCGGCCTCTCCTGGGTGGACGTGTACGAAGAGGTAGAAAAGTACGGGCGCGGTGTCACCGGTGGGCGTGAGTCCACCGTCGGCATTGCTGGGTTCTTGACCGGTGGCGGCAACTCTTATTTCACCGGACGGTATGGCTTCGGATGCGATGAGGTCGCCAACTTTGAGGTTGTCTTGGCCACTGGCCAGGTGGTCAATGCCAATAAAAAGACCAACCCGGATCTCTGGAAGGCATTGAAGGGTGGCAGTGGAAATTTCGGTATCGTCACCCGCTTCGACCTCAACACCTTCCCGTCGACGGACGTCTGGGGAGGAATGTCCATCTATAACAGCAGCGCCACGGAACCGCTCATCAAGGCACTAGTCGACTTCACTAGCAACAACAAGAACTATCCCCAAGACGCACACATTCTCATTTACCAATACGACCCTACCGCCGGCTCCGACATCATTGTCGCCACCTCGATTGTGGACACCTACGGCGTTGTTAACGCCCCTGCCTTTGCAGAGATTCAGGCAGTACAGCCGCTCGTTGCTGACTTGGAAGTGCGAACCATGAGCAATCTCGCGTCCGCGTTTGTGCTACCTGCCAATCAGCGGTAAGTGAAGCGTTCCCAATCCTAATCCTAACCCCAGCCCATCTGTCCTCTACACTCCCTCCACTAGTCAGTCCTATTTCTTAGGGTCGGCGGCCTCTGATATTGTCGGTGTCTGCCGGTTGAACTTGAACTGGTCTAACGGGAGCAGAAACATCTGGTTCACCCTCACGTTCAAGAACGATGCCGCAGTGGTCCAGAAGGTGGTTGATCTCCACGAGCAGCTGGTTGCGGATCTGAAAGCCGCGCTTCCTGCCAGCGACTTTGCAACGCGATGTCTTTTCCAGCCTCTGCCGGCCTTTTTCGCCGATCGCTCGGTTGCTCAAGGCGGAAACGTCCTGGGCCTTGATTCACAAAAGGATGACATGATCCTGTGGCTGGGAAATGGCGTGGTGTACTCCGAAGCCAATCAGCCGTTGATGCAGAGCAAGATGGCCGCCTGGAGCTCGGCCATCAGCTCTTTTGCGAAAGCGCAAGGCAAAGACGTCGGCTTCGTCTACCTCAACTACGCCGACGGCAGCCAAGACCCACTGTCGACCTATGGATCGGCCAACATTGCCTTTATCCGCAAGGTGGCGGCCAAGTACGACCCTCTGGCTGTGTTCCAGAGAAAGGTACCTGGAGGATTCAAGATCTCTCGAATCTAATCTGATTTTCGTCCTTCACCCTTCACCCTAGGCGGGATACGACGGTATACGGAGATGATACTGGCTAAAAGTACGAATAGTCAGAAAGAAAACTTGTTTGTCTGGGGTGTAAAAGTCTACCAGCACTTATTTGTAATCGTAATCGTTCTTTCATAGATGGAGATATTTGACCCATCAATGGGTGTCGAAATGGGTGCCCTGAGACATTCCCCATCCCCAGACCGTGTTTTGCACCAAGGCATCCATTTCCAGCGTCGCACTCGCATGACCCCATCAGAATAGCCGCTATCGACCGTCTCCAGAGAAGGCAGCCGGGCTTATCAACAACAATGGCGCGACAATCCGTACGGAGTACATGTAATTAATAGTGGAAGAGAAGCGGTTCAGTCGTGGACCATTCGTCTATCGGTACTCCGTACTCCTCCGTATACAGGAGTGTCAGAAGTACGGAGGACGGAGCAGACAGAAATGGCAGCAGCACGTGACCCGCCCTCGTTGGAAACTTGGCCGAACATGCATCGGACTTATCGGATTTTGCAACCTGCGGCGGCGCAGCGGAGGCAGACAGTTTTTGGATTCTCGGTCTCTCCTCGCATTATTCAGCAGCATTCCGTTCAGTCGATCCGTCCATATGTACACATAGGTGCCCAGTCAACCAGGTGGTGGTATTGGTGCTGGAGATCAGGAGAACGAGAACGAGAACGAGAACGAGAACGAGGACCTATTCGTGAGAGAACGAGAACCAGAACCAGAACCTGTTCGTGAGAGAACGCATTGGTGCCCGGAGAGCTGTGGTAGCAGATGTCTCATCCCCATTCCACCCAGGCGTCCAGTTCAGCAAACAGCTCAGCGGAAAATGCGAGCACTGAGCACGCCCCGGGCGTGGTGTTGGGTCCAGATGGAAAGCCGTAAGCCACCTCCCCCGCGGGCCACCGTCCACCGACCCCGACCGAGCAGATCGTGCCACCGTCCACCGAACCATGTACCTACTCATACTCAGTACTAATGCTATCCAAGGTGCCGAACATGTACGTCGTCGGCGGCATGGTTGACGATGATGAAGTCCTCGGGCAAAAAGCCCAAAGGGGCCGCCGCCGCTCCTCCTCCTCCTCCTTCAGAATATCCTCCCGACGGTCCTTCTCCTTCTCCTCCTTCACGCTCAGAATGTCCTCCCGACGTGGAAGAACTCGGCCGGTCGACATGGACGCTGCTGCACAGCATTGCCGCCACATATCCCACCGCGGCGCCACCCGAGACGCAGTCCATCATGCAGCAGTTCCTGTCCACCTTCGCCAAACTGTATCCGTGCTGGGTGTGCGCCGAGGACTTCCGCGGCTGGATGCGCCAGCCGGGCAACGAGCCTAAAGTCAAAGGCCAGGATGAACTGGGCATGTGGATGTGTCAGGCGCATAATGCCGTCAACGTCAAGCTGGGAAAGTCCGAGTTCGACTGTACGTTGTGGAAGCAGAGGTGGAAGGATGGCTGGAAGGATGGAAGATGTGATTGAAGATCGAGATCGAAATGGAGATGGAAGGATAGAAGATGTGATTGAAGATTAAGACCGAGATCGAGATCGAAACGGAGATGGAAAACGGTCGAATCTACCCTACTCTACCCTACGGCAAGAAAGCCACGTCAACCAAAGATAAGAGCTGAGAAAGCCACGTCAATCGAACCTTGAGATAAGAGCTGAGACCTACGTGTACGGAGACGAACAAGAGAAAGTGATACCCAGAAATGTGGAGGGAAGGGATGCATATGCATCATTGGGGGACTGGAAACTGTATACTATCTACTTGCAGGCGGCATCAGCGACGGCGCATCTCCTCTCCATTCCATGTCAGACTTGGAAAATGTGACCATGTGTGTGTATTGTGTATGGATATATACAGGGATACAAGGATACAGGGATACAAGGATACAGGGATACAAGCATACAGGGATACAGTGGACCGAGTTCTTGTACACTATACAGATATATGCCAGCAGAGCGGCCATGGCCATGTTGCACAAAATCTGACCACTCGTTTGGGAAAAGGTCGCTCGCTCTTTTGCTAGTCCACGTCAGATTCGTCACTGACCGGGTCAGTACGCGTTTTCTCCTTGATTGCGATGGCCCATGAAGCGAACTGCAGAAATGACGGGACACAAAGAGTTATGTATACGGTATCTACTACTACTGTACGCCTAGGCAGTACTCTGTATAGAGACTCCATATATTCGTACTCTGTATATGTACACTCTCTATATATATACTCTATATGTATACTATATATAAGTTATAGTATAATTACCTGGTGTGTATATATAGGCACAGTATCGGTTGGCTTAGGAGGCTTGCGGCGAGTGGACTCTTAAGCCCCTGAGCCCCATTCGCCCAATTCAACCTCCAGAGCCGTATTAACCATTCACCCCCAGTCAGTCAGTCAGTCAGTCAATCATCAACCCATCAATCCATCAACCATCAATCAAAACACCCTTGCAATATCTCGACATCTCTCTCTATATATTTCTCTTGTGCTTGTCGCTTCCCATCATCACAGTCATACATACTGTATATCTATATATCTACTAGGACCCGCGACTCTATTGCGTCGGCCATTGCCATTGAAAAAATCATTCGAAGGGGGTGAGGGTTCCTCCTCGGCCATATTGCACCCCTGTCTGCTTCATACCGCGCAAGCTGGTCGCTGGTCGATTCCGTCCGACCCAGGTTTTGTGGATTTATTTCCGTTATACAGTCGACTGTGTTCGGTGTCTTCGTGTACGATGATCCAGATCCAATCTAATTCAAGGGGTTGAATCCGGGATCTTGTACTGTGCTGTGGTCCCACCAGCTGATATCAGGATTATCATTTAATTTATTATGCCCTTGCTCCGGAAGACCTCGGTCGTCGCTCTGGCCCTGGGAGTGCTGACGGTCATCTTCCTGGCCAGACATCTGTCGGCGGGGCTTGGGAAGCCTCAATACCTCTACGGCCAAGATGGGCCACTGTACGACGCGCGAATCTTCCGGCCCGGCGTGGCCAAACCGGCGGGCGAGAACTACACGCGGGTGCTGGTCATGGGCCACCTTCGCAGCGAAGACGTGAGCTGGGTGTCGCGCGAGCTGCCGGGGCTGGCGACGCAGATGTACACGGTGGACGCAGATGCGGACGCGGACGCAGGCTCAGACTCGTCGTCAGGTTCGGGTTCGGGTTCGGGTTCAGGTTCAGGCTTACCGGCGAACAAAGGCCACGAGGCGATGGTGTACCTGACGTACATCATCGACCACTACTCGGCGCTGCCGGACGTGGTTCTCTTCTTCCACCCGCACCGACAGACGTGGCACAACAACGTGCTGCTGAACGTGGACAGCGCGACGACGATCAAGCTGCTCAGCGACGCGCACGTCGTGCGGCAGGGCTACTTCAACACGCGCTGCCACCTGGACCCGGGCTGTCCGGACTGGCTGCACGTCGACCGGCCGCGCTGGCGCCACGACCTGAAACACAAGCCGGAGGAGCCGGCGCTGACGACCGAGCTGTTCCACGCCCTGCACGGCGCCGACGTGCCCGTGCCGCGCGCCATCTCGCAGCCCTGTTGCGCCCAGTTCGCCGTGTCGGGCGAGCGCATCCGCCAGCGCCCGCGTGACTTCTACCTCCGCTACCGCGACTGGCTGCTCGCCACCGACCTGGACGACAAGACCTCGGGCCGCCTGATGGAGTACTCGTGGCAGTACATCTTCACCGGCAACTTCGAGTTCTGCCCCTCCCAGCACCGCTGCTACTGCGACGGCTACGGCGTCTGCTTCGCCGGCGAGCATGGCCTGCAGACCTGGCTGGCCACCTTGAAGGAGAAGGAGAAGGTCGACCGCCGCCTGGTCGCCCTGTGGGATCAGGGCAGCTCCCTCGGCGAGGAATACAAGCGTCTCGCCAGGGACAGCAAGCACCTCGGTGATTTGTTGGACTCGATGCGCGAATCCGCCCTCCGGAGGGGCTATGATCCCAAAACAAGAGCCGAGGAGTGTGGTCGTGAGTGGCGCGAAGGCGATGGTTTTTAATGCTACGCCTACTGGTACACGCCAACTGCCAACCGCCAACCGCCAATCGCCAAGTACCAAATCCCATCTCATCGGCGTCGGACTCGAATGGACTCGACTGGACTCGAATGGACTCTTCTGATTCTGATTCTGATTCTGATTCTGAACGCCCCGGTCCATGTCGCCAGGCTGCAGTATGCGCTGAGATTACTACATACTGACCATTCATCTTTCATATACTGGAAGTCATTTATCACTCTCAGCTCGACGCGCTCGAGCTCGAGCCCAGGACAAGCCAAGTCTCGGGTAGGGAGGAAGTGGAACGGAGGGGCCCATGGCTACGGGGTCCTCGGTCCTTTTCTTTGGTTCTGTTTCTACTGCCTGTCACCATCAACGACCAGCCATGCATTCCATATATCATGAAGGAGATGCAGAGTCCATCTATCCCATATTCCCAATATCATGAAGGAGATGTCTATTTCGATCCATGACCACGAGAACAACAGAACAACAGAACAACAGGTCAGCCTTTCCCACCAACACCAAGGATGAGGGTTCAGGGTCTCTGTTCCTGGCGGTCCCCACGACAGACAACAAGCTCCACGATAGATAACAAGCTCCACGACAGATAACAAGCTCCACGACAGACAACAAGCTCCACGACAGATAACAAGCTCCACGACAGACAACAAGCTCCACGACAGACAACAAGCTCCACGACAGAC